AGAGGAGAGGGTGTGTATAGCGGAAGGCTTCTCTTTGAAGCTAGAGATCCCTTGGTAAGGGCATGAAGGGAGAAGGCCGAATCGAAGCTTCAGCAGTTCTCGAGCGTGGTCGAGGGTATTTTCGAAACCGCAGTAAAAGAAAGGACGATATCGTGAACGGATGCGAAAGGCGTTGCGACCTGCAGGCGCACAGATGTGATGTTGCGTCAAAGTACCTGCTGGGATGGTGTAAGTTGTGGCGGCCCGCGCGAGCTTCGTCTCTAGCAGTTGCGGCAGCTGGTCGATTCCATAAGAGATCCACGGACAAGAAAAAATCGCAATAAAACAACGATAGGAAGCAGAAAACAATCCTGTTACTGACAAGAAGAAGAGCTGGAGTGTTACTGCAAGGCGGCGGTTGCATTAGCTGAGTCTTGTGTTTTCCTTTTTTTTTTCTTGAAAAAAAAAAACTTTTGGGTAGGGATGGTACTAACCCGAGTTCTCTGCAGAAGCCGGTGAAGGCGCGTTGCAAGCTGCAGCTATGGGCAGCACAGATAGATTGCCTAGTACCAGACATTAGCACCTAACCCGGCAGCAGTGCAGTAGCATGAACAACGGATAAGATAGCTGGGCTGATGATCTTGGTGCCGCGCCGTCCGCCTCGTCGGTTGGATGTACTGCTCGGTGTTGGTAGTACAGAGAGCTACCAAGGTCCAACTCACGAGTATCAAGGCACTAAGCACGGTAGTACCGTGGGAGGTGGGCTGTAGTGAAGTCGAGTATAAGTTGGTGAGCAAGGCTAGTCGATGTGGAATAGGCCCGGGAGCCTCACAATAAAAGAGGCGGCCGAGCGAGGCGGGATCAAGTGGTGAAAGATGGTGGCGAGGCTGTCCAGAGAGAGGAAACAAGCCACTGCCCGCGGCCCAGGGAAGAAGATTCCCGGCCAAAGTGACTGGCCTCCAGCAGATGCGGAGGGACCAATGATACAGGTGCCCTTGCCTTGGGACTGCCCAACCCACGGAGGGAGAAGAGGCGAGTATCTCAGCTTGAGGTTGCACAAGGGCTGCGGGCTCGACACCCTCTTTTTCCGTGTCTTGCTTTATCTTTTTGCAGCATCACGCTTGGTGTTTTCTCCTTAGGTGACTTGAAACTACTTTGGGCACTACGATATGGCTCTGAAGGTACTAGCACGAGTAATGGATCCATCCAATATGATATCGTAGATAGATGGTGATGCAATAAGAGAGATAGGTAGGTACAGTATAGTACAGGTAAGTCAAACAATCTGCGGCACATGGATCTCATGGGACCCAGCGGGCGTTGGCCAGAGGGCACTCGTGCTTAGGAGTGCAAATACATGCCTTTCCGATCTGCGATTCGGCACCTGGAGAGACAGCGGGTACCGCAGTGTCTCGTACACTGACAGCCGCCTTGCAGCGCCATGTCTTGGATGCTGGAGGTACCACTACCGTAGAACAAGGTACCTATCAAGACCGACCTACGATAGACGTGCCTGAGCCCTCGTGGGACATGCCCATGCCAAAGCATAAACGGGAGAGGACGACTTAGCAGGCGCTAGGCCGTTGAAAGCGCCCAACTGGGAAGGCTAGAGCCTTTGGGCAAACAACGTGACACGAGCGCTGCCGTCATTGCCTCGCTTGTTTCTTTCTCTCTTTCCTCGCCTCGCCTCGCCCTGCCTCGCCCTTGCCTTCTCTCTGCAGTCCTCACCCGCAGGAAGCAAAACGCAGGAAGGAACCAGGACCAGGACCAGCCCTTTGCAGGCGAATGCACGCACACATGAGCAGGTACGATACGACTGACGACTCCCCCAAGAGAACGCTCCCGCACTAAAAGATGCGCCAGTGATGCGCCAGGACGCAGCGGCCCGGCCAATCAAAGTGGCGCTGGGCGGGAGGGTTGGCTGGGCTGCGGGTCCCATTCGCTTGTCACCAGACCCCCAAAGTGCTTAGCGCATCTTTTAGCCCATCTCCAGCTGCAGCCAAACAAGCCCGGCTGCCATCTCGCATGCGGATTGGATCTCCCTTGGTACCTCGTAGGTACCCAACAATTTGAACCAAGGTGAATGGCATTCGATGTTTTTGATGATGGGATACGATGGGGTAGCACAAAGAAAGGGCGAGATCCTACTATTATAGGATTCCTCACAGCTTCGTACTTTGGTAGGTAGCTATGCTGCAAGCTCGTCGCTCTACAGCCGACGACGGATATTGTTATGATATTCACGTCAGATAACACTGATTACCACCGGTCTGATGTTGAAGAGTCGCATACCATCTGCAGCCACTGCCTATTTATTGATGCAGCTCCATGCACCATGAGGCACAGCTGCAATGCATGCGTGTCCCACTGCCGCTGCTGCTGTTTTAAGAAAAATACAGAGCGCGAGCATTCTCAGCCTGCTTTGTTTATTTATTTATTTGTTTATTTTTCCTTTGTGCCTTGACAAGCTCCAGACTAGCGGAGGGGTGTACCTGCTTCGTACCCAGCTGCTGTCATCTATCACTTTTCGTCACAAGGTTTGGTGCAAAGTATCAACTTGATGAGCAGACTCGCAAGAATTGTAATTCTCACCATCACATCACAAGAAAACAAGAAAAATAGAGGATAAAGAACAGAAAAGCCTGGGATTTCGCCCCCCAAACCACACCTTTGACCCCCAAAAAAAACGGCAGCAAAAAACCATACGATCCTCCACTACTCGAGCACCCGGCTGGCCTCGTCGCGTGACAATGTACATGCACGTCCCATGCAGGCGCATGCAGGGCCTCGCTCCACCCGGGGCTGCAAATAAAGTGAATCAGAATCAAGAAAAAAATAAAAAACAAAAAAAAAAAATCTCGCATGAGCGTCTCGCACATACATACATAAACCGCATGGCGCGCATCCCGCACTGACACGCGTGCATGTACCTGTACTTTGCGGCTGGCACTCGACGATCCAAATCGGCCGCCTCTATTGGCTGCCCTGCCCCGAATCTGCGTGCCCTGCGTATCCAGCGCCAGGTACCGGTACGGCTCTTCCCCCCTTTGGCGCGGGTTGCCACAGGTGAGCTCTCTCTGGGAGTCCCCCCGTTTGACCGCTTGTCAGTCAGCCAGGGCTTGAAATCCTCTTGTGCTGCTGCTGCTCTCCTTCAGACAGACAGGTTCATGCAGCATCGCCTTTTTTTCTTCTTACAGGGTTCAGAAGCACGGCACACTCAGCTGACCCCCTTGAGTCATTTTGCCGTATACGGTAGACGGGCATTCAATGTTGCCCCTCATTCATTAGTACTCACACTTGGAATCCAAATAATTCAATCTGCATATATACAAAGCAATACTATCAACATTTATCGAAATGTCTTCAAGGTAAAATTTAGAGTAGTTCAGAAACATATTAAATGCGATATCGGGATGCAGGCAGGCACCCTTGTGCAGCCTCCCGAACAGTCCGTCCTCTGTGGTACAAGCCCGACATCGCAACGGGGTCTTTCGACGCGGTCAGACCCAAATGATTCATTCAAGTCAAAACCACCCCCCAAGGCCTGCTGATTGCTTAGGCTGTTCCATCATGCCACGGGCAGTGCTGGGTCTGCTTGCTATCAGATGATGGATGACGTTTTCCAGCAATAGCATCATCGTCATGAATTTATCCACAAAGCGGCAGCCATGCAGACGTGGAGTTGGGCACTTGCTCCCGCTAACACCTCGTCACATGGCCTTTAGAAAAACAGCCCGTAAATCATTACTTTGAGATAGTAGTATTACCATCGACAAGGTGAAATGCACGCAGTAATTGGGCATAATTCCATGCTTGCTACAACGCCCCCCACGTTTCCCCCCATATCTCGCCATTATGTACAGACCTCGAGCGAAAGCTGTCAAACCGAATCCCCAGATTGGTTATCACAGCATGCACATCATCGTAAAAGCAAGAAACCCTGCCCCCGGGGCCCTGCCTGAGTCAAGGGCTCGCTTGTACTTTTGTACTCGTACCATGACAGTTTAGACAAAAAGCACAAGAGAATCACGGTTATCTCTGCCCCCCCCGGTCCGGCTTATACCGGAGGTCCCCTCCCCACATCTTCCGGCACTGATATCTTATCGCCATGCCGGTACCAGCGGCTCTCGGCGCAGGTATGCTCTTTCAAAGTGCCGTTATAGTATTTGAGCAGCATGTCCAATAAATCTGATTATATGACTAACCTCTTACTCAGTGAGATTTGCTCATGGTTTATCAAGTAAGAGAACGAGTGGAGACTGATGCAATGGATATAGGATCAAGTCTTCCCTCCTGGGCCTCTATAGAAGGTGCAAGACCTGTATACCTAGTATGTATGACGCCTTAGGTATAGTATCTAGTTAAGATGTAATAAGAATCGTACTTGATGTTTGTTCTCAAAATCCAGTAGGTAACAACGTTTGGGTGCTGTTTCGAATCGTTATCGCGTTACACTGGTACTGGCTTCACTTACAACCGTAGCAAATGATTTTGCACCGCTCTCCAGACGTAGCCTGAACGGTGGTATTAATAATCATTTGCAAAAGAAGGAAAGAATGGAAAGAAACTACTAATTCAATCACAGCAATTCATCACTCAACCAGCTACACACCATCAGATACAAATGAACAAGGCTTTATTCGGTAGGACACAAGTCCCATCAACAGCATCAACAGATGATGTCGCGGAAAGTCGGAGTGACAATAAGCTTCAAGGGGTGGTATCTATGCGACGTGCCATCTAATAACCCAAGCCATCTCAGATTTTGTTTTCCAAACTGAAAAGAAGAAGAGAAAAACACACAGATCAGAATTTCAAATGCCACCCGTTCCACGCTATATAACCAAGCTCGCCTCCCCGATTGGGGTTCGGGGGCAGTCCGATAATTAAACACCCACCGTCGTGGAAAGAAACCGTAAAAAGGGGGGAAGAACACAGATGGGGGGGAATGGGAGTGAAAATGGGGAGGGGGAAAACATAAAACAGAAGAAGAAGAATGTACTCAAAAAAATGCTCGTCCATCAGCGCCCATACTCAGTATAACTCATGTCGGCGTAATTTTGGCCCATGCCTTCTTCCGGGTATCTGGCTCCAGAACTACTCATGTATCCACCATCGTCGCCGTCATCGTAGTCGCTGGCATCGAACGAAGATCTACCACTGAGCTCGTCGTCCAGCCCACCTCCCATGTCGGTAGCCGACCAGTTCATCTGCGCCAAGGCGGGATACTGAGCCAAGAGAGCTTGTGGGAGGCCATAGTTTCCGCTGGAATCCATGGGATAAGCAGGGCCGGCATCCATGCCCATAACCTGCGGGTTGGCCATGTTCTGTGCCATGTTCTGCTGCATCCGCTGCTCCTGCCACTGGCGTTGCCTTTCTATCATTTCCTCGTCCAGAAGAGGTTTGATGCATATTCTTCCTGCTTCAGAACGGAAATGCCTTCCCAAGGCATCAGCTCGCGCAAATCGTCGACCGCAGCCCCACTGGCCACCGGTTTTCAGATCACCCTTGCAAACAAACTTCTTCTCTCCGGAATGCAGACTTTCGTGTCGCTTTCTGTCATGCTGTCGAGCAAATGCCTTGCCGCAGACAGTACAAACGAATGGTCGCTCATCGGTATGCGTGCGCAGGTGAGACCGCAGATTATACGCTCGAGTGAAGCGTTTGGGACATAGGGTACACTGGAAAGTTGCCGGGTGTTTCTGCATGCGCTTGCTTGTCCCGGCATCCTGGCTATTCTGGTATTCGGGATCTGCCAGGCGCAAAGCGATCACGTTATTGGGCACTGAGGAAGTCGACTGCCGCCTTCGTGAGGCCGACGAGCCGACCGATTGCCGGTCCAGAGGGGACAAGGATCGAGATGAAGTGTCGGAGCGGGCTCCAAGATCAACTCCGAGGGAGGGTCTCAAATTGCCAGGGGGCAGGATTCCACTACCGGGATGGAAAGGATCCGTAACTGCCCTCGGGCGAGACTTGGGTCGACCTGTGGGATCATGTTAGCTATAGTTCGCGCATATGATATATGCTATTTTGCAAAGATGAACGACTTGCCTCTTTCTGGGGGTGTCAGTGAATCCTGATCCATCTGCGACTTGGGTGGCTCGAAACTGCCTTGTCTTGAATTCGTCGTCGGCGCAAAGTCAATGTTGATGGCCGGCGGTGCCATTTGGTGCATATCGGCGCCCATGCCGCCCTGCAGTGGCGGGAAAGTCTCATGGCTCGGTTGCAGGTCTGGGTATCCAGAAACGTTCTCGAACCCGGAGTTTGGCGGGATCAGGTTGAAAGAAGGCTGCATGGTATCCGGCATCTGCTGTGGCATGATGCGAGGGCTGATGGCTGGGCTGTGCGAGGGGCTTCGGCCGTGATAACCAGGACTGCTGGGGTCAGCCAAGCTGAAGGACCCAATACCGAGCACTTCCTGATAGAGGCTGTCCGAAGGTCTCTGCAGGGGCGAGTGGCCCGACGGGTCGGCGTCAAACGTATCGGAACTAATAAGATGAGGAGAAGGAGCCACGGAGGAGACGTCAGAGTATTCCGAGGGAGTCCTCCTATGGCCTTGGAACTGCGGCTGGGTCCAGTCGCCGAGCTGATTGGGAAGAAGCGCGGCCTCAGGCCCTAAAGAAGCATTCCTCGAATGGGTTGACGGCGGCGACGAGAACTGATGCTGGTTGAAGGGGGGCGACTGGAGGCTTTCGGACGGGTAGAGCCGTGGAGGGGTCGGAGACTGGTGCGAGTGCGGAGAGGTCATGGCATTGAGGTCGCCCAGGGGCGGCTGCTCAAAGAGGGGGGCGTTGTACTGATCGCCTTGCTCAGCGGCGGATGGAAAGAGAGAGAAATCACCGTCGTGCAGGTTTGGCGAGAGGTAGTTTTGTTGCGCCTGGGCGTTCAGAGACAGGGTGGAGTCGGGGCCGGTGGCCGGCTGCTGTCCGAAGCTGGCGCTGGGGTCGAAGCCGGTATTCGGGTCGGCAGCGTTGGCTTGTGCACCGAGGAAGCCGTTTGCGTTGAATGAGTCGAAGTTGGGATGCAGAGATGCTGTAAATGCTCGGTGTTGCTGCTGGTGGTGGTGGTGATGTCGTTGTTGCTGCTGCTGCTGCTGCTGAGGTGGTTGTCGCTGTTGTTGCTGTTGCGATGGATCCAGGTCGACGCCGATCCCAAGACCAAGACCAACGGATGGCTGCTCGCTTGTGGGTGCGAACGGGCTCCGTGCCGGCGAGTGAGATTGGTTTATATCAGGCTGAAAGCCACCGGCCGACGGTGACCTTGCACGCTGGGGTTCGCTGCTCATGATGGCTGCCGAGTGCTGGTCTGTACGTCGTGCGAGGCAGATTCCACAGTCAGCCTTCCGTGCTGCAGCGGGGAGGCTGTGCACTGGGCGGCAGAGATGCAAGGAGCTGGGGGGGTGCGGTCCTATCACAGCGGCAGGACGCGTACGGCGGTGCGAATCACAGTCTGAAGAGTGTTTCAGACGGGCGGTCCTGAGGCCAGCTGCAACTCGTTCTCCGAGCGGGTGCGGGCGTCCAGGTACGGGGTGGATTTGACGTGGGTATGGCTATCAAATAGGGCTGGACCTGGACCTGGGAGGGGGGAGGGGAGGAGACGAGGCGAGGCGAGGCGAGGCGATGCTATGCTGGCTTGGATGCGATTTGCCAGAAATGCTAGATGCTGGCAGAGTTTGGGAATCGGCACGGCACTGGCAGCGTCAAGACGAGGGAGGGGGGTCCTTTCTGGCACTTTGCTTTGTCGGGGTTCGTTCGGGTTGGGCGCCAAATCATCGAGCAGAGAAACGCGGACCCGCGAGGCTGTGCAAACTGGAGCGGCAACCTTGTGGCCGCAAGAGGAACAGGAAGAGGAACAGAAGGAGAATGAGAGAGTGCAGTGACGGCGTCTGACGGCGCTGCTGACGACGACGCTGCTGGTAGCTCGGCGGGCTTGGGGGTTGGTCCAACTGAGAACTGGAGGCGGGTGATGTAGGAGGCAGAAAGCTAAGGTCGGAGAGGTATCGCAGGAAGTGGAAGTGGGATGGTCCCCAGCAAGCAGCGTGAGATATGGATCAGGCCCTCTGCTTCAGCCGGTGGTTAGCACGGCTTAGGCGAACGGGCTAGCAATGAGAGAAATGTGCCTTTTAGCAGCCTGTCATACCCACGTGAAAATCAGATGAGGGACACACACACAGACAAAGAGAGAGAGAGAGAGAGAGAGAGAGAGAATTGAATGGATGGCTTTTTTAGCAGTGCGACGGGGGGGGATGACTCAGGCAGGTACATGATATACAGTATCAATTAACGCATTGAAGCATGTACTCTGCATCTACTTTGCTCACTTCAGCTCGTCTAGTTCCATCAATGTTAGGCATTCGATGGCGCCCGCCGTGGAATGCTCGCTCTACTACCAAGTTAAACGCTGCTATACGCTCCAGATCCAACTCCGCCAGCGACATCCGGCAACTGGAGCCAAGGCTTGCCAGGCTACCGCCGTCTTAGCACTGACGCCAGCGGCCTCCATCTTTTTCCCTTTGATGCCAACGACTCGTGTACAAGCAATCTCTCCATGGTCTTTTAGTTGTATGTACATTGAATCAAACTCTAGCAAACGACCCCGCACACAGTTCGCATAGGTCTCTGCCATTGGCGCCCCTCCACAGTGGCAGGGGGGGAAATGAGAAAAGGAACCTATTGGGTACTAGTTTGCCGGAGGAGCGGTAGTGCATGACGGTTGGTATTCCAAAGGTCTAGAATATCTCCCAAACTTGACAAATTCGGCATCACTTTCAATGTTGCGACGGCACATGTCGGTGACAAATACGTGGAAATGTGGTAGCTGCTTACATACTAGGTACTTTAAAAGGCACCCTGCTCTGGATACAAGTGACGATGGGTACCTTGTCTGGAGCATTTATCGCAACTTGCACAACTTACCCCATAGCTGTACTAAGTAATCATCTGGGTTGTGAACAAGAAAGATGCGATTCACAACTACCCAAGCTATAGAGCCACTTGGTCGCAGATTACGCTGTAACCCCGTAGACAAAAGGGCTACAGAAGTCCATTTTCGGACAAGTTACCGCCATCAATCCACAATCATGTCATGAGCATTGTCCCAAAAAGACAACAGACCTTCTGTTGACGGCATTCCCCTGCCAACTAACCTAGACAAAAGCCCTCCCAAAATCGGCTGTTTTCCTAGGTTGTCGCCTTTACAGCCACCATTCAGCAGCTGAACAGCTTAATGAAGGAACTAGAAATGACCAAATCCTGAAACTTTGCCTCTTTTTTTTTTTTTGGCCGCTCCGTCCGTGGAGATTGGCGGTGATGCGTCGTCTCCCCCACATGGCTGGCGGTGATGACGAGTTTGCTGGCACGCTATCACCATGCTAAGCTTTTGCGAACCCTTGCGCCCAGGTAGGATATTCGGTCATTGTCATGGGCACGAAAACGGCAAATAACCTTATTAGCTCACTCCTGCAGAACATCGAAAGGGAAAGGGAAAGGGAAAGGGAGAATAAAAAAGCTGACGACAACACTTCACACACACACGCCCCCCATGATCTGCGCCAACAACATGCGAGTCTAGTCAGGCAACGCTCTCAAGAGCTAAATATAGCGTCTATACGAAGTTAAAATCTCGCGGAGCGTATATCCTAAAGCGCTTTAATTTGACGGCAAAAGTGTTTTTATTGTTTCGAAACATCCAAGGAGATGAAAGACGGAGGAGGCTGTGAAAAGGTCAAAAGAAGAAAAAAGTGCAACCAAGAGGGAAAAGAGAAATGCAATTATACCACGACTATCCGAAAATAGCAGCCAGAACTGTTTTGAAACGAAGAAACATGGAACATGGACGAAGCGTTCCCTGAAGCGTAAATCAGGAGCAAAGCCGCAGCAGGTTTCACGTTTGACAGGCCAAACACGAGAAAAATAAAATGGAGCAGATGCAAAAAAAAAAAAAAAAACTGATTAATACTTACAGGAATCCTTTCTCAAACAAAAGGTGGGTTGTACCGCCCTGATTTGTTCATCCTTGCTTGTCCACAGCCACAACAAGTGACGTATTGGACCGGGCTGCATGAAGAAGGTTGATGCTGTGGTGCCTGGCCTGGTATGTGCGATGCGCCGGTGTGTTTCTGGTTCCCGATTTGAGGGATGAAACAAGTACGAGTAATGGGATTGCATTGTTATTCGTTTTCGGTGAATTTGAATCTGCCTTTACTTCAAGCTTAACTTTTGCCATGTTTACCTTTTGATACAATCGTCGTTGCTCTTAACACTCAACAATGTTCATTTACATCTCAGCATGTTAGTGGTACCTTGGCCAGTTAGAACCCACAAAAAAACCAATGTAAATAAAACGCTCCAGTTTCTCGGCTGCCGACAGCCAATCGGCTACCAGCCCTTGCTGCAAATCTAGATCCCCGTCTCTCATTGGCCCGCGCCGGGGACCCTTTATTCGGATCAACTGCAAGGCTCTCCGCAAGGCTTTTTTCGCAACTCTTCATCACACACGCGCTATTCCTCTCCGTCTTCACCTTGTGTTCCCTGGTTCTTTGGCATCCTCTTTTCCCTCTCTCTCTCTCTCTCTCTCTTCTTTCTTGCCGCCCATTCGATCAATTCGGGAATCGGCCGAATCAAGGGGCAGGGGAGGCCCGGACTGGTTGGTACCTTTGCGGGCGCCAATAAACCCGACTTCCCGTCGCTTTTGGTGCCTTGGTTTCAACGGTCCAATCGAGAATGGGCGCTTCCAACACCGGAAAAGGTACTTGATACTACCCGATAAGTAGCGCCTCCCCGAGGCCTCTCGTATCGTATCGGGGGGGCATGGGTTACGGACGTTTAGTCCCGAAAGTGTTGCGTGTCTAAGCCATTATTGCTCGGTTGCAAAAAAAACATGCAAAGTCCAATAGTCGAGGCAAAAGTCACCAGATCATGTTGACGGGACACCACAGCCACTCTCGTCTATTGAATTAGGCGGAAATAATACCTTGCCCCCTTTTTTTTATTATCAATTCTCCGTGTATGGTATAGTTTCGTAAGAAGAGTCGAGAGAGAAAATTTGCCCAGACAGTTGTGCCAAATCCAAAAAACGCCGTGAAACTATGTACCTTTTTCCTCCAAGTCTTCCGGGTTGCCTCTCTGTTGTAGACAAGACAAAATTCAAACACGCCATTTCCATGTATGCGTATGCTGTTCTTTCTAGCTTCGACCAAAAGCATAGTTGGACGTCTAATAACGTATGCCTCTCTTTCTAATTAAATCACCTCGGAACGCTCATAGCCTTCGGGCTTGAGGGCAGGCTTGGGAACCTCCCTGTCTTTGAATTTGCTGACAAAGGGATTTGGGTCCTCCTTCTGGTTGAGGTTGCCCAAGGTGTGGTTGACTCCCCTGTGGCTGGCCTCGTCGGCTCGAATATACAGGATCAAGTCTTTCATGGTTCGGTTGCCCTCGGGCATGTTCCAGTACTAGGTTTTCCATCTGTCAGTTGGGTTGTTCTCCAACTTCTCTCTCTCTCTCTCTCTTGTTCAGTATACTAACCTGCACGGCAATATCAGGAATCCGAAACTTGGGATCATTCCACTTTGGTAAATGGCCGTCTTCGATTTCGGCAATCGCTCGAGTATACGTGTGTACCGCCTCCTCCTCCAGGTAGCCGACGAATCGATGAACAATCTTGGGGTGAAGAAGATATGCCACAAAGAGACTGTTGAAGAAGACGCCCTGGGCACCGATAATCATGAGCTTCATGAACAAGCCGGGCTCGCACATGGTCATGAAGGTCAAAAGATGCATCCGCTCGTTGTAGCTCTCTTCCAAGAGCGTCTCGATCCAACCATTGTCTCTCTTCATGCCTCGAAGGCTGCTGAGATGGCGAAGCATGCCGCCAACCATTCCTGGAACACCTGCGATACTCTCGAGGAACACGAATCGAATAAGCTATTCGCACAGCAAGACAAGTCAGCCATGCATTCTTTATATCCAGACAAAGAGACCATCAGGTCCATAGCATAAGGGTCAGTAGAAATCATACCCATTGAGCCTCCGTCAGCGGCTTCTCTGCCTTGATGGCAGTTGTCGGATTCTTCTTATCAACCTGCTGTTCCCTATCCATACCCGTGGCCTTGTCCATCCAGTATCTCGCGAACCGCACAATCTTCCACGCCGCCCAATCACCGAATCCCCGAGGCGGGCGGTGCGAAGGCGTCACCTGATGGAGCTCCTCCATTGAGAAGCCCGGGTGAGGCCACGCCGCCGGAGTTGTCTTGATGTGGGGGGTGTCCTTGGCGGGGAAGAAGTCTCTCAGCTGAGAGACGGGTGTCGTCGAGAATGCTCGCGTGGTCTGGCCGTAGAGGTGGTGAGATGAGGGTACGGTCCGGCCGGTACAGCCTAGCCTCCGGGTCAGCGCCGGGTGCGCGGCGAGTCTGCAGCTTGCATGGCTGTTGACGACGATTTTGGCAAGCCTGGCTGCTTGTATGGGGGCGTTTGTCTTGGTGTAAGTCATTGCAGAAGCTTATGTAAAGCTATCGTCGGTAGGTATTGTTGCAACGTGGGCTTCAATGATGATAAGTCATAGGCAACACGACTTGATGGTGGTGGTGATATATATACATGTATACTATAACCAAGCACCCCCCCTTTGGCTCCGGGACACTTGAACGTTTTATACGAGCCCCCTTTTTGCAGCTAAGACGGCAAAAGCCAAAAACAGAGAAATATTACAGGTCGGAACGCGCATTGGCAGCTTCATCGGTTATCCGCGAGTCCACACACTCTTCACATCCGCCGCCATGCTAATCCGCACCCGGGTAAGCGGGCTCGCCGTGATGAGAACCGGGCATGCAGCAAGGCATCCAATCCAGTGGAAGGGGCCGTGTCTCTTTTTCTCCGTTCCTGGTCATCTGCCATGCAAAATACCGTTTCGTGCCTTCACCTTGGCTCGGCATCCTCAAGAGTGACGAAGTCCGAGCCGCAGAGGAGGCAAGGCTCAGGCTCAGGCTTAGGCTAGTCGGGACCTTTCGGACCGTAAAAAACCTCCCCTATGACTCTTTCTCCTGAAGCGCTTTCCGGTCCTTTTTCGATTTCATTTCGCTGCCTTCATTTCCTTGTGAAATCATAATCTGCTCGCCTCGCCGCTCCAGTTGAGCTGTTGCGTCATAGTATTTGACAAGGCCAAATATTCATGTTCCAATCGTGTTACCAATTCTCCGGGATCCAGAATTCTGCTTCTCCTAACTAGCAGGGCAACGAGCTCCACTCCCCTGATGACGCCGTGCGGCAGTCGGCGCTTGTCGGCGCTACTGTACTGTAGACTCTTAGCAATTGACTTTGCTCCATTGGCCTGTGTCAATTCAATGCATCTTTGTCTGAGGAAGTTATCGGTCCGTATGTACGAAGTTGATCTTTCTGTAATGCACAACGAAGTCGCTCTATGGAGCACATGCAAGGTCGTTGGTTGGGGCTAATTCTGTACATGTACTTCGCTTGCGGATAGTTGCGGCTGCTGTCAAAACCTCAAATCATTGAGCGGCAAAGTTTGCTTCCATCTTCGGAAACGCCAAGACTTGCAAGTTCCTGATGAGTCCGAGGAGATGTGCGGCAGGGAGCTATCGACGATAAGCTTGTTTGGCGTACTTCTTAACGTTCTTAGTCTAGGTACCCATCGAGTTGGAAAAGTCAGGCCACTTATTAAGAGAAACTACTAATACAGTAGTATTTTACGCCTGCAGTCAATCGTAGGGCTTACGCCTGAATTCTGCAATCTCTAACTAGACACGGGAATGCCAGTTTTGCATCATTGCCATCGTGCAAATTTTCACCGAGAGCATGTTTGGTTCAAGCTCAATCTGATGGAGTGGCAACTGAGTCAGAGACCTTGCGGTTTTTACCGAATCTTTCTTTCTGTGCCAGATGGTCGTGTTTCTACTTAGATAAACTGGGACCTTGTTTTTTTTATTTCCTTTGCGGCAACCTTGCGGCCCAACGCGGCACGGCATCCTAGTGCCCATTTTTACATCCTAAACAAGCAACATTAGTTAGTATAAACAGGTTATAAGGCGGATCCGAAAATCAACACCAGAGCAATCAGGCTTCCGTAAACGTACCTCTCCAGCGGTGTCAAGCCAAGCAGCTTCATTCCGTTTGATAGAACAATTCGTGCGGCATCGTACAGCGCCATTCGGGCCTTCATCAGTTCCTTCTCGCTGCCAACCACCTGCAGGTGGTCGTAGCTGCTGCTCACGGCGTGAGACATCTTGAACAGGTAAGTGAGCACGGTGGTGGGCTCCAGAGTCTTGAGCGTGTTCTGAACGGTATCGGGCCACTGCGAAAGCATTCGAACAACATTGGTAGCGTGCTGCTCAGTGAGCAATGAAAGGTCCGCGCTCAACAGATCTTCCTCGGTCAAGTTCGCACGACGCTTGATGGAGCAAAGTCGAGAGTGGGCATACTGCAGGTAGGGGCCCGTGTCGCCCTCAAACGAGGTCATGGCCTCCATGTTGAATGTGTAGTTGTTGATCCTATAGTTCCGATGAGCATGGTTAAGACAAGGCACCCGCGGCAAAGGACGGCTACTAACCTCTTTCCACTCATATCCTGAACCATGACACTGCTAATACCGAGGATATCAGCCGTAGCTACTGGGTTCTCGACCTGAGCATATTTGTCCTGGTTCTTCTTCATGGTCTCGTGCATGTGGTCTGCGCAGTCCCTCAGGATATCGTCCAAGCTATTGCACTTGTATCAGCCAACTCCTCACTTCCGACTAGGATCATGCTTAGGAGCGTATGGGCTATGTCCGGGGATTACTCACAACTTGACGGTACCTTTCCTGGTGCTCATACCCAGAACCAGGCCGAAGTTGATGTGCTGGCAGCGCTTCGCAATGTCCTTGTAGCCAAGCTGCTGAACAATCTCGAAAAGCTGTTTGAGATGGAGATCCTGCGCACTTGCCACGACGTAAATCATGTGGTCAAATTTGTAGGTTTCATACTGTACGGTTGTCAGTGGACGGCATCCTGGTAAAAGCCTAGGGATGGGGTTGGCTTACTCGGCCGAGCAACTCGCAGATGTCACGGGTGAGATACAAGGCGGTGCCGTCCTTCTTTCTATATTTCAGAGCATTAGACCACCATGCCATTAGATACGAGAAGTCATCGCTAGAACTTACCGAATGACGGTAACACCAAGCCGCTTTCCTTCTTTACCAGGAAGCAGTTTGGTGAAGTCAACGAGCGTTGCGCCGTTGTCTACTCGGGAAATGCCCTTCTCTTCCATCTCTACGGCAATCTTTGCCATGGCCTCCTCGGAAACCTGACTCTCACCTACACACAAGTTAGATCTCTTCCCCCTTTCGTTATGTGAATGGAATCTTACCGCTATACTTGTCAAAGGCAATGTTAAGTCGGGCGTACGTCTCTATACCCAGTGTGAGTTCAACAAATCCAGAACCAAGGAGGCGATATCGTCTTACCCTTGTATCGAGCAATACTCAGATCTCGGAAGATCTGCCACTGCTGGAGCACGTCCTCTTCCCTATCAGTCTAAGAGAGGAATATTAGCCACCAGGACTTATTATTAGCATGTGCCAACGACTTACCATGCGCTTAAAGTACCGACGAGCTTGCTCATCAAGGCTCTTGGCTTCAAGTTCGGTGACATCTTTGCCCTCCTTCTTCTGGGCCTCGATAGACTCCTTCTCGGCAGTCATTTCGGCATTTATTTGCACATAGAGGTTGAACAGGTGGTTAATGGGGTCTTTCTGAAGCGCCTCCTCGTTGCCGTATTTCTCGTAAGCGAGAGCCAGCAGTCCGTACTGCTTACCCCAGTCTCCCAGGTCTGTAAAAAATATTAGCACGATTTGGGTTGATGATTTGTCTCCACTATGTGATGCAATTACTCACAGTTCATTCGTACCACTTCCCAGCCGCTACCTTCATAGAGGTTGGCCAAGAAGCTTCCGATAATGGTTGATCGAAGATGGCCGGCATGGAAAGGCTTGGCAACATTGGGAGAGCTGAACTCAACGATCTGATGTACAATTAGCAGCCAATCCTCAGGATCTTGGGTTCCTATGAACTTACAATGCGCTTTTTGCCCTGGCTTGGGTCCTTGGGGTCCCTCAAGCCATTAAATCGGTTACGACCTAGCGATGCAGGGGTAAGTATGTGTACAACAGTTCATGTAGTATAAGAATTAGCATACCATATTCCTCGCCAAGGTTCCGAATCAATGGGATCAATGAGTTGGAGAGTGGGCCTCCCTTGAGGAAGAATGACATGAAAGGACCACTGGTGGTAGGCTTGCCAAATAACGCATCATCCTCTGGGAACTGGTACACATTATCGTTAACTTTAGAAATTATAATAATGAGGCAAACGGCATACCTCTCCAGCCCACTTGGTAGCGAGAGCATCTGGCTTCTCGCCCTTGATCCTCAACGCCGGAACAGCCAGTACAAAGTCACCCTTGTCGAGACCGGTTGTCCAGTTGATGGCGGGATATATGATTTGAGTGTCTACGCCAGAGATTCCGGCCAATACATTGCTAAGGTGTGCCCTGTAGAGGTCAAGTGGGTTGATTTCAGGATGAGCCTGGGGGTATTTCTCGGTGACGGAGTCGAGAGTCAGGCCATTCACCAAGCTGGTGAGCTTGTCGATGCCTGCTGGTTTAGCCATGGCTGAGATGGCTCTTATGCGAGAAGCAGTGAAGGAAGTATTGCGCAAAGAAGCCCTGCAGGTTGTCTGCTGGATATTCGAGGTGGGGTGTTTTGGCTCACTCAAGGACGCAAAAGGCCTGGGTGAGATGGTCAGTGGATGCTGAAGAGCAGGTCTCGCAATCCACGGAGAAACGAGGATTAATATACGATGACTCTTCCGACTGAGAGAAGCCTGACAAACCGTCATGAGAGGTGTGAAGTTTTGGGGCTCGGTACCTGTGACTCAATTTTGGTCCTAGCAGGAAGTTAAGCACAAACGCTTCCCCACCACGAGAGGAATGTTAGGCCTGTGAGTCGCCTGGTGGGGGTTCTGCCGCATTTCAACCGCACGCTGCGAGTTTACTTGTATGTATAGGTAAAAATCCAGTCCTTCTTTTCATTCTACAGTTGCACAGCCGGGCAAAGTAATATGATGGACGATATGCCGAAATTTGAGAGAGATATTGTTTCCAGGCAATTACGATACTCAGTTCCTTGGCCCAATAATAACTTCCAAGTACCTTGTGACGAATATGATTGAACCACCAAAATTTATCACGTTGGAGGGGCAGCTTTGGTGCTTGACGTCTTACCTAATATGGAGAGTGCCCAAATCAATAATAGAATGCGTCTCACATTGTTGAATGCCCAGATGCCATGAAGTGCTGTACAAATCTCTACCTTGTATAGTAATCAAACTTTATGGGTCTAAGGTTAAGGCTGCACTCAATGGTCTCGTGGTTTTAACGCTCCCTTGGTGAGATAAGTAGGTACTGTACATGGCCTTGGAACAAATGCCGAAATGTGCCCCTCATCTAACAGAAAATCAAGAATGCTGTTTGCCCACTTCGACGGGATGAAACACACCTCCAATTGATTGTAAATCTATTCCGTTCCATACGTATCTATCAGATGTGGAAAACCATATCAACGCCGCAAGTTTGTACTGGGCGAGGTTCAAGCAAACATAAGTAGGTAGGTACCTAGTAGGTAGTGCCAGCCACATGGAAAAACCTTTGACGAGATACTAAAGTTTGGCTAGGCAGCCCTGAATTTTTTTGGCCAGGCACTAATGCCGACAAAAACTTTTGCCCCTCGCCTCGCCAAACCCCGCCATAAAAATATCCAGGCCGGCCTAATCGTACATGATCGATCCTGTTTACGTATCTTAGATTCATCACACGATTCAGCCCGACCACGGTCGCAGCCAAACGCATTCCTTATTGCGACATATCGATACAACGATTCGAACATCTACATATTCTCAGCCTTTTATTGTCTGACAATCTGCAATCATGGCTCCTAAGAAGTGGGGTGAGTCGCTGAAGCGCAGTCTGCACACTTTGCGGTCAAATGCCGCCAAATCCTGTCGTTTGCGACGCGCCAAAAAACGAGTGTCGTGGCTCTATCCTGGGGATCTTTGGCTGACAATGCTGGGAACTAGACGAAGAAGAGAGCGAAGGCAGCGACTCTGCCCCCGAAACCGCGCCTGTTGGTGGCGCTCGCCGAAAGTTTGATGATGAGGAAGATGATGGCGACGTGAGTACCAACAACAAAAACAGCGTCACGCCCTGAGCCAGCGACCTCTTCGGTTCCGTCTCTGACTTACCATCGAATATATACAGGTGCTTGACTCTTGGGATGCTGCCGAGGACTCTGAAGTAGAGCGCGAGAAGGCAGCCAAGGCTGCCGCTGCTAAGGAAAAGGCCGCCGCCGCCGCTGCCGCTTCTAAGAAGCCCAAGTCCCAGCGTATCGCCGAGCATATCGCTGAGCGTGCCCGTGTTGCGGCCGAGAGCGACGAAGAGAGCGACGAAGAGACGGAGGCCGAGCGCCGTGAACGACTTCGCCGCACTGAGCAAGAGGCTGACCTCAAGCATGCCGAGGACATGTTTGGCAGCATCGGCATCAGCGCCGGGCGAAAGTCCAATCCTTCTGGCACCATGGTCGCGGACCCCAGCAACCCTACGAACCTCATCAACCTCGCCAACGTCCCAATTTTCAACCCCCAGACAAAGCTGCAGTTTGAGAAGTTGCGGGCTCTTCTCACGCCCCTGATCACCGCAAACACCAAGAAGGCTCACTATGGTCTCTTCCTGGAAGAGCTCTCTAAGGAGCTGGTCAAGGAGCTGAACAGTGATCAGATCAAGAAGATTGCCAGCACTCTTACCCGCGCAAGCAACGAGAAGCTGAAGGAGGAGAAGGCGGGCGACAAGAAGAAGACCAAGGCTGCTAAGACAAAGACCTCTCTTGTCACCAGCCGTGCTAACGTAGCTGATACGGCCACCTATGAGGACGACGCTTTTGGAGAGTAAGTTGGATCATGATAAATCCCTCCACAGAACCAACAGCATTTCATCACACCGCTTATCATTCATTGTTTTGTGGGATTGTGCTAACTTTTTTTCTTCCTCCCTTGTAGTGACGACTTTATGTGAAGGACTTGTCCAAGTCAACACACGGCAAAAAAAGAAAAAGAAGAAAAGGACTGCTAGAATAAGCGTTACATTGGTGTTCCCAGCGTGTTACTCTCCCTGTCAATCGATGGAAGCGCGACAACTCTTGATTTCCTGGACTGCAACCCCCCTCAACCATGCATGGCCCTTTTCACCGTCTTGGTGGGCGCAAGCGGACGACTATTCGACGTATACATTGAAATTGGACGATTTAATGGACATTCTTAGAGGAAGGGGAATTGCGGGAGTTTAAAATGGCATAACGTGAAACCAGCTTGCCTTTTTATGTTTCAAAGCGCGCTAGGTCCAAGGCACGAAGCCTAACAGTCCTATCAGATTCCGGGTATACCATCAAAAGTGATGGCTAGGATAAAAGATGCCGGCTTTTCTTCTTATATCTATACGCTGGCACCTTGTTTTTTTAGAGTGGATTTGTTTTGTATTGCACTGCTTCAGTAGACAAGAGGTCAGGGTATCAGATATAGATAGCCTCTCCTGAAGCGCCAAGTATTTTCTCATAAACATCCATTAAAAAACCCCCAATCGCCAGAAATGCCTGGAGTGATAACCCGTGTAACAACGCAACGCCATCATAAAAATCCCGTCATGTACCGTCCGTCCCATCATGTCAATGTAAATATACAGCAATTCTACAGGAATCCACCGCCTCTCCCCAGTTTTGACAAAAGCCGTTTTCTTGTTCTTCTCCGTGTCTTTCCCCCTCTTAGACCACATTTCCAGCCATACCCATGAATAGAGCATGAATGGCCAGCGACAAGGTCCAAAACCCAACCTTTCGGAATCGCCTGACGCGGCTTTGCTGATCTTCGACATCTTTTGCAAAAGCCTCATACGTCTCGGCGGATGCATCATCCAAGAGCCCGCAATCAAAGACTGTCCAACTTCCGTCAAAGTCGCCTAGCGGCTTGATGATGCGGCTGGAGATGGGAATATACGTCTTCTTGGCATTGATATAGGCCACAATGGGGCGAACAAGCGCCTGGTTGACATATGATAGATCGGGGGTGAATAAAGGTACGGCAGCCTTGACGTCATTGAGGTGAATTCGCAAGTCCATGATGACAAGGCGTCTATCCTCCTCAGACTCGCCAGCTTGTTTCTGAGCCTTCTTCTCGCTCGTTGCGCGCTCACTCTCCGAGAATTTCTCGGGTGTAGGGGCTCGAGGCAGAAAGCGATAACGATTAGCAATGACTGTGCCTTCCAGCTGGTCGTAGAAATCTGTTACGACCTTGGTAATGCTGTCGTCCATGTCCTCGGGAAACATGACATCGGCAACAATGTCAACGTTTCCTTCATATATCCAGCCAAACGGGCCCTCCACTCCACGGTTCAGGTGGTCAATCTTCAAGCCATCGATCCGTAGCCGATTGAACTTTTTCCACGATTTGGATTCTTCCAGCCCCATCATGACTCCCTGGTATCGGCTTGAGACCGTACCGTGAACCTGTCGTGGATGGATCGTGAAGAGAGAGCCATCAAATGACCCGGACATGTGGCTGGCCGATAGGAAATCATAAAAGAGCCACTGTTTTCTCAATCGAGGTAGTTCGCAGGAGTATATGCTCACTGAGAAGGGGCGGAAACCATCAGGTTGGCGAATGGTGAGTAGAAGATCTTCCAATTTGAAAGACTCAATCTCGAAATCGCCCGGTTGATGTTCGTGGCGGTATGAAAGGGGATCAACTTGCTGCAGTGGCCAACGGACAGAAGTGCGATCGACAATTCCTCTAACACCATTTACTTCCACGTCTTTAAGAAGCCCCCTACCGTTCCACCAGTTGAGGAATGAAAGTGTGACATTGACGTTTGCGATCGTTACGTCGTATTGCGTATAGTTGCCATCGTCTTCGGTAACAGTGCCGTTATGCTGAACCTGGCGCCCTGCGGCAGCAACAGCAGCGGCATCAGATGATCCCTTGCTGACGGATGATTCTATCTGCCCGGGTCTTCTTGAAATAAACACATTGCGAAATGCTATGACGCCATTCTTCCACTTGGGCACTATGGCTGATTCGAAGACAACCGTAACACCAGCGGATTGAGTCAGGTAATCTCCAATCCACTGCGCGAGCGTTTCTGATGATATGTTAGCTCTGTCGGTGATAGCTTCAATGCCATAGACATACCCTGAGCAAAGACAGTGTTGATCGAGAAGATGAGGATGGAAAAGAACGTTGTGGTGCCCACCAGGATCCAGACGATATGACCCAGCATAAACCAAGAAACAAAGGCACCCCATTCGTCGATGTTCCAAGGCCGCATACTTCGAATGGAAATCCATTTGAACCTGACCTTGAACCTCTCCCAAAATCCATTCGCGGCCGCCAACAGCTCTTCCTTCGTCGGACGGTGAGGCATCATGGGTAGATTCAGGTATTTAGACATAGATGCTGCTATAGATTCCTGCTCATGGTCTTTTGCCTCGGTTCCAGGTTGCTCGAGAGTTTTCTTGGATGCAGCTCCTGGGCTTTGGTCGAGACCTGTGGCTGGTTTGTGGCCATCCGGTTGTCCTGTGCCGCTACCCTGAACATCCTTTCTTCTGTTTACGCTATCGCTGCTATACTGGTCACTTTGAAGTAACCACCGCGCAGCATTTTGGGAGGCATTGAGGGATGCTCGATGCCTTTCCAGAATGTTCAAAGGAGTGAAGCACCGATGACTACCATGGAGAGGCAGCTGACTGCCCAGTCCGATTGATGTTGGCGAGCGACAGCCATGCTCCTGATGCACCATAGTCGATCCTGGCCCTGCCTTTGCATACTGAGGCTTTGCGATTTGCGTGTGAAACGCCGAAAGAGCTGCTGATCGATTCAACAACGTTGCAGCATGTGGAGTTCGCCATGTTGGAGGGGTTTGGGGGCGGCATGTTAGCTGACGGCGGACAATCAGCCATGATGAGATGCCCTTAGACATTCTTAAGGTTCATGGCGACCAGCAGTCTGGAGGCGGTGCGCCAAAAGAAAAGATGGTATGAACGATGCCTTTGGATCCGAGGTGAAGCTTGGGAATACAATATTTCCCTAAACGCTCGGTAGTTGTACAAAAAGCAGGGCGGCGAAGCAAAAGTAATTGCATGACGCGCCACTCACGTTCTGCATTGTGGGCGGCGCTTAGCCAATCGATAAGCTGCGATAGCCCATCCACAAATTTTTTGATCGCCAAGGTCGAAACGGCCTGTGGCTTGTCTTTGCGAAACCAGCGCCGCAACTTTTTTTCCCCCAAAGAATTTGCGACGAAACGAACGACATATACAGTCAACCATATCGGTTACCTGCTGCTCTCAATTATCAACTCCTTGATCAGGCTTATCAAAGATCCGAACGAACAATAAAAGCCCGTCTTGCTCTCTAGCACCATGCCGGCTCCCACGGCTCTCAAGAAGGCGGAAAGCACCCCGCTTGTCGCAGATGTGCCATCACCAGCGCAGGGTAAGAAATGTTCTGTGAATATTTCTGGATTCTCAAGGCTCACTCGTGTATAGACAATGACCAGGGGTTCCTCCTAGACGCCGCAGACGCTGCAGCGGCCGATGTCGAAGTCATTGTACCCGAAGCCGCAGACGCAGAGAATAGCATGGCTATTGATGAAGAGGGACGGCCTCGCTTTGCGCCATCCAAAGATATTGTATGCAGAGATTCTTTCCTTTGGGTCTGCAATGGGCATATTTGCTGATGTCTACTTAGGATCCCATGACGAGAGTCGAAACACGAAAAATCCCCATCCCACCACACCGGATGACACCATTAAAACATGCATGGCCTTCCATCTATCCTCCCATTGTGGAGCACCTGAAACTGCAGTGCCGTATGAACATTGCGCGGAAAACAGTCGAGCTGAGGACTTCCAAATCCACCACGGATTCCGGTGCGCTGCAGAAGGGCGAGGACTTTGTCAAGGCCTTTACTCTTGGATTCGACGTTGATGATGCCATTGCTCTCTTGCGACTGGACGACCTTTATATCGAGACCTTTGAAATCAAGGATGTGAAGACGGTCCATGGAGATAGCCAGAGCCGTGCTATCGGCCGAATCGCTGGCCACCAGGGAAAGACGAAGTTTGCCATTGAGAACGCCAGCCGAACAAGAATCGTGCTAGCTGATTCAAAGATTCACATCCTGGGAGGTTTCAAGAACATTCACATGGCTCGTGAATCTGTTGTCAGCTTGATTCTCGGAAAGCCCCCCGGCAAGGTTTACGGCAATCTGAGAACTGTTGCTGCCAGAATGAAGGAGCGTTTCTAAGTTGGTTGGACAAACATCTGCGGTACTCTTGGCGTTCGGTTGGGGGAATAATCATGATTCATGTCTTTTTGGCGGATTTGGTGGTCTATATATGTCGGAATTGTTTTTCTGCATAACTTTTTTGAAATGGCAATTCACCCCAGCATGATGGATTTGCTGAATGATGTAGCCCAAGAAGGGGGGAGGTAGACTGTAATTCACGCGCCTTAACAAGTGGCAAGCGAATCTGAAAAGAAAGGCTTTTTTTTGTTTTAAACCAACTATCAGTAAGGGGTATCATGGTCCGAAAAAAATCTTGTAGTATCGTACTAGACGGCCAACTCCGTGACGCCAAACGGGCCGATAGAAATACTCCTGCTTCGGAAGCTGCTGTCACAAGCACCAAAAAAAAGAAGCCCAACAACTTTGCTTCGGAGGTTCTAGTTTTGACGAGGCTTGATCATCCCCTCCTGTACAATGTAATAGACCACCGTAGAGTCATTATGCAGGGCAGCCAGCACAATCCGCTTGGCCCCCTTGCGAGCATCTGGAAGAGCGTCCATGACGGCGGCAAAGCTGGAGAGCGTCCATTTCTCGGCGAGATGGACGGGCAGCACCCATTCAACCTCAGCGTCGTGTTGCGCCCTTGTGCCTGTTGACTTCTCATATGCAAGGGCTGCTATCTGGTCGTCTGGGTGGAGATATAGCAGGCGTGGTGGAAGGCCTCTGATCATTGGTCGCGGCAGCCCTGGGAGGCCCTGGATCTCCAACGAGGCCCATTGGTGCTGGTCTTGCAGGTTGCGAAATACCGCAGAGGCGACATCGGCATCATAATGATGTGACACATCCATGTCTGAGGCTGATAGCTGGGCAATGGAAATGGTAAAGGAAATTAGATTAGAGAGAGGAATGACTGGCTACATGATGCCCGCAAAGGGCCAAGCGGGAGGCGTGAGACGGAAACTTTTTCGCTCTGAGAGGTCGGAGAAATACTAGCGCCTGTACTTCGGGTTTCTTGCTGTCTACTGATTAACGTAAGTTAGTAGTGGCCCAATTATTACCTCACAAGCACACCAGCTTGCGCAGCAGGAGCTTCCTTAGGTAACTTCCATGGATGGTTATCTTAGCAGCACGAGACGCCCCACCTGCCACCCCTCCATTTTCTTCTACAACAAAAACACCAGCATCTTCCTTTTCTTTCCCAACGAATCTTGACTCTTCCAGTCTCGCAAGAAACGCTTGAGAAACCCAATCGACCTTCGAAGTACAGGTACGGTATTTTGTTCTTCTTTTTTCGCTTCAAGAACAGAGCTCCAAGTCTGTCGTCCAAGCTTTGCCCCTCATTCCCATTTCAGCCCTGCCAGCTACCCCTCCATTGGGAGCAAAGGAGCTGGAGGAACGACGTCAAGCGGCCGTTTTGAGGCATATTTCAGTACATTTTCTACTCTCTTGCTTGGATGATTCCAACCACGAGAAATCCCCTTCTCTGGAAGCAACATGTGATGAAGTGGCCTAGCTCTCCCTCTCTCTAAGCTCCATTGTCGACGTCACGGCTGCCTTAGCTCCCAAGCTCCCAAAAAGCACTTGCTAACAGGCATTGCTTCACCTAGCAGCTTTGAAAATGGCCATTACCAAGATCCACGCTCGCTCCGTCTACGACTCCCGTGGTAACCCCACCGTGGAGGTCGATCTCGTCACTGAGACTGGTCTGCACCGCGCCATCGTCCCCTCCGGTGCCTCCACCGGTTCGTCTCCCCGATCTCACTTCATGCCATACAGCTACAGAAAATAACTGGAATCATAGGCCAGCACGAGGCTGTTGAGCTTCGAGATGGCGACAAGGCCAAGTGGGGTGGCAAGGGTGTCACCAAGGCCGTTGAGAACGTCAACACCATCATTGGCCCCGCCCTGCTCAAGGAGAACCTTGATGTCAAGGACCAGTCCAAGGTCGACGAGTTCCTGAACAGCCTTGACGGCACCCCCAACAAGGGCAAGCTCGGTGCCAACGCCATCCTCGGTGTCAGCTTGGCTGTTGCCAAGGCCGGTGCCGCTGAGAAGGTAAATCCCACTACTGGAGGCTACGATTAATGAGCAGAGGCTTACCACCACCAGAATGTTCCCCTGTATGCCCATATTTCCGACCTCGCCGGAACCAAGAAGCCCTACGTTCTCCCCGTTCCCTTCATGAACGTCCTCAACGGCGGGTAAGTCCATTCTCCACGCCGAAAACTCTCAGCCAATGTCAGTCTCTAACTTTTAATCAGTTCTCACGCCGGTGGGCGTCTGGCTTTCCAGGAGTTCATGATTGTCCCCTCGTAAGTCGCCAAAATACATCAACTTCCGCATTGGTAGCTTCTTCTAATCAAGAACAGAGATGCTCCCAGCTTTTCTGAGGCACTTCGCCAGGGTTCTGAGGTCTACCAGAAGCTGAAGACCTTGGCCAAGAAGAAGTACGGCCAGTCCGCTGGCAACGTCGGTGACGAGGGTGGTGTTGCCCCCGATATCCAGACCGCCGATGAGGCTCTTGAGCTCATCACCGACGCCATTGAACAGGCCGGCTACACTGGCAAGATGAACATTGCCATGGACGTCGCCTCCAGCGAGTTCTACAAGGAGGACGCCAAGAAGTACGACCTCGACTTTAAGAACCCCGACAGCGACCCCGAGAAGTGGATCACCTACGAGGAGCTCGCCGCCCTGTACTCTGACCTCTGCAAGAAGTACCCCATCGTCAGCATTGAGGATCCCTTTGCTGAGGATGACTGGGAGGCCTGGAGCTACTTCTACAAGACCCAGGACATCCAAATTGTCGGTGATGACTTGACCGTCACCAACCCTGTCCGCATCAAGAAGGCTATCGAGCTCAAGGCCTGCAATGCCCTTCTCCTCAAGGTCAACCAGATTGGTACTTTGACCGAGTCTATCCAGGCCGCCAAGGACTCCTACGCCGATGGCTGGGGTGTCATGGTCTCTCACCGATCTGGTGAGACTGAGGATGTTACCATTGCTGACATCTCCGTCGGTATCCGTGCCGGTGAGATCAAGACTGGTGCTCCCGCCCGATCTGAGCGTCTGGCCAAGCTTAACCAGATCCTCCGCATTGAGGAGGAGCTCGGTGACCTTGCCGTCTACGCCGGTGCCAAGTTCCGCAACGCCGTTAACCTGTAAATGACAACAAGGTGGTCACAAACATGAGGTAAAAAGACAGACCGCCCGAAGAATGGAATGCCATGGGTGGATAAAATAAAATAATGACTATAAAGAAACGCCCATATGGCGGAAGAAAATGAATTGAATGATGAATAACCCGAGATGGCCCTGTTGTGAAGGCTCGTGAAAGGCGTTCCTCGAACTTCTCAGTACTCATTCCCTGATGGCCCGTACAGTTTCGTCTGCCAGGGTCCATCTTAGATTTGATGGCACAGCTTATTAATGTTCCGAATTCCCTGTAAAAAGGCAGCAAGCTCCGATTATGACTTTCAACAGCCATTTGAATGGAGCAGTCAGTGCCAAAGTATCTGATACTAAAATCGCGACGAAAAGGGCATTTCAAAACAAGCATTTACAGGTATTAGTAGACTGCAGAGAGGCAGGTACTAAGGTGTCTAGTGCCGGGTACCGAGTACATAATATTGTACTAAAAACAATCACCAGAGCAACGCGGGGTCGAAAACACATGCCACTACACACGAAAGCGTTAAACTAGATCACGTAGTAAGTTTATCAACATTGGGAGAAAAAAATATCAAATATTGCAATTGTCGAAACTGTCCCTCAGCTGGCTTCTGGTATTACGTTTCGTGTCCGGCTCCATATCGAGTGCCTCGTTCTAACTAAAGCCAGAGGCTGTAATAGTTTATATCGTCTCGAAAAGCCACAGGGTTGCCGTCATTCGCGGTCTGGCAACATGGCGGGTTCAGAGGATATCACCGACTTCGATATGATTGAGGATCAGAAGGAGAACATCCAGTCCCTGCCCGGAGGCCGCTCAGCGAAGAAGCTTGCCAGTCTTTTCTCTCCATCTCCTCTACACAAATATTCCACACCGACACCGACGGACACAAAAAACGTCAACGACTGCATCCGCGCAGAATACGAGGCGGAAATCGTAAACATCTCCGAATCCGACGATCCTTTAGATGTGTTTGACAGATATGTGCGCTGGGTAATAGACGCGTATCCATCAGCACAAGCGACGGCCGAGTCACAGCTCCACACGATCCTCGAACGCGCGACGAAGACGTTTGTCACCTCATCACAATACAAGAACGACCCCAGATACCTCAAGCTATGGATGTACTATATCCAACTGTTTTCCGACTCACCGCGCGAAACATTTCTTTTCCTCTCACGACAGGGAATTGGCGAGAGCCTCGCATTGTTCTACGAGGAGTACGCCGCATGGTTAGAAGGGGCAGGTCGGTGGGCACAAGCGGAGGAGGTATACAAGCTCGGGATTGAGCGAGACGCACGGCCAGCTCAGAGGCTGCTGCGCAAGTTCAAGGAGTTTGAGGCAAGACTCGCTCGGCAGCCAGACGCATTGGAGGGACCATCTTCACCGGCTTTGCCCACCGTCCGTCCCGCGCTGGCCAGCAAGACAGACCCCTTTGGCGTTTCATCACAACCAGTAGACCCTCAGGCCCAACGGCAAACAAGCGGTGTTGGGGGCAGTTCGTCCCGAGCTGGAAAGTCCAAAATCTCCATCTTCTCCGACGCGGATGCCCAACAGCCTGCCATGTCGTCAAGAGACGCTGGATCCAAGGGCTGGGATAGCATTGGATCTCTGGCAGATCGAAAAAAGGAAAACGCGATGGAACCGAAGCCATGGTCTGGAGAGACGCTCAGGGCAGGTGGCAAGAAGCCTGGATCTGGTGGGGCCAAGCTGGCGGTATTCAGGGATCCGGTATGTAACCCCCTCGATCGTGATGTATTCAGCTGTTGATGAGAATAGGACTAATGTATTTCTGTTTGTGGTGTTATGTAATTCAGTCCCTTGCTCAAATACAAAATATCATTGTTGTCCCGTCCAAGCATCAAGTAACGACTCATCCGCAAACAGGAAAGAGAGAACGCATCTTTGTTGACCTCGCAGCCGTTTACCCAACCCCCGAGGAGCCTGGCACAGAACTAAGCTTCGAGGAAGTTATTGCTGCGCATCGAGGCTGGCTCGACCGCCTGTGGGATACTGACTATAGTCACCAAGATCACATGGTGCCTCTTCGTGATGTGGACAATTTGAGACAAGTGACAACCGACGAGCTGATTATTGACGGAGACCCCATGGACTTGGACGAGAACGGCGTAGTAAACGAGAAGCCTAGAGAATCCCGTTCAGGCAGGAAAAAGAAGACAATGGAGGTCAATGAGACGCAGATCAGTATGTTATGACATCTCCAAACCCTCAATCAATCTTTTCATAAGCCCCTAACGCTTGAATAGTCAAAACGAAACTCGACTCCCCATCAGGACCAAAGCTTAAGAAGAAGAAGGTAGCGGAGCCCACTATGACCCTTCACACAAGAGCAGCCACGGATGATATTTACGACATTTTCAACGCACCGCTCAAATCCACACCCGTGGAAGCAAACGACGATGACGATGAAGACTCCGACTCCGACTCTACCTCCGACGATGACAATGATGATGACGATATGACTGATGGCGATTATGCAAGTGATGCCGAGAGCACTGGCGCTACGAGGCAGCCACACGAAGGTAAGCAGGAAGGCGATGAAGCATTAGAAGTCATGGGCTTCGATGAATCAAGGGCGGATGGCCAAGACAGTTCCAGAATCTAATTTCTCTTCAATATAGACGAAATATCACAGCGCCTGGAGGACGACTTTGAGGATGAAGAGCCAGAGCTGCCTAGAACGCGCACCATCTTCATTCCCGTCCCACCAGAAGACTATGAGCCACCAACACGCCCGTATAGGGATCCGGCGGAGATGGCCAACAATCGACTACCTTTCATGACGCCCATCACCGAGAGAACCGAGCCATCGTTGGACGTCACCGTGGACCGAGCATACCAGTTCAAGACGCCTAGTAAGCATGACGGTAGAGCGGCACCGGTCGAGGAGGCATCAGACTCGGAATCCGAGAACAGTTCCCTGAAAGAATTTTTCCCAGAAGGGAGACCATCCATCAATGGTCGAACACCTCTAGGGTCCAAGGCTGCTAGAGCACTAAGTAAGAGTGGCCCCAATAGAGGAGTACCTGTCAAGGGCCCCATTGTTAAAGAAGCGCAATGCAGCCCCATCGACGACAACGTTCGGCGACATATCTTGACAAGCATACAGCCTCCGCTGGCCATGTATCCCGGCTTCTACGATCACTACAACCAGAAATATGAGCGTGGTGCAGAGATTCGAAGATACGCCAAGGCTGTCAGGTTAGGCAGAGCGAATCCAGACAAACCCGGACCGGGAAACCTTCCGACGATTATCCAATTCAATGACTGTGAGACTAGATATGCTGTGAGGAGGGAACTTGGCGCTGGCGCTTTTGCACCGGTGTACTTGGTGGAGAACTCGAACCCGGATCGAGAGGAAGATGGCCATGACATTGGAGCCAGGATGGGAAAGGGGACATTCGCCGTAAACCGACGAGCGGCAATAGAAGCCTTGAAAATGGAATCGCCTCCAACGCCGTGGGAGTTTTACATTATGCGTACTGCTCATTCACGTTTGGGCCCTCAGCATCGAGCCACGGCTTCATTGTCGTTTGCACATGAAATGCACCTCTACCAAGACGAAGCCTTCCTCTTCCTCCCATTCCATCCTCACGGCACGTTGCTCGATGTCATCAACCTCTTTCGAGCAGAGCCTTCAGGCGCCATGGATGAGCAGCTTGCCATGTTCTTTTCCGTCGAACTATTCCGCACAGTCGAAGCTCTTCACTCCAAAAATGTCCTTCATGGCGACTTGAAGCCGGACAACTGCCTCCTCCGCCTTGACTCCAAGTCGTCTTCTGTGTTCTCCGAGCAGGCTCTCTCCAGCCAATGGCACGCCGATGGACGCGGCGGATGGGATTCGCGGGGCATCGTTCTTATCGACTTTGGGCGCGGCATCGATATGAAGGCATTTACCCCTGACGTGGAATTCATCGCCGATTGGAAGACGACGGCGCAGGATTGCCCCGAAATGCGAGAGGGACGGCCTTGGACGTGGCAGATTGACTACTACGGGCTCGCGGGCGTCATTCACTGTCTGCTTTTCGGAAAATATATTGAGACAGTGCGCGCTGATCAGGGGGGGTTCGGCCGAGGTGGTCGAAAGTACAAGATTCGTGAGAACTTGAAGCGGTACTGGCAGACGGACATTTGGTCGGATTGCTTCGAGGTGCTGCTGAATCCGGCTTCGTTCCTCGCCTACGAGGATGGCGGCAGGATGCCCGTGCTCAAGTCGATGAGGAGCATCCGTGAACGCATGGAGGCGTGGCTGATGGCTAACTGCGAAAGGGGAGCAGGGCTCAAGGCTACGATGGGCAGGGTGGAGGCGTTGGTGAGGAATCGCAAGTAAATTTGGTTGGATCAGTCTATAGATTTCCTGTTTTTTTCTCTCTCTTTGTTTAGCATGTCTTTTGTGGTTTTGTTAGCCCCTATTCACGAAGTATGGTTATGTTATTCCCGCATTCTTAGATATATCATTTAGTGCTAGTCTTTCTCGTGGGCTTTTTCTTCTTCTTTCTTTTTTATCTTTTGTACATATGGCCCCGAGAAAGCAATTTCTCCGATAGAAGAACATGTGGAATAAGAACCTATTTGGTCTTTCAACGGTTTGTTCAGGTCCGCCTTGCTTCAACTCGCTGTGTCAAAGTTACCGATCGCTTCATATGAAGAATATGTACCTAAAAGAGCATGAATTGAATAATGAATTATGCAGTGATATAGTTTTCTATACATGGTGGAATATTGGCTCTCTCAATAATCTGTCTCGTGTGAGGAGCGTGCATTGCTTACACTTTGATAAACGCCGATGGAGAGTCAATTTGAGAATTTCGACGATACACACCTATAGAGATGTACATATGGGCAGCTAATGCAACCTCGGAGCCTAAGGTGAGCCCAATCACCATCTCGGACTTAAACCTGTGACTCTGCGGGCTCTGATAGTCTTGTATCCTCCACCTGAAACTGCTCCTATATCTACCTTATGATGGGCTCTTGGGCCTTGGAGAGTGCCTCACTTTGAAGAGTCAGTATCAAGATCAAATTGTGCTCTGCTATCAACTGATATATTGCTCAATCATGAGCTCGTATCATCATGGAGCCTCTCTTGGCCAGGAATATCCAGCGCCTTCGCTGCCGACTCCAAGGCATATTCGTCTAGTATCGTTGCTTCCCGGTAGCGATGATACGATTATTTGTGAGCTCATCACGGCGGGCTTGAATTCCGCTCCCCACTACGAAGCTTTATCATATACCTGGGGCAACCCTCTGGATCGCCGAACTATATACATCAAGACGACGGAACTCGGGGACGCAACGGAATTCCAGGTCCCATCAAACTGTTTCTCTGCTCTACGGTGCCTACGACTGGCCGATCGACCGCGCATTCTTTGGATCGATGCAGTGAGCATTGACCAGCATAATTTCCCTGAGAGAAACCAGCAGGTTACCCTCATGTCCCAGATTTACTCTAGAGCAGCGCAAGTCATCATCTACCTTGGCGAATCCGATGACGGCTGTGATTTGGCAATTGAGTTCATCGTTGAGCCGGACAACCCGGATCCAGAGACAACGGCATCGCTCAGTTATCCCAAGTCAGAGCCATTACTTCTGGCCCTGAAAAGCTTCTTCAGCCGACCGTGGTTCAGCAGAGTTTGGGTGATCCAAGAGGCCACACCCTCACACAAAGCTACAGTCTACTGCGGCGACAAGGTGTTTTCCTGGTTTGCAGTAAAAAATTTCCAACAATGGAACGTGAGCCAGAAATGGTTGAAGCAGCTCCCATTCGTCGTGACTTCTTCAAGAAAATCTCTGACAGAATGGACCTCTAGAAAGACGATGCTCAATGCTCTCATTGAAACAAGATACTGCGCGGCAACGGACCCACGCGACAAGGTGTACAGCTTGCTGCCGCTTCTGCATGCTCTTGACCAAGAGCTCAATCTCACATCGCAATATGAAGACTCGGTGGCTAAAGTCTATACAGATTGTGCAGCAGCTCTGATGTTGCCGTGGCAGTTTGAGCTGGTGTTGTGTGCCGTACAGGGCGGATCGAATCACAACGACCTGCCGTCTTGGGTACCAGATTGGAGTAACGAGCCCAGACGAACGATTATTGGAGAGAATGAAGACATTGAACATGACAGCGCTTGGACTTCTAAGGGTGTCTCGGGATACTCCATGCGATTAACTTTATCACCGCCAGAGCCAGCGCTACACATGACAGGCTATCCATGCGGCAAGGTAGCGAAAATGGGATCCGCGTACCTTGCCGGTCAAGGCCCATTTCCGCTAGATGAATGGAGGGCTTTATTGGGCAAGGAGCCTACACAATCTTTGGATGCTCACCCAAATGAGGCTTCTTACGCCGTTGAGGGTTTCTACGCAGTCATATGTGCTCGCGATGTTGCTTACCCTTCGGCTATTCATGGATTTGTGGAAGGGGATAAGGCATCAGTCTGGGAAGCTCTTGTTCGTCAAGCATTGCTTGAAAAAGCGAATGGGAGTCCATCAGGCAACAACGGTACTTTGTCTTTTCGAGATATCCTTTTTCATCAAGCAGGCAAGGGTATGTTTCCGAGCTACAAGGTCTATGTTCAGATGATCTTGCAAAACTGCCACTCGCGTCGCGTCTTCGTTACGGACACCGGGTTTATGGGACTGGGTCCGGAGGAGACTTGTATTGGGGACGACGTCTATGCAGGTGTCGGAGACAAGATACCGTTCGTGCTCCGAGAGGTTGACAGCGGTTCTAAGCAGCAGGGGACGAGTCGGTTTCGACTTGTTGGAGAGTGCTATTTGGAGAGCAGAACGTGGAGGGAACTTGAAAGCGAGCCAGAGTATTTCGACATTATATAGTATGCTGGCCATGTAGAGAGTGGGTAGTACATCTCCTGATGAAGAGGATTGAATATCATCACGGTTGATATCCAGCCCTATATTCGGCCGGAAAGCGATGTAGGCCGTCTACTACCGGGGTAACATGAGATTACCATTACAAAATAGCTTTTAGTTGGAAAGAGAAAGGGAGAAGAAAGCACAGAGTAATGCGATTTATAGATTTGTAGACATATATATAAGAGTACCTACAGCAGTGCATTTCTGGCCTATAGACAAAGTCATATACGTGATAATGCTACAACATCAAGCGTATCAGACCATAGGTTGTGAAAAATTCGGGATCCTGTCAAACTCTCTTTTAACATATTCTATTTTTAGCATTCTGAAACTTCAAATTGGGGTTAAATGATTCCGTGTTCGAAAGCAACTGAACCAACAGTTCAGACACGTACCTGTATCTATTATAATAGAAAAAGAGAAGAAGAAAAAGTCCATAGTAGACAGAAAAACTTACAGCGTGTATTACCTACCTAGTACCTAGTACCTAGTATACATGTAGTGTGAAACGCTGGCTAATAGGCACCCGGTACATGTACGGTCCCGTGAACCAATAGTATTGAGGATCGGTGAAGACAATGTACTTTGAGAATCCTGCTCATTTTCTATTGGTAAGGAATACTTTGCGAATACGGAGTGCATGAATTTATCTACCTATGAGATCATGTTATGAGATATGCGCGGAATACTCCGCATTCTGCCTTGTACTTTGCCTCAAGACGTGGAAGCCCAATGATGACTTAAATGTATCCCTACCCAACTTTAGTAAAATCCTGGAAACTGATAACCCCTCATTCAACCTGATAAGTTGGATCATTCTCAATAATAGAATCAAAATCTTCCTACCGATAACACAGCAAAAGGAGAATCATCCGAATTCTTTCCAACCTCATCGGCTTCCCAGCCATACATCTCATGATGGCTACTCGGCCCTCTAGCCGCGACGAATTCGAGATTGCCCTGATTTGTGCATTAACGCTTGAATATGATGCCGTCTCGTTGCTCTTCGACGAGTTCTGGGATGAAGACGGTGATAGGTATGGAAGGGCCATTGGAGACCCAAACACTTATACCACTGGACGCTTCGGCAACTTCGACGTCGTCCTTGTTCTTTTACCAACTACGGGGAATGTCAGTGCGGCTAGTGCGACGGCAAGCCTCCGGTCAAGCTATTCGGGGTTAAGGCTTGTCATCTTAACTGGAACCTGTGGGGGTGTGCCTTTTTCAGGCACAGGTGATGAGATTCTCCTTGGTGATGTGATCATCAGCAGAACTGTGATACAATATGACCACGGCAGCCAGTATTCCGATAACTTCAAGACAAGAGACACCACAGAAGATATCTTAGGTCGGCCGAATAAGGATATCCGTGGTCTAGTCGCCGTTCTTGAGACACAGATTGGACGAGAGCGACTTGAGAAACGAGCTACCGTCTTCCTCAAACAGATTCAAAATCTTCCTCCCAAAGGGAATCGGCGGCCAGCAGATATCTACAAATATCCCGGAGCCTGCAGTGATAGGTTGTTCGAGGCGAACTATCTCCATAAGCATCATCTTTATCCACAACGTGTCTGCGCGAACTGCCACGACTGCGAAGATGCTGTATGCGAAGAATCTCGAGACCTAGCGTGCGACGTTGTGGGGTGCGATGATGAACATATGATCAAGCGAAAGCGTCTTGAGACGAATCGAGCGTCCAAACAGCAACGCTTTTGGGAAGAATTTCAGACACCGTCCATCTTCATTGGACGATTCGGCTCAGGTGATAGAGTGGTCAAATCGGGCAAACACCGTGATGAGATCGCCAAGCATTACGGTGTCCTCGCGTTTGAAACGGAGGCTGCTGGAGTCTGGGATGAGCTTCCATGCATCATTATCAAGAGCATCAGTAACTACGCGGACGGCCACGAGAATAAACATTGGCAGAATTTTGCAGCTGCAACGGCCGCATCTGTCGCTAAAGCTCTGATGGAACGATATACAAAAACAGACAGGACATTCAGGACCCAGATTGAACAGCAGATGAAGGAATTGATGGAAAACAAAGAAAGTAATAAATGCCTTCAGGATCTACGCCAAACAGACCCCCGCGATGACAAGACGCGTATTCAACGTACCAAAGGCCACTTGCTTAAAGACTCATATCGTTGGATACTCGACCACGCCAACTTTAAGAAATGGTGGTATAAATCCCAATACCCGCTGCTTTGGATTAAAGGAGACCCTGGGAAAGGAAAAACTATGCTTCTGTGCGGCATTATCGATGAGATAGAGGAATCTACCACCACACAATGCCTATCCTACTTCTTTTGCCAGGCTACCGAACTACAGCTCAGTAACGCAACGGCAGTATTGCGGGGTCTCATATACATGATCATTATCCAACGCCCAGCGCTGATATCACATGTACGAGAGAAATACGACCATTCAGGAAAGAATCTTTTTGAAGACCGCAATAACTGGGAAGCATTATCAAAGACTCTGTTGGCAATACTGAACGACCCAAGTCTGACCGATGCAATTCTGATCGTTGATGCACTCGATGAGTGTGTTGAAGGATTGTCAGATCTTCTCGAATTCATCAACCAAGCTTCTTGTTCAAGTCGCGCCAAATGGATTGTTTCAAGCCGTAATTGGCCAATCATTGAGGAGAATCTCAAGGATGCCATGCATGGAGTAAGGTTATGCCTTGAGTTAAACGAGAGTTTAGTTTCTGCTGCTGTTCAATCCTTTATCCGATACAAGGTGCAGCATCTAACGAAGAAGAAGCGCTACGATAAAGATACGCAAATTGAAATCGAACAGTATCTAATGTCCAACGCGCATGGCACGTTTCTGTGGGTAGCTCTTGTCTGCCAAGAGCTAGCAGATCCTAGAGTCCGAAAACGACATACGCTACAGAGGCTGAAATCATACCCCCCCGGACTTGATCCTTTATATAAGCGTATGATTCAGAATATTCACGATTCGCTTGATGCGGAAATTTGCCGACAGATCTTGGCTATTACTTCAGTCGTATACCGCCCAATTACGTTACCAGAGCTGAGCTGTCTCATGAAGCCACATAATGATAATAGCTACGACGAACTAAAAGAGATGATTAGGTTTTGTGGCTCATTCTTGACTATTCGAGAGGAAACGATTTACTTTATACATCAGTCAGCTAAAGACTTTTTGCTTGAGAAAGCGCCCGATCAAATTCTGGCCATGGGCATTGAACACCAGCACCATACTATCTTTTCCAGATCATTGAATCAGCTAATTAAGATACTACATCGTGATATCTACAGCCTGAGACTCCCAGGCTTCTCCATCAAACATGTTCCTTCACCTAATCCTGATCCCTTGGCTCCAATCCGCTATTCTTGCATCTACTGGGTCGACCACCTCATTGCCTCGGAACATACGTGGGAACCACGTCATGGAAAGATGCGTAGAAGTGAAAACATGGTCATCAAATTCTTAAAAAGAAAATACATATATTGGTTGGAAGCTCTCAGTTTGCTACGAAGTATATCAGAAGGCGTACTAGCAATGCAGAACTTGGTAAGTTAGGACTTTAATCAGATATTCGTATAAAACTCTAATATCTCCAAGGAAAAGCTCCAGATGCCACAGCTTACAAGACCACTAGAAGATGCGAATCAATTCATTCGTTCGCATAGACAAGCGATAGAGTCTGCGCCATTGCAAGTCTATGCATCAGCACTTGTCTTTAGTCCTTCGCACAGTAGGGTGAGACGGCTCTTTGCGGCCGAAGAACCGGAATGGATCCTTACGAAACCAATCGTGGAGAAACGCTGGCACGCCTATTTGCAGCACACGTTCGAACATATCAGCCGGGTGGTCGCCTTCTCCCATGACTCGGCACTCATAGCATCAGGCGCGTCAGACAACTCAATTCAACTCTGGCGCACTAGTGCAGGCGACCGTGTGCGAAAGCTTGAAGGCCATGATGGTGAAATTCAGTCAATTGCCTTCTCTCATGACTCGAAGCTCATAGTATCAGGCTCGCGTGATAAAGCAATCCGAGTCTGGTGCACTGTTACAGGCATCTGTTTGCGAGTGCTCATGGGTCATGAAAAAGGCATCACATCAGTTGCCTTCTCACATGACTCGGCGCTCATAGCATCAGGCTCAGAAGATAAAACAATTCGGCTCTGGAGCACTTCTACAGGCGATTGCATACGGGAATTTGAGGCTTATGATGCCTTCACAATCTCATTAGCCTTCTCGCCTGATTCAGCATTGTTGGCATCATGCTCAGGACATGGAATCATTCAGCGGTGGCGCACAGGCGAATGTACGAACGGGCCAACCCAAGTTCCTCAAAACCCCATCAAATATAATCGTGGAGTTCAATCGGTTACTTCTCCACATGTCCCAAGAAAAAGGAATCTATTTCTTCTAGTCTCGAGGAAGCTATCCGGAAGGAAGGAAAAAGTAGAAAACAAACACGAAGACACCTCTCTTTGGGACGTTGATAAGGCCCATCATTTACGTGTAGGAAAGTCGAATTATATCGGCATATCTGTCTTCTCTCACGACGCAAAACTTATATTAGCAGTTCCGGTAAATGATGATGCGATGCATATCTGGCACACCGTTACAGGCCAGTGTGTACATGAGCTACGGGGACATAACAGTAGGGTTACGGCGGTTGCCTTTTCACATGACTCAAAATTGGTAGCAATTGGATCATACGATAAGACGATTCGCATCTGGTCTGTTGATACAGGCAATTGCGTGCAAGAGCTTCAAGGCCACAGTGATTTCATCACATCAGTTGCCTTCTCGCATGACTCGAAGCTTATAGCGTCGGCTTCATACGATAAAACAGCCCGGCTTTGGCGCGTTAACACAAATGGCTTTCAACAGGAAGACCCAGCCGTCATTAAACCTGGAGGCACATTCTTTCTCTTCTCAAACGACTCGACACTCGTGGCATCTGTCTCAGAAAAGATCATCTCGCTCTGGTGCCCTCATACAGGCAGATGTACGCAGGAGCTCAAGGGCCATAGCGATGACGTTGTGTCAATTGCCTTCTCGCATGACGCAGCGCTTATAGCATCAATTTCAAGAGATGGCAGCGCCCGACTCTGGCGCACAGATACAGGCGACTGCGTGCAGAAGTTACAGCGCCTTGACGAATCCTGGGGGTCATTTGGCTTAATTGCATTCTCGCATGACTCTGCTATTATAGCAGCAGGCCTGGATAACAACAGCATCCAACTATGGAGTGTTGTCGACGGCAACCTCTTATTTGAGCTACCCGGTGTCCGTCCTTTTGTCTTCTCGCATGACTCCGCCCTTATCGCGTCACAGTTGGAGACTGGAAGAGTTGGACTGTGGCGCACTGCTACAGGCGACTTTGTGCAAAAGCTACAGAGCAGCTTTGCGGAGGAAATCGGATCACTTGTTTTCTCCTATGACTCAACGCTCCTAGCGGCAATTGCAAGGAAAAAACTTAAACTCTGGCACGTCGCTTCGGGCGAATGCATACGAACGCTTCGATCCCCAGATGATGTGCTGGTGTCAGTCACCATCTCGCATGACTCAGCGTTGGTGGCTGCAATGCCAGGAGGTAGTAACATCGCAGTCTGGCGCGTCGACACGGGCGACCTCGTGCAATGCGTCGACCTCTATTGCTACGTCCATTGGTTTTCCAGGCAATTGTCATTTGCAAGGAACAAGTTGGAAATCCTTACTGCTTTTGGTCTTGTGGCTATCGACGACACTGGAGGCTCTGTTGGTTGGAAACCACTTCCACCTCGTTTTGTTGGCCCCGGCATTAGTAACGATGGCAGCTGGATTACTTGGAACAATGATAATCTCCTCAGGTTACCAGCCGAATTTCAAAATTCTGACTATGCTATATCGGGGTCTACTGTTGCTATTAGATCTGGATCAGGACGGATTATTTTCATCGGTTTATCGGCTGATGTGCTGTCAAATTTATACGGCGGGATGATGGCAGTTTGACGTAGGGTTCCTCGATGTTCTCAGCTTGTCAATGAGATCGGCTCTCGAGCCTCCCATGAAAGTATTTCCCAATCATATGGCCATTCAACTCTTTCCATGTGTTTTGATTAGCCTGTTAAAGCGAAAATATATGTATACTTGGTATAAGTGGTGCTATGTAACACAATCTGTCGGCAGTATGAAGTTAGAAAAAAGCACTACCGGTAATATCGCCAGAATGGCCTGTAAATGCACACTCCTCGAGGCCGGTCGCCACATCGCACAGCCTCAATGTGTGATCAGCCAAACCGGCCGCAATCTTCCTACCGTCGGACGAGAAGGCTAGACTCTTGACATTACTAGGTTGGCTCATGGGATTCCGCTCTTCCTTGGCGCTTTCCGCATCCCACAGACGAACGGTACAATCACCGGACCCCGTTGCAATCTTACTTCCGTCTGGCGAAAAGGCGATACTGGTGATGGCGCCAGAATGACCCGAAAGAAGATGCTGGGCCTGATTAGTTGTAGCATCCCAGATTTGTACAGTGCCGTCAGTACTTCCCGATGCCATCTGGCGCCCGTTTAAGGAGATCGCGAGGCTGGTGATGGCACTGGAGTGACGGGAAAGGGGTTCTTGTGTGCCGGTCGCTATATCCGACATCCATATCCCGTTATCCCTTGTTCCAGCTACGATTCTCTTGCCATCGAGAGAAAAGACAACACTAGTAACAGCGTGTTTAATAGTGTGGGCCTGAGAGCCGTAGTAGCCATAGGAAGCGCTGGCGGTAGTGTGCGAGAGGATACGCTCCTGCTGGCCTGTTGCTAGATCCCACACCAGAACCGTACCGTCATCGGACCCAGAAGCAAGCTTGGTCCCATCGAAGGCGAAGGCAACGCTCTTGATGGCACTGGAATGGCCGGTGAGCAAGCGCGTTTGCCGGCCCGTTGTCGTGTCCCATAGCCGCACGATCAGATCAGTTGAACCGGAAGCGATCGTCTTCCGATCAGGCGACACGGCGACGCTGGTAACGGCTTCTGAATGACCGATGAGGGTATATTCTTCTTTGCCAGTGGTGGCGTTCCACACTCGTAAGGTGTGATCGCTAGATGCTGATACAATCTTGCTCTGGCTTGTCAATCCACCTGTCCTGTCCTCGGAATTATATACTGAGAAGGAAGATTAGTTGACGACTGCTTTTCTAGTTCAGCAATAGACTTACGGGTCTCGAAAAGCTTCTGTATTGTGCTTAAATCTTGCTCGCTTGCCCCTATAATAACCGACAAAAGTTTCGCTCTTACTATGTCATCCTTGCTTTGTGGGAAAGCCCCAAATGCGGCGTGATATGCGTCTTGAGCTCGTTGGAAGTCATTCGCATCCTTGTCAGCCGTATTTCTCCCGGTGTGGCCGGAAGTTGGAGAATTCATGGTTATAGCGAGAGCGGGCTGCAAACAATTGTATAAAGTATAGCTTTGAACGGCTCATCCATATATGCCTGAGCGTAGGTACATACATAGCTTTTGGTGAAGAAAGCGGGGTTGTAATAAGTGCGGAGTCGATGCATCTTGAAGCGTGCCACCATCCACATCCAGCTGCGAGAATCACGAACAGAATGTGTGCCACAGCGACATATATTCGAAAGGACGCTGGCACTTTATATACGTTGCAAATTGTGGTCAAAGCCAGCCGTAGATGAAAAAAAGTGACCAACCCAATCTTTGTATCATGAATGGTATCATTATTAGTAAGTCAGTCGAAGTTCAAAGCTCAGGAACAAGGGACTGGAAGAATCAACGCAACCACGGCAATGAGCTCTATTCTTGATGCCCTTTTACATCCTCCCGATGGGGTCTACCATTACATTTGTTGACCCTGAAGCTGGGTTCGTGAAGCCAGTTGATCTACCTTTTTTTCTTTTTTTTTTTGGCTTTTTGAATGTGTTTTAGACCACTAATCTGCCGTTCTAATCGGGATCTCGCTGTCTCAATATCTAGTTTTACACTGCAGTATATTCTGTCTATATATTCTGTCTCCTTGAAGGGATGTAATATTGTCTTTACTTTTGGACTCCTGTGGGAATCTCGTATTTCAGCAAGAAGGATTTGGGACGAGAAGGCTGGCCCGTTCCCTGCTCATTATTCTTATTTGTATGGCCCGTTGGTCATCGACCCAGCATTGCATTTGTTCAACACGGTGTAATCCTTGAAGGCAACCCAGAGATCTTTAACAACAACAATCTGACGTAGGCTGAGCCACTGCCGCTAGTCAATTTCAGGCAGAACCCCTAGTAGGAACCTAGCTCAGGTACAGACGCCGTCCAGTGTTTTCTTTTGCGGCTGGCTTCCATCACCTACACGTGGCTATGGTGTTCACAGCCCCAACAAACAATGCGTCGGTATTTAAAGATGCATGTGGCCGCCACTCTTGGATCGAGAGATATGGCTGCATCTGATGCTAAGCTGTTCTTCGCAATGCAACATGAGGTCAGTGTCTCTGGCCGAGTCTCCGCCAGACTAGGTATCGAGAGCCAAGGTAACTAACGATGCTGCCTGCCTAGCACCAACATAGATTCAAACGAAGCGTTTGATGGGGCATTTCGGAGATTTTTGGAATCGCTCTCGGAGGCGGAGCGAGCCAGATACGCGCCAGTGGCATCCCCCGAAGATCTGCTCGACGGCATCAAGAAGCTCGACTTGTTGTCGCAGAGACACCAAAAGACTAAGCTGTGGAGGGTTCTGAAATGCGTAGAGACATTCAGCGCACGGCTCACTCCCTACTTTGCCATTGTTAACACTGTCGTCTCGTCCAATCCGCAATATGCCGCTATTGTCTGGGGGCTTTTGAAATTTGTTCTCCAGGTACGGTCTCGTATTCCTCTTGTCTCGCCCGCTTGACTGCTGACAGGAGCTCCAGCTTGCAGAAAGTTTCACCACCTTTTTTGATAGGCTCGTCAAAGTCATCGCCAAAATATCCGATGCATTTCCCATGTATGAGGATATTGTTCGCCTATACACGGGGCAGAAATCGACCCGGCTGAGGGCGCATGTGGAGCAAGTATACAGCGACATACTTCAGTTTTTCCAACATGTCGCCGGCATCTTTACTCGAGTTGATGGCCGTAAGAGCCCCTTTACTGATAGAAAATGCTTTGGCTCTGCCATGGAGTACTGACTGCGCCGCATTGGCTTCCTTTGCGCAGGATTCAGGAGACGTCGAGCGATTATCTGCGAAATCATCTGGACTCCTTTCGACACCCGCTTCGAAAGTTTACTTGGCCAACTAAGGAACCACGAAAGATTCGTACAAAACGAGCTGCTTCTATTGCAAGCTATAGCTACAAGCGACGCAGAGACAGCAGCAGCGCAGGAGCGACGGCTAGCCGCTGAAGAAAGAGATTGCGCTGAGAAGGCCAGGGCTCATGTGGAGGACATCTCTAACCAGACCGAGGGAATCAAACGTTTGATCAACGACCAGACAAAAGGTTATCCTTTCTGCTTATCCAAGCAACCTATATACTCAGCTGACGAATACAAGGCCAGAATTTCGACAAGATTCACAGGTGGATCAAGCCTCCAAACTATGCAGACGTGCTTGAAAGATCGCAGTCTATACGCGAGGAAGGCACTTGCACCTGGCTATTCACGAACCGGGTGTTTTGCAGATGGAGAGCAACAGAGACACATGGAGGAACATTCAGGAGTATAAATGATCTTGGTCCAAGGGCTCTTTGGATAAACGGTACGTGATCCAACTTCCTCAAAGGCACATTCTACATCAGCGCTTTCACGAAGATATCGCTAGAGAAGAGCTATATTTGAAAGCTTACTCGTTCTTCAAGGCATTCCTGGAGCTGGCAAAACTATATTGGCATCGTATATTGTACAGGAGCTCCATCAGCTCGAATCCGCCGACACACTTTACTGCTACTACTTCTTTTCATCTGGCTCATCTAATTTTATGTCTACTGGGGCTGCAGCCGCATATCGATCGATTCTGTCACAAATTCTACACCATAAACGAAACGACGAGAGCATTCTCGACAAGTTTCTCTTCGCTCAGGATCAGGGCTCGGGTCAGCTTGAGGCGTCTTCTTCCGAACTTATTGACCTGATACACATCTGTTCTAAAGAGCTCAAGGAACTGACAATCATCCTCGACGGTATTGATGAGTGCCATCAAATCAATGAATTGTTTGGTGCAATTCGTAAACTCATGGAGCTATGCCCAATGAAAATATTGTTTCTCAGTCGGCCCGGGATTTCGGAGCTGCAGGATGAGGTACAGGCTTCTCAACGCATAGTCATGGATAGATTCGCTACTTCTGAAGATATTCGAAGCTATCTCCGCACCAGTCTGGAATCGCTGGCGTCCCGAGGCCGTCTTGATGTGACCAACACATCAGACCTTGAGGACCGGCTCGTTCAAGGTGCCAATGGCATGTTCTTGTGGGCTTCACTGATGATCAGCCTCTTGTGGTCCCCTATGCTCACATCGAAGAGTCGCCTGACTATCATAAAGCAAGTCATCCGGCCGGAAGGCATCGAGCAGCTATATGATCGGATCCTAAAAGTCATTGCGCAATCAAAGCGGTTGGAGAAATCGGTTGCCAGAGTGGTGTTCTGTTGGCTCACATACGCAAGGGGTTCTGTTTCTCTGCGCCTTCTGTACGATGCTATCAGGAGCGTCAACACGCAAGATGATGGTGGGTCGCATGAATATCTGCCGTTTGTTGGTGAAACGCCATCTCTGGGTCAATTCCGCGAGAACCTGCAGGCCGTGTGCGGCTCTCTGCTCGACTTTGACCACGTTGAAGATAGGGTTGGAGACTCGAGTGAAGGAGTTTTTGCAACCGTCCGTTTCGTTCATCTCTCTGTGAAAGAGTACTTTCAATCACTCGACGATTCTCCCTCGTCAGAAGGCCATCTAGAGTGCGTTCCTAGGTGGACTCAAGGCAATATACGACTGGCACAAGTATGCCTCGAGGATATTCGATCGATGACCAGAAAGTATAGCCCTTCCTTTCAGGATCTCAGTAACTATGCAACTTTGCATTGGGCAGACCATCTGGAGGACATATCCGCACGCAACATGGACGGTACCCTAGAGAATCAGGCTTACTTTCACAAAGACTTTGCCGACTTGCAGGCAGCGCTGTTGGGCTTTCTGAGAGACCCATACAGCATCACTTCCTGGATACATACTCTGTATTTAATGCATGGCTACGGAGATTTGGTCCCTCCTTTCCGCAGTCTTGACCGTTGGGTGTGTTGGCTGCGGTGCACTCGAGCAACCATGACGAGACCTACGCAATCGCTTGACGCTTTGATAGCTCTGACCAGCACATTTTCTGCCGACTTGCGGCGTCTGGATGAGACTTGGGGTTCAAGGCTTCAAACTGACCCAACGATACTATGGGACGAAGTAGCCGCGTTCATGCAAAGCGATTTCATTCGCTCTGCTTCAAACACAAAAGTCAAACTTCTCAAGGTCGACGCAATGGATAACAATCTTCAAAGCTCGCGAGCGCTTTGTGATGTGTCAACATCCAGCGCAGACGGCTCTCTATGTTTTGTATTAAGCATATGGCCGTCAAAAGACTATGAAACCCGCTGGTTGACGGTCGGGGGTCAAAAGTCATTAGAGCACTGGAAAGACGTTTGCAGCGGCTGGATTGCTAGGTACAAGATTTGGAATATTGCTACCGGAGAAACCATTGGGGAAATCAGGATTCCAATTGACGAGGGTGAGGTGTGGCTACAAATGAGGCAATCGTTATATGAACAAAGCTACGCAGAGTGGAAGACTGCCTTCCCAACCGCAATTAGTCCAGACGGAAAGTTGGTCGTCATACTGCGAACTCTCTTCGCCTTTGACAAGCCACATGGGAGCTCTCGGCTTCAATGGCAGGAGACGCTGATTCCTGTGGACTTTGGAAGAGCGCGTTCCACCAAATGGACGGATGAGCTCAGACCGTTCGACCCCAATCACCCGCTCATCTGTGGCAGACCGCTGCAGTTTCTATACCGAGATCGGTATACCTATAAATTCGCATTCAGCCCCGACAGTCGTTACTTGGCTTTCACTGATAAACTACGCGATGCTCCGACGTATGAGGAAAACCTCGCCATCTTTGGAGTTCTTGGCCAGGGAAAGTTGAGAGTTGATCGAATTGCTTCAAGAACTTTCAGTTCTTGGCTCCGCCGGAGTGAATTGACTATATGCTTTCACCCTTGTCAAGATCTAGTGGTCCTATGCGCTGGAGGCCAAGTTGAGCTATGGAACTTCAACACAGGTAAGCTTTGACTTTCATTTCCCTGCGCATCCCTTAACTACCCCTCCTCCAACCTTTATTCGTTTTGCAACGAAGTTATGATGAGCCATTTAATTCATTCCAGTAGCTAACAAGTTTACAAACACTGTAGGGGCAAGATCGACTGTGATTGGCAAATTTTCCACCACACCTCCGCCGATAGTCGACAGCTTGAAAATTTCGGCTTGTGGTGCATATGTTGTTGCCAGTCATTCGGGCGAACCGACCGTCTTTGAGATTCCGAAGTTGTCTCCTGAAGTAGGGACGGAAGAGGATCTTGATATCGAGCCACGATTCCTCCACAAGGCCAGCCTTGACAACAACGCATCCACAGCTCTCTCTATCCTTGGAAATACAGACATCTCTCATTTTGGTCTTAAGCATGGCCAAATAATCCACAATGAATGCATCGTAAACTCCAAGGATGGAGCCGTCTCCAGCCTCGTACACGTTCTCTCTGGAGATGCGCCCGCATTGCAGCTGGTTCCCGCGACTGATGGTCTGGAAACCCAGACGATACAGCTTATGTCACTGCCCAAATCAATCCAGCTGAAGCATACAGCTCCGGTGATACTTACACCCAACGGTCAGCAAACATGCATCAAGGTTGTTCTCAACTCTACAATACAATCCGAGTACTCTTTGACGGAGCGAGATGCTGGTGTCGCTCCCGCCGTCATCGAGCGTGACATTAGGTCATTGAAGTTTTCTACAGTTAATACTAAGCGGAAATGGGGCATCACGGAAACAAATGATCCGGACGAGCATCTTTCAGGCGGCTTGCCATCCGACCATGGGTACGTATCAGCACGCTCACTATTCACCTAGCACCGCAATGTTGACATTTTGGTAACAGTGGCCCAAGTTTACCGCCATCGAATACAGCTCCCGAAGCTCACCGTGTTGTAAGTGGAGTGGAGAACGATGAAGACCTTCCATCTTTGAAGCGTCAAAAGCTCTGATAAGAATCACTTTGGAATTCATGGTAGAGGTCTCTCAACTCTGGAAACTATTTCCTCTTGACAGGGAAATATACATATATAGTTATTTTTTGAATTGATGAAAACGAATCATCATATAGAATAGATTCACCAAGCTCCCTGAGCAAAGACGGTGATGGTTCGGCTCCCCATCGCCGAAAATCCATCTACAAATTGGTGATGTCGAAATATCAACGAAGAAGGAAGCTTGGGTTTGCATATATTAATATCAGCGGTGGGAGAGACTCCATGGCTAAAATAGATCAAATGTAGCGTAGGTATATAAACAGATTACCCTTCTCTTGCAAATACATACGACCATAGGTAGTGGAGAATTCGGGGTCCCGTCAAGCACTCCTCTTGAGTGTGATGTCTTCAGTGTTTGGCATCCCAAGACTCCAAATCTGGAGTTACGTAACTCCGTTTTTGGTGCCATTGTCACACCCATGTACTAAACAGCAAAGGAGAAACTCCGTGGGCCGTTGGTCATTTCAAAGCTCTCGTTGGACTTACAGGCGCCTGCCGTCAGTCTCAGGCGCTTGTGCTGATCTGGACATCCTAACCAATAAGCGTTCAGCTTCTTGCCTCAGCTTCTGTCTTAGGAGGGCCGTTATCTCGCCACGCTGGAGTATCTCGCTCTCCTAAAGGCGCATAGGCGGGGAATAGGTGGCCTGCTACCTCTATCCTTTTGGCTCGGCGGCTATCACGACACTAATGAACTAGGTAATGTATAGCAGATGAGGAAGAAAATTAGAATTGCCGCCGACTCCCAACGTACTACCTTATGTGAAGTGTAAAGGAGAAAACCCGGCGTTAAGTATAGAGTATGCGGAATCTGGTATCTATCCCTTCAGCATCGTTTGCCGCTCTGCAGTGCATCCAACTAATACATTACTGCTGCAGAACACTACAAGAGGCTGGCGCCTATAGCTCACCATGGGAACACACGCCTGGGGCTATCGAACCCAGGAATATACTAAAGGTAGCCGTGAGAAAAATCCACCAGTGGTTCAAGCTGGGCCTCTACAATGACTTCGAGAAGTATGGAGTACGTGGTGTGTATCGACCTAGAAAACTTGTCTTTTTTGGCTTGCTCTCAGCAGAAATAATCTTGGTCGCAAGGTAATTTTTATGGGTTGGGTGGAGTGAGGTTTGGGCAAACCTATATATTTCAAAATAGATGAGTTGACATCCAACAAAAGGCGGCTTGGCCGAGTGGTTTAAGGCGTCCGTTAATCGGCGGATCTTGGAACCTCGCCTTCTACATTTTCGCAATGCTGCTGAAGTCAATATCAGCTCATTCTTCTCACGCAACAAGACTCGCTTAGCATCGCTTACTCCACAGAGCTATCCAACGACCAGATTCTCTGCCACCTGTTTCAGAAACACTTATATAAAAGGGAGGTCGAGGCTTTTAAGGGGTGAAGAAACCGTTACTGGGATGTGTTTTGATGTTGGAACGGACGAGCCTCGTTGTCAGTACGCTTCTGGTTAAGGGCCCTTGCGCGGCCGGATACCTGTGCCACGCCAAGCAGGCAACAGGTACTATCATACGGCTTAATACTACTCTATTCTCCCCTGCTACTGGCCTATAGAGTCTCTGCCAAGTGAGGATATCAGACAGCAATAACCAGCGCAGGATTCGGGAGAGGGGGAAGGATTTGTGGTCCAGCTGCAGATAACAAGCGACCTGTCTGAACTCATTTGTTCTCTATATTAATTTATATTGTCACGCTTATAGAGATACAGTTATTTACCCACCACTTTTCCCTCCAACTCTACGAAACAGCTTGTGTCAACTTAATATTCAATTAGTGAAAACGCGTGAATAAAAGGCAGACTAGTCATATATAACAATTGTTTGTTGAGTTATTCCATCAAACGCCATTAGATAGCTTAAGAACTCTTTGTAATCAGAGAGGAGTGCCGGATTCCAGGACGTTGTAGGCAACAGGCGCTTCTGTTCCTGTTCTGTTTCGAAGCTCTATGATTCTGCTAAAACTTCATATTATTCTCCTCTGTCTGAGACTGAAAGGTTGAGAATAATGACATTGCCGCTTTCAGAGCCAATGGCGATTTGCGATTTATATATTGCTGCATGGCCTGGCCGGTATTCAGGGGTTAACCAGAGGAGTTTCTCAGACTGTCGCATAACCCATTCACCGTCGGGAGAGATGTTGTAATTTGTCAAGCACGCAGCTCGTGATTGCATCAGGGACTGTGTGCCAGAAGTAAAGTCTACATTCACGAAACTCGAGTCCAAGTGCCAGGGAATTGAGAAACGGGGTTCAGGTATACCCTCATAACGCTGTAGACATGTGCCTGTTGTAGTGTCCCATACGCTGATATTAGATGGGGTCACCACTACTCCGAGCCGATCCCCATTTTCCGAGAAGCTAATAGATGACCAAGAGGCGCATGGAACCGGAATGTCGAATTTTTCATTTGTGGATAGATTCCAGAGCTCCAAGGTTTCGCCGCCTAATGAGAATGCTAGCTGTCTACCATCTGAAGAAATGGCGTCAATAAAGAAAACCCGTGAGAACTCCCGGCCGTATGTAAACTTATGGATAGATGAACACGTCTTTGTATCCCATATATCAATCGATAATAGATTGCTTTGTCGATATGCACCCGTCATGAGTCGCTCACCATCAACCGATATTGCCATTAAAACGACAGAGCCAACGTCTTTCTCTGGCACGATCGACCGAATGCCAGTTTTGAGGTCTCTGATGCTGAACCCTCCATCGAAGTTATTTGATGCTAGCGCTTGGCCCTTTGCCGAGGCGGCTACATGATGGGGGACGTAAGGGTAACGTCTAAGCACATTCATAGATGGTTCCGCCTGTAAACAGGCACCTGTTGAAGTATCCCAAATTTTCGGAGCATCAAACACGTGCACTGCAGATGATACAAGTCTTTGGCCATTCGACGTGAAGGCGACAGATGGTGCACCGAATTCGTGAGCCTTGGGCAGTTCTGTTAATGAAGAACACATGTCCCATATCTGAATAGGCCCCTTTTCTGATCCTGCTGCGAGCCATGCGCCGTCTGGCGAAAAGGCCAACGACGTAATCTCACTATGACCGTTGAAGTTTTTAATCTCGGTACTATTCTTCCAACCCCAGACTGTAACTCGTGTGTCCGCCGAGGCTGCAGTTGCAAACAGGTCATTATTCGGCGAGAAAGTCGAGCAGTTCGTCCTCGTGATCATGTCTATTGTGGTGGCCCGCAGACAACGGCCAGAAGCAACCTCCCAGATGGCGACCGCTATTCTCTCACTCGGACTCACTTTTGATGTAGATGCAAGATATTGACAGTCTTCTGAAAAGACCAGGTCAAAGACGTTGTCAGGAGCCCGCTGGATCGTTGTCACTGTTTCGATAGTTGCTGAACCAAATTTCAGGATCTTGATTGTTCGCGGAATAGGGAATTCACAGGCAAACCATTGACCATCCGCAGATACCGTTGTCGTTTCAAGACCGCTTAAAGCCTTCATGGGATCCCCCTCGGATAGATCAAATGGCCACCGCGTCTGTAGCCACCTCCCCTCCTCCATGCTCCATACATCGAGTACAGCAGGGTTGATGAAGGCAACCAGTTTGTCATTTTCGAGAAAATTCATTGAGTTGACCTCTCCTGCAATTTCAGCCGTCTGTAAGCATTCACCCTGATCCAAATCCCATATTTTAATTTCGCCCCATGAGCTGGTCGCAATCTTTCCGTTTGTCGAAAACGCTACCGAAATGCTGTATCTCTCGTCAGTATGATGGATTTCGATAGTTTGTAAGCAAATGCCAGAAGCTAGGTCCCAGATCTTGATTGTGCCATCACATGCAGATGCAAGTCGGTGATTCTCCAAGAAGGCAACACCCTTGACCTCGATGGTATGGCCTTCAAAGGATTGCAAACATGGGCTCCAGTCAGACGCTACCACTGGAGGGTTATCGATCCAACTTGAGAAGTCTGAAAGTTTGCTGAACTTTTGCCGAACAAGACTTTCCTTTGGAGCAAACACAAGCGCCGAGTTATACAACTGCAGTGGCGCCTTGCTAATGATGAAACGAAATGACAAGATGAAACGTTCTATATCACGAAGGAATAGCTTTACATGAGCACCTTCTGTCGGCTGTCATTGATCTTAGCGCATCCATAACATATTTTTTCTGTCTAGGATCTATAGCTCACATCGACGATACTTTGAAGATCCTGAATAGCTTTGCTACTTTCCAACAGCCTTCCTGAAAGGCTCAAGGCTTCGAACCAGAAAAGTAGGTGAGTTTGGAGAAAATAATGTACTTGATCATTGTCTTTGACCTTCAATCCGCTCTCCTTTGCATGATAAACCCAGAAACGACATGCATATTGAACATCAAGTGATAAGTAGCTCTCAATCCTTTGGGGTGAGAGGTCTTCTGGATTAATTCCAGGCGCTTTTAATTGGCATATGTCTTTCGTCAGGGTGGCAGAGAGCAGCTCTATACATCGATTAGCAAGTCCTCTATGAGTCTCAGGTTGATTAATCTGAAATTCTTTGCAGCTGGGGCCAAGAACAAAGTCCCTAAAAGACTTGTGAAACGCTTTCACAGGGATTGAGTTCTGGGGCGGAACAACAAAGACTGCCTCTAGAAGCTCTAGTTCTTTGCGGATATTTGTGACCGGCTTTGCCAGGAGGTTAGAAAGAGATGATATTGACAATGGGTCTCCAAGGGAGAGTATCGATCCAATGATGTATTTAAACTCATCAATAGCTGCTCCACGGTCCTCGTCCATTAGTTCTGTAACCAGTTGGTTCAAAACCGGTAAATATGTTCTCTGCAATTCTGATAGAGCCTTTTGGTTGAGTATTTGCTGCAGACGTTCTTTTGGCCCGCCTGGAAGGCGAACCTGCCCTATAAAGCGACAAGCTGTGGCCGCAAAGATGAATAACGGACAGGCTAATTGCACGAGTTCCTCAAGCTTTCTAACATCTTCCAGATTTGACCATTGATCTCGGCCTGGAATAGGTTCAATAAGGCCATTGATCCTCCCTAGCCGAAATTTCAGGAATTTTCTTAAATCACGTTCGGTTGTTTCTATTGTGGCCTCTTCGAGTTTTCTTTCATCCCATTTGTTGCTTATTGTGACAGGCATGTTTATGAAAGAGGGCCCAACCATAAATTGCGGCCTGCTCGTTAAGAAAACTTTGATGAGAGGCATTGAATCCGATTTTTGGGTTGCATCTTTTGAGAAGATGGGTCTTGATAAGATCTTAAGAAGAACACAGACATCTTTTTCGGTACTGCACTCATCTAAAGCATCAACCACGACCACCAACGTCTTTAAAGACTTGTGTGAGAGGTTCTGTAGAGGCTCCGAGATGAGCTTTTTGAATTGAACTGCTGGGCCGCTACTAAGGAGGAGTGGATCAGAGCTAATGGAATTCTTCATACTGTTGGCAATTGCTGGCAGCTTTGCGACCAGTTGACCTGCTAGAGTTGTGAAGAACCGCTTAGAGGTATTTCTGTCGTTCTCTGATCTGTTGAAGAAGAAGGTTGCATTAAGGCGTTTCTCTTCCGCAAGTTTACGGGCTACCGTACGAGATATCGTCGACTTGCCAGTTCCAGCTTTACCTTGTAGCCAGTAGATATGCTTTTGGGATGGAGTATCATTGTCCAGCCACTGATATATCTCATCAAGAATTTCAGAACGCGTTCCAGGATGGCATTCAGGTTCGTCCTCATCCTCTCCGGTATTTTCGGGGTCGTAATTTAAAATAGCTGAGATCGCGGCTGTTGGTGTAAGCTGGTCAATTACAGCTTGTTGAACGTTATTGAGCTCCGGGACAGTAGTTCTTTTTCTTGTCAGCTGCTACAAGAGAACGCCGCTATCATGGATTATCACGCACGGCTGCAACTTGCACAACTGTTGTGCTAGTTCTATGTACAATGGATCTGTTGAATCTCTGCACTTGTTGAGGCCAGAGTGGTCCTTGAGGACTTCAATAGTCTTTCCAGCGGTGGTGGCTGCTGAGTGCCATGGAACAATCTAGATGGTTTAGACTTGGAAGTGCAAATGTAAATGATGATTTACGTACCAGGCCAATTGACAAACACTGAAGTATGTAGGTGGGTTTCATCTCGCAAATAGAGATGATCTTTGTTTTCTTCCCTTTTGCATCCTTGTCCTCTAAGCAGCGGGCGAAACGTTTACTCAAGTCGCCAAGGTGAGTTTCATTACTTCGTAAAGAGAGAAGAAGGCTAGTGTCCGAACCCAACAGACGAGTTGACAATGCAAGTATTGCTGCCAGACCAGAAACTGGTGAGCCGTTATGTGGTGTACCCAAAAAGATAATGCCACTGGTGTCCTGATATATTTCGCAAGAGTCCTCTGTTGGGTAGGACAGGGCCTGTAGAAATTTAGTATTAATTATTCCAGTTATATCAGAGGCAGTAGCTTGAAAGCAATGGACAATGATACCTCTTTGATAACTATGCCTCCAAAACTATGTCCGATGAAAATAATGGGCACTCGCTTTGCAAAACCGTTAGCAGCTACTTTAAAAGAAAGACTGCACTCATTATTGTCCCTCACAGGATGAGAGCTCCGATGTTGGCTCAACGCGCTCACAAGACGAACACCAATCTCCTGTGCGGACTCGATTGGAGCATCAATCAGCCAGTCTGAGTTGTAGGAGAACTGTAAGAACCGAGCTTGAGAAAAGCGTTCATCTTTCATGAGAAGGTCTTTGAGCAAGTGAACACGACTATATTCCACATTGCCATCCGATATTGAGGCACTTTTGTGAGTCCATGTATATTCGGGATGGGCTCCAAGTCCATGAACAGCAACGATCCTAGTTGGTTAGCAATTTTGCCTGAAGCATCCCCACAGACGCGGCTGGTCTCACTCAACATTGACATCTTTAGGCTCAGGGCCGAGCACATGTAGACCAGTGTCGCGGCCCTTTCTCTTTGCTCGCATGCGCCGAATTAGTTGACGTTGGGCCAGGGCGAAGATGACGAGCAGCAGAAAACTAAAGAAGATTGTAGAATGTACGCTTGAGATTAACGGAATATACGGCCAAGGGCCATCTTGCCTCTCCATCATGAAACGGATCAATCCTTGCGCATAAGCTGAAATCTAGGACCTTGCAAACGAGGTATGTCTGTCTGTAACCACGGAGGAAATGAAACATAAACCCCCGCTTCCCCTTGCATATACTGATGTTATGTACGTGTACGTACTTAATGTACCTAGGTATGTTGTGTCAGCCGTTGGATTGCTAGCCCAACATGTACAATGTTTGCAAGGCAATGGAAGAAGATTATTGGACATACGGTGGTCACCACACCCTCAATACAGGCACATAAGCTCTATTACTACAGATATGCAACCACAAAGCGCGGCCAAGATATCGGGCATCTAACCAATCTCCAGGCGATTTATGGGTTTCAAAAACACGGCAGTCTTCTATTGGCGATTGAAATGGGAAGCAGGTTGCTGAATTAGGATTTCTCGCAATTTATGCGAGAGCCACGTGTCAACGGTGGCTATCTATCTGGATTCACCAAGTGTCTTTGTTGTATTAATGCCGTCAGACAAATTAGCTGGCAAGGCTCTTCTATGCCGCCAATGTTGCTTTGAGGAGTCAGCCCAAGCTATTGATGCTGCCTTACCTGCCATTCCTGTTCATGCATCCGGCTCAAGAATATTTTCAAGGGTCAGATATAAGCTACACACTCCACACAACTTGCTGATTGAAGTACGCTTCTGATTTCAAATGGCCGGTTTCAACGAAACGAAGGCGCCTAATCCTACAGCCGGATCAGCTCAAGATATTCGACCATATCAGATTACGCTATCATGACTGCCGAGACCAAAACTCACAGTGATTATAGTGTGGGTTGGATATGCGCGTTGTCAAAAGAGCAAACAGTGGAAACCGCCATGATAGACGAGCGACATGGAGATTTGCCCAAGCCACTATACGACAGTAATACTTATACCCTTGGCTCTATAAATGGACATAACGTTGTTATAGTATGCCTTCCAAAAGGGAGATATGGAACGCATTTAGCAACGAATGTTACGACTCTCATGATTAGGACATTTCCCTTCCTCAAAGTTTGCCTCATGGTAGGCATCGGTGGTGGTGTCTCGCCGAAGGTGCGACTTGGTGATGTCGTTATCAGCACACCAGATGGCCAGCACCCTGGCGTCGTCCAGTGGGACATGGGCAAAGCGGAAAAGGAGGGATTCAAGAGGACCGGGGCATTAAACAACCCGCCTAACTCCCTTTTATCAGATTTAAACAAGGTCGAAACAGAGCACAAGCTATTAGGGTCCAAGATTCCGGAATATTTGGCTCAAGCAGCTCAAAATTATCCAAGAGCGGCCACGAGATATCTCAAGTCAGATTCACTAAAGGATATGCTCTTTCAATGTCAGAAGCGGCGGCGTACGAGAGAGTGATAGAGTCAAGGAGAGGTTCTAGTTGTCACAAAGGGGATAAAGCAGCTAGGGGGCACACAATGACTGTATTCATCTCTGACCTCCTCTAGAACCAAGGGGATTTACGCTCCTTTATATAGTAAATCCTGGCTGTGACTAGCCTCTAAGCAGCGACTTCGGCAGCACTCGCCGGCTCCGTGGCTCCATTATGCCTCTTCCTTCCTCGGACCCCTGACATTCAAGCTGACTGTGTCCATGTCAACGAGCTGAAGGTAGGCAAAGATGCTTATAATTGTCCAATGGACAGCGCTAACAAGACCAAGGATGACAAAGAACAAGAATTAGATGGAGATGACTCGGAAGAAAAGGAGCGTGACGGCTGCCGTCTATGTGATAAGACCGCAATAGTGAAAAGAAAGCCGCGCTCGATGCGCGTTCATTACGGTCTCATCGCATCTGGCAATCAAGTCATTAAAGATGCTGTATTTCGAGATAAGCTTAACCAAGCCCTGGATGGCGAAGTTTTATGCTTTGAAATGGAGGCAGCTGGGCTGATGAACAATTTCCCGTGCCTGGTGATCCGGGGAATCTGTGACTATTCTGATTCACATAAGAATAAAGCCTGGCAAGAACACGCGGCTGCGGTTGCAGCGGCATTTGCCAAGGAGCTTCTGAACCATGTTCAGCTAAGTGATGTTAAAGGAGAGCGTCCAGCAGTGGCGATCTTGAACAAAGGTAAGATATTATTAAGCAATAGAGCGGATCCAGCACCAAAAAGGCGATCTACCATACGATGCTTTACTTATACTCTCATGGATTGTCAAAGCTCGAAAACAATTAAACATCCAAGAGCTTCAGGAAGCACTTGCCGTTCAAGTTGCTACTTCTGCGCTGGATAAGGATAACATCCCAACTATTGATCATCTAACTCAAGCATGTGCCCCACTGGTTGTCGTCGATAGCGAAAGCAAGATCATTCGACTAGCCCATCACACGTTGCAAGAATACTTTGAACGACAGGACAATACATTGCTGAGCAAGGCACATGTTACAATTACCAACATCTGCATGACGTATCTTTCATTTTCGGCATTCCAAAGTGGCCCTCTTGAACCGCAGGATCCACATGATCTTCTTGGTAATGAAGGCCCCGAAAACCACCTCCACAGCTACGCAGCTCGATACTGGGGGTACCATACGCATAAAGCCCTGGCACAAGGCTTAGATCCTTCAAAGGTGGTCAGCTTTTTGGAGCGTGTTCCGCAAGATTCATGGTATCAATCATTGTTACACAGGCACTTGATCGATTTATACGATATGCCTATCGTATCCCTTCTTAAGACTTTCAACTCAAGCAATTTAACGCCATTACATGTAGCATCGTGTTTTGGTCTGTGTAGCGTTGTCGACCTGCTTATTACGAAAGGTTATGATCCAAACGCGGAAGATTCGATGGCTCGAACACCGTTATGGTGGGCCGCAAGAAATGGACATGCACCTGTGGTCAAGCGTCTCCTTGAATTGGATGTTGAGCTGGAATCGAAAGACGATGTGGATTACCAAACAGCTCTGTCAGCAGCTGCAAGACAGGGTCATGAACTAGTCGTCCAATTGTTATTGGACAAGGGTGCTGACCTCGAGTCGCAGGGAGGAGTTGATCTAACACCGATCTATTCAGTACTGAAAAAGGGTGGCAGAAAGATCCAACAGTGGGCTGCCAAGGCCTTTGGAGAACCCTTCAACCCAGAGACTCTTCAGCTGACACCGTTAGCTTGGGCCGCCATGAATGGACACGAGACAACCATAAAATACTTATCAAAAAGGGAGCCAATATCGAAACTAAGGACCATGAAGGCTTTACACCATTAATGTGGGCGGTCAAAAATGGACACAAGGGAACCATCGAGTTGCTTACAGCAAATGATGCCTGCATAATGGCCAAGGATAATGATGGTTTAACAGTGTTTGGCCACGCAGACGAAGCCATTCTAGAGTCACTGTTTGCCAAAGCCGCCAATCTAAAAGTTGAAGATGATCATGGATGGACGGCGCTAGCCTGGGCCGCAGTTACTCAGAATACAATGTTGGCCAAGTTTCTCCTAACCAGAGACGTTAACATAGAAGCCCGAGATCATAAAGGGATGACGCCTTTTACTCTTGGTGTTATATCTGGTAATACTATCATCCCTAAATTGCTTCTTACACACAATGCTTCTCTCGAAACCAAAGACGACTGCGATCGGACTCCATTGATTTGCGCGGCAAGGGTGGGAGACGGGCCAATGATCAAATTCCTCCTCTCCAAAAACGTTGACATAGAGGCCAAATGCCATGAAGGACTTACGCCATTAGGCTATACCATTTTCTCAGATCATTATGAAGCTGGAAAGATCCTTGTGGATAACGGGGCAAATGTCAATCATCAGATTATTAGAGGGCTGACGATTTTACATTTGGCGGCCACGAAAGCATCTCGGAAAATTGCTTCACTTTTGCTAGAATCAGCTACCATTGATGTTGATCCAATGGATGACACCGGCCGCTCGCCATTGTCCCATGCCGCAGAGAATGGGAACTATGACGTCGCAAAAGCGCTGTTGACCACCGGAAAAGTTGACATCGAATCAACAGATGAGTTTTCAAGAACACCTATGTGGTACGCGAAGAATGAGGCCAAAGATGAGAGGTTGGTACAATTGCTTCTCAGCTATGGTGCCAAGGAACTGGATGATAGCTACTTTACAAACGGTAGCTCGGAGGAACATGAATCGGTAAAACGCCGTCTCTCAAACGAAAGCAGCGACTCGCCACCTTTCAAAAGGCGCTGCTGACGTTCTATCTTTCAAAAGACTTCTTTGCAGGCGTCTCGAACCGTCTACTAGGCTCGACCTGAGTTTTTGCAGCCAGGGCATTAGCCTGTTATTTTTCTCCTATGAATTTTTCTACATGACCAAGCTCAATCCCTTTTATCAGTTGTCCCGTGCAAAGTTCCGCTTTAGAACTGAGTCCATAATAATAGCTGTTCCCATTAATCCCCAAAGTTTCATGGAGAGACCAAAGAAGAGCGAGGATCAGCTTCTCCCAAATTGTTCATAGTGGCAAGAGAGATAGAATGAGATGAGTTGAGTTATATCACTCTCAGAAATAAATCATAAAACGGTCCAAGAGTAGAAGATTAAACATTCACTTACTTAATACTTGGCGTTACTCTTGACTGTGGCTTGCGAGCCACGACGATTGCATTGTTTGGTACCAGGACGCCGGGCGAAACTCAGAATTCTTCATGTCACATGCTTGGGAACTTTCCGTGCTGTATATAGCAGGGATGGAGATTTTGAAAGCGAGATACGGCACTTGGTAGTACACTAGCAGGCCTGGTTAACATCATCTTCATTGATACCACATAGGTGAATTCCGCCACCACGGTTCAGCTTAGAAACACTCAAACACTACAGCTATTCCGAATATTAGCTAGACGGCCACTAGCTGCGTATAACTCTGGTTTCCAAATCTCGAGTCCTGCTAAGAAGAGTTTGGACTGACCCATGAAGCGTCAATGTCTGGCTCCACCCATCACGCTTGTCAGTAGCTCACCGAGACTACCTAAGTATAAAACTCTTACCAACGCCCCATCCAAGCACATACGACCATAGGTAGTGGAAAATTCGGGGTCCCGTCTGCTCCCCCAAGAGACAAGCCACTAACCGGCAGATTAGTAGTTGAGTGGGTGACCATCAGCGAACACCGGCTGTTGTATGTTTTTGCCTTTTTAATATATCTCCTTCCCATGCCCACTTAGGGCCCATTACCCCTGGGATCAAGCACATACGACCATATCCATTAGAAAATACGGGATCCCGTCTGCTCTCCCAGGGTCAAGCTAATGAGAGACAGATTAGTAGTTGAGTGGGTGACCATCAGCGAACACCGGTTGTTGTATGTTTCTCTTTTTGCCGTTTCTTCCATCTCCCTGTACCTAGATGGATCAGTCCTCCGAGCTGATCCACCATTGGATGGCCTGTCTCACTTCACCTTTGCATTGAGTTAAGAGAAAAGTGTATAAATGTGAAGACTCACGCATTGAATTCTTCTCGGCTCGTTAGAGTATTATATCTCGGTGCCATCTGTTTTGTGTTGGTATTGTTGACAGCGTATCTTGGGTGCTTTGTTCGTTGTTTCTAGTCGCTCTCATCGTCACTCGTCTCCTCCTTCTTCACCTTCTTTCCACCCTTCCCCTTCTTCACCGTGGTCTTCGACTTCTTGTCGACTTGATCTTGAATCTTCTTTCGTTCCTCAGCACCCTCGGCTTGCAATTCCTTCTCCATTTGTTCAAACTCTTCAGTCTCCGCATCCATGTCGATGAGGCTCTCTAGCAGCTTAATTTCATCCGCCCAAACCTGCTTGTCTTCGACTGTTTTGCCGTCGGGGCCCTTCTTATCAATGGGCGTTTCAAGGACCATGGGCTTGTCCTGGAACTCCTCGTGGTTCATTAGGCTGTGAAAGGCTCGGAGACCCAAGAATCCGGTTCCAATATTTGCATGGAGATCCCTGTTGGAGTTGAAGGGGGCTTTGCTGTCGTTTACTACATGCCATGTCATGATTAGCATTGCGAGGTATGGAGGGTGAGAGGTAGCTAGGCAACTCACAGTGAAAAGCTTTAAGATACTTTGCGCCGACGATTTCGTTGAAAGAATCGACCGTCTTTTTGAACGCCTCGGGGGTCCGCAGGTCATAGCCAGCGGCAAAGGCATGGCAAGTGTCGATGCACACTCCAACACGTGTCTTATCCTCCACAAGAGCAATGATATCTCTGAGATCTTCCCAAGTCGACCCCACGACATTACCAGCACCCGCCATATTTTCCAGAACCGTAATTACTGTCTTGGTGGCCTTGTGCGCCTTGTTTAGCTGTGTAGCAATACGCTTGATGGCAGCAGCCTTTGTGTCGCCTCCAGTGGACCCAGGGTGGAAGTTGTAAAGCTTGATGCCGAGCTGCTCACACCGGCCGAGGTCGTCCACGAAGCTGTCGTATGCCTGACGAGCCTTTTCCGCGTCTGCTTGCGCAAGGTTGACCAGGTATGACCCGTGGGGGAGCACATGCTCGTTGGCGTGGTAGTGATGCTCCTTGCACTGGCTAATGAAGCCGTTTTTGGCCTCTGCCGTAATGGGAGGATTGTTCCATTTGCGCTGAGATTTGAGAAACAGGGCGAAGGAGTTGGCGCCGATGTGAAGAGCATTTGTTACGGAGTTTTGTACGCCTATTTGGAAACAAAAATCAGCATGAGTGCCCCTCATTATATACACTTGGATGAATCATGGTAAAATACCCCCAGCGGCACTGATGTGTGCGCCAATGTACATGGCCTTGCTCAACGAAGACACGGCGGTTCTCTCTACCAAGGGCATTGCGGCTTCGTCTCCTTTGGCTTGTCCCTTGCGCTTTTTCACAGCCTTTGGAGCTGGAGCCTTGCTATCGGCATCTGGCGCCGAATCTGCTTTTCGTTTCGCCGCTGATATTGGCTTTACTGGCTTTAAATCCCTGGAGTCGATGTCGTCCTCTTCGCGCTTGACTGCCTTCTGGCTACCTCTAGTGGGACGAGGCATTCTGAAAGCGCAATCTGGTATTGGATATTCGGATGAACCGGTACTAGCGAATATACGCAAAAGAAGAAGCAAAAAACCAACTGAGAGGCGGAATTGTGTTTAAAATGACGGAAATGGATGCGTGAACGTCGTCGCGGCACAAGGAAGAACCGCGTCAGTAGTTGGACGCGAGGTCAGGTGACTGACTTTTAAACTACCCGCCACTTACATCGATCGCAACATATAAATTGGGCAACTCACACAACGGTAGAGAAATAAAAATAAACTGAGCGCTGCTGCTAAGGCTTACTGCTAAAACAAAACAAGTGTCATAAGGTTGTTTGTAAAATACAAGAATGAGAAGAAAAGGAAGAGAAACAGAGGAGCCTGCCATGGTACCAAGATACCTTAACCAGAGGCTCGCCTTGCTATTTATTGTTTCATAACTCATGACGTCCCCAGCAATTCAGTATCCGCCAGCTACCGCTCCATTGATGACGACTACCATCCATAATCTGGTACATCCATTCTGTTTTGCATACTCAAGTCCGGCATGCTATTGCGCTTATCCCAAACATATATATAAAACTACACACTGAAGAAAGGCAGAGGAAAAGAAAACGAGCAACCAAAAGTCGAGGATACCAGTGGCTAAGCCAAATCAAGATGAAATAACAAGGTCAGATGTTCGACCTTTGGCGAATTGGTCCTTGTAGGCATCCCATATCTTTTGAATCTCCTCGACGTACAAGTCGTGGTAACGATCCACATCCTCTTGTAGCGGTTGTTCGCAAGGCTCCGCGTCGATTCGAATGGGCTTTCCGACAACAATGTTGACGGGCCGGCGGTAAGGCATGAGACCTACATCGTAATTGAGGATTCCTCGACCATGAAGAGCGGGGAGCGTGAACTTGAACACCTTGAGGAAAAACATTTGGAACTTGTGGACCATCGGGTGCGTCTTCGGGCTCAGTTGGTCGTACAAGTCGTTTTCTCCAAAGGCGAGGACAGGAACCAGATCAGCTCCCGTGCGCAGAGCCATCTTTACGAAGCCCTTCCGTCCCTGGAGGATAAGCTGTAAAGTGCCCGGCTGAGCTTGCAGAGATTCTCTCGCTCCGCCGATGACAATGGTAACAGCGCGGCCTTTTCCATCATTCTTGGGACCACCCTGCATCAAAATGTTCCGTATGGAGTCTTTGGACACTGAGGCCATGCCCATTGCCAAGATATAGTCGCGATAGAAAGGGAGTCGAAAGTTGGACTCGAGCGTCAACAGGGTATTGGTGATGCCGGGGAACTTTTGGTCGAAGCCAAGGGCACTTGTGCCAAAGGCGCTCCAGGCGCCGTGCGAGATGATGCCATGTGGATGATAGCCAAAGATGTACCGCCTGTCCGCTGGAAGATCGTGCGTTTTGTGCAGCCTCATAGGGAAGTACGCCGCAAAGAACTTCCACAAGGGCATGGACCTCAGGTACTCCGATCGATAGCTGAGCTTCCCGTTTGTGGCCGCGTTGGAGAGGGTCAGATGCACCAGATAAGGCACCAGGATGGGCCAGGTCAACGGGTTGGCGCAAGTGAACCAGAACATGGATATCAAGACAACGATGGTCATGCAGTGATAAAACACAGCCGCCGTTTGTAGTCGGCGAGGGAAAGGCATGCGCAGCGGAGCAAAGCGAATGCCTCCCGCCCTCCAGGCGCCAAACTCGTAGCTCTGGGGGTTTCCATCGTCTGGCAAAACAGGATACGACGATGCCCCGGCTTTGTCGTTATTGATATGGTCGCCGTTGGTCACGACGAGGCCAGAAGACTTCGCAGAGCCGTTCTCGTCACTCCGCACCGACTTCCTAGCCGCTTTCATTGCGAGGTCAGCTTGCGAAGCTCTGGGGTTGGTTGTAGGCTGTATTGTCGATGAGCTGTAGCGTCCGCCTAGTTTTCAAGCTTCAAGGAGCATTGATATTCAGTCGGACTCGCTTCGTGGGCAGGCGTCGTAACTCGGTTTTGACTCAGCCGCTTCACCCGGTGGTTTCGCGCGAATCGCTTTGATGGTCGAAATGTGGTGCCAAGGCGAAGCGCGGGCAAAGACGGTTGGTCGCTCTGCTCGGATCCCTCTCTTTGTTGCCTTGTTTTTCCTCTGTTGTTATCTCTCCACTTTCCTTTTCCCTCTCTTTCTTCTTGATAGTCTCCTCTCGTCAGCTCAATGATGCTGCGTATAACAAGTTTGGTGAGCTTTCAGGTTTGGATAGCGCAAGCCCCGGCGCGCGCCACAAGGCACCTTATACCGGCATTCCAGAGCCCATTACCTCATCGATGCGCCAAGGTTCAGGCTGTGCTGCCCCTGGCCAGTGACGTGCCCGTGCAACGGCTACAGTGCAGCGTACAGTGCGCATGTGAGATTGCGCCACGGAGCACCGACGTATCCAAATCCAGCCCGTCGACATCAATGCACGCACATCAATGCTTGCCCACCTGATAGATTGGCCCATACTCCGGCTGCTTGTTGTATAACTGGCCACGGCGATGGTAGGCTACGAGATACCCATTGAAGTAGGTATTTAACATTCATACAGTACATGCCTTTACTGACTATTGATTGCTTTATAGACGTAGCATCAAATGTATCCGATTCTCAAAGGGGACATGAAATATTTACACGAGAACAAGTGTCACTCCATTTCCGCAGCACTCTACCACGACTAAGCTGAAAACAAAAGACATAACCATTCCGAAATGCCATAGCTAGAGATAATCGCACAATTCTGTATACTACAAACGTGATAATAAGAAACAATCGTAATATCCGGTCGCCATCTTTTAGCGCGAAGGTTTCAACCATCCGCCCAGATTCCCAAACCTGAACGCCAAATTCCCCCCCTGATACGACTCTGGCCCAAAATCCGAAAAGAGCCCAGCAAGACGCACCAGAGAAAAAGAAAGCAAAACGCATTCTAATGTAGATCCACTTAGGCCGTCCTAAAACACCATGGCGCTTTGTAATGAGGCGAGTTCATTCCCAGACTTCTCATCCAGCAGGAACCCCTTCACGACTTTCAAGTTGCTTCTTGAGGACAGACATCTCGTGATCGAGCAAAACCACCTTATCGGAGAGCGACTTGACTCTCTCTTCCAACGTCTGGATGTAGGCCCAAACGCTTGGGTCGCTCTGCGCAAACATGTTGCCACTATCGCCGCCCGAGGCGGTTGCAGTTGGCGGGCGGCCGTGGGAGAATCCTGGAGAGCCCGTCGAAGCGTATCCAGGGTGAGTTAATCCAGGCAACTTAGGCCTGTTTTGTCCACCGTGAGGAGACTGCATCTCCGACTGCCGCCTTCCCATCTGCTGCTGCTGTAGCTGCTGAGACAGGCTAGGCGATCGTTGCCGTACGACACCAGAGCCGTCGTGGCCTTGGACACCACCAGGGCTCAGTGGCTTCCCGGTTTCCGGCACACCAGCCTGTGCATAGAGACCTGCATTCGGCCCACCAACCGCCACCGAAGAGATGCTGGTGTTTGGTGTGTGGCTGCCCCCGATACTGGTTGACACGCTTGAGCTGCCGGTACCAACGGCCTGGTTCTGGCCGCCACTGGGGGCATATAGGCCGGCAGCTGCGGCAGTTCTTGCTCCGGCCGGAGGGTACGTCCGCGAATGACCGCCGTACTGATCCGGCTGGCCGCCTGGTATGTGCTGGGCAGTCATGCTGGGCAAGCTTTGTCGCCTCAGTTCTTCCTCCTCGGGGTTCTCGTAGGCGATGCCCGTCATGACAGCTTCGTCTCCGTCAATGCCGCCATCCAACTCATCTTCGCCGGCAAAGCTACCCATGCTCGATCGTCTGCCAGCACATCCGCCCAGCCCTTTGCTGTGGCGGGCAAGAGCATCACCTCGAGCAAACTTGCGGTCGCACTTAGGGCACACATGATTTTTCTCTCCGGTGTGAAGCTTGCCATGGCGTTTCAAGTCATGGAGACGGCGGAAGCGCATTTGGCAGTCGGTACATACATAAGGCTTTTCCTGGCTGTGCGTCAGGAGATGACTTTTGAGGTTATGGTGCCGAGTAAACTCGGTATTGCAGTATGGGCACTTGTGCTTCTTGTTTGCGGACGGTGGCGGGGAGCCCTGGCCTTGGGAAGGCATCGGAAAGGTCATGCCACGGACTGGTGATTCCGGCATGCTGCCGCTGGTTTGCAAGGAGCCAGGATATGACAGGGATCCGGGCTGCTGCCGCTCTTCTTGCACGGCAACCTGTTGAGAGACGAGCGATTCCCCTTTAACATCAACATCCATGGCTGTCGGGCTCTCGGTCACTTGCGCACCGGCAATGCTCGTTGGGCTTTGTGGAGTCATTTCGCTCCGTTCTTCGATGCGGTCGCCGCTGTTTTGTGAAATGGACAAGGCAGCCGTGGCCAGCTTGGAGGAGGGCTCCATAGTGGCCGTAGGGGCCAGCTGAGGCGCGTCTGCCGGGCGGCTCATGGCTTGGGTTCCTGCAGACAAGAGGGAGAGGAGGGCTCGTTGGCTAGGGTTCTCGCTGTTTGCGCGTAGACCAGTCGTCTGGTCGTGCTCAGCCTCCTCGTCCGCTTCTTTACGGCGTTGATCGTCTTCCAGAGTTGCGGCGGCGGACGGGGGAGGCAGTGATTGGTCAGTTGCCGGCAGCAGCCTGGCAGATTTCGACGGGGGCGATTGGGAGCCGAGCTGATGGGATGCAAAGGCACGCGACGACTCGGAATCTGATTCGCGACGGCGCTTGGCCAGTCTCGCGACGTCGTCCAAAGGGAGAGCCGGGGGAGGGGTTGGAGTTGGGCCAGACGAGAGCGGGGGTTCGGTTGCAATGGCAGCGGCGGGAGAGGCCATATGAAGACGCAATGGCCAGGAGAATGCGGGCGACGGCGAGTCCAGAGAGACGGATGGCATGCAGTCGCAAAGTCGAGGCAGCTAAACCAGCGACACCATTTCGAGGCTGCTCGAGGTGTGGCTGGAGATTGTGGCGAGAGCTAGGGTAATTTTTGCTCCTGGGCTTGTTCCGGCAGCCTTGCCGCACAGAAACGCTGACGATTATGCGGTAACGCAGACGAATGGCATGGAGCAGGCGGGTGCTCGGCGAGGTCCCGGAATTGGCAGACGATGGCGATGGCAGAAGGCGGTGGTGATGGTGATGGATGGAGATGGAGATGTGAATTGGGGCTGGATGACAGGCTGGGGGGAGGAAGAAGATGGTGGTTGAGGTTTAGCCTTAGCGCAGCAACGCGTGCCGGGTGCTACTGGTGCTTGTGCCTCCGTTGTGCAGCCAAGGGCGGTGGACAATAAAAGGCAGACAGTGGATTGCCTGCGCCACACTCCTGTCATTGGGCGCCGCGTCGCCAGTCTGCAGCGCGGCACCTGCCGGATGACATGCCTCGAGAGCAGAGCAAAGACACGGGGGGGATTATTATTATAAAGCATCCCGATTCAGTTCTCCTCGCAGTACGGCTATGTAAGTGCTATTATTAATGTGAAACCCATATGGGCTTATGCAGAGGATTTGGCTTTCATGTTCTTTTCCTGTGGCAAGTGAGGTGAGCAGGTAAGTGGGCAAAAAACCCCACCTACACAAGAATGGAAGCATGGCACGGGTCGGTTCCTGTCTGGCGGCGTACTCCGTGCATTCTCTCAGGTTTCTTGTCTTCCAAAAACCCCATAGATGGCATCATGGATTGGATTCCCGTTAACTGAGAGTGGATCAGCATAGTGTCAGCTTCATTCTGCGCACCGTACGGAGCACAAGCGTGTACAGCCGAGTACACACCTACCCGCACTTGGTTGAGCTTGTTCCATGTCGAGAACCTGTATTCTCGTGTTTCCAGAGGCGTGCCAACAAGGAAATAATCGCGGCCGGCTAGCGTCCACCTCGATCCGCAGCTGCCGTAGTGAACACTACGTACGAAAACAGACAAGCAGCAGCGACTAAGGCACATCTTGTACATGGTTGCATGGATTGGATTTCTTGTCATAATACATACATACCTCCGACTCCCGCCCTCGGATCAATCCTCAGCCTCCTCTTCCATCAGCTATCAGACACCGAAACATGGCTGGCGCTGATAGTGTCCGTGACGGCATCGACGTCGCCTGCGCACTGTGCCTGCGCAATGTTTGATGGACCGCGGAGCCAACTCCGTTCCCTCTCTGCTGAGGTCTCGTAACACTGCTGCTAACCAGCGCTCAAAATCTTGGTCGTGTCGGAAATTGCAATAGGGCATGAACTCAGCCTGAATTCCCTACAATGTACAGTTACTTCTTGAACCAACCGTTGTCAGGACAAACTCACTCATCTTGACGCTGACACATCCCACGTCTGCATGTATGTGCCCCTTCCACACACACGAGAGAGAACGAGCTACTACAGCTTGATATTAGTCCCGTCTTAGTCCCAGCCCGCCGGTGGCAAAATGCTGACAGGCTGATGGGCCAGTGGCTGGTAAGCCCAGAGCGTGAGAGCTGATTTTGTCAGCCATGGCCTGGCTGAGGCCAGCCTGCACGCCGCCACAGTTATATCCAGTCATATCTGCTGCAGAAAGCTTGAGACGAATAACTGTGCATTATCTGCATGCACGGCGTCGGCGGCAGTGCCACGCCAGCGCCCGTTTCTCAGGTGGGAGGTTCCCCCTAGGTTTATATCAGTGGCTGGAGAGCGATGCCCCTGCTCAAGGCCGAACGAGAGAAGGGTTGGTTGGTGGACCAATCAACAAGTTCCAGCATCTGCTGCTCTGCACGAGTTGTGTTGCAGTCTAAGTATTAACCAGTAGTGATGTGTTTGGCTCAATTCGATTTTACACGTTCATGGTGCGGCCTCATGTTCACTCTGATGATGTTGCACGTTGGCAGGAAACCGAAGCATATTACGGAGAGAACCCAGCTGCTATAGCTAGCGGATGCATTGTGTTGCCATAATCTCATGCGGTTAGCTGGGTACTCTTCCTCCTTGGCGCTTCCAGACTGCCCAAGCACTTATCTCGCTGTACTTTGCGCCTCGTAAAGCGACGGCGGCGGTGTTCTGTCTCCCCGGACAGATACGACGATATCGAGATTACCTGCGCTCTCCGTGCTCCCAAGCCTTCGTACTGTACAGCGCCGTACCTACAAAACTGGGTCGCTTCGTGGCGGTGTTGACGACCGGCCGCTAGCTCAGGCGGACGAACACCAGCCACTGGCACTTGAAGCAGAGCTTGCAGAGCTCCACCGAGCCTCTCAAGCCGAGGCGTCAGATGGGTGCAGTTGGTCAGAAACGCGGCAACTCTCTATGTTTCTACTCCGTCCGATTACATACGTTATTGCCCGTCCCGGCCTCCTCTTTGCGTGAGTACTCCGTACTTGTTCAGCTTTTGCGTCAAGACTCCTTGCTCTCATCCCACATCAGCACGTGTACGAGTAAGTCTGCCGCATTGCCCAGCCACAGAGCCGACAGGACTCGGCACAAGCAACCAGATGGATCTTAACTCAGCCACTTAAGCGACGTCATCTTACAGGCTGTTAGCATCCCCCTTTCAGCCAAAGTGCTACCCTATTGCTGCAAAGAACAGGAGAGAAAATGCACTCCATTTCTGGCAACGGATCACTCTGCAGCAGACCCTGGCCTGTTGCATTCTGTTTAATACGGATGAATGATACGGTTACCGGGTACGGCGACAGCAGGCTGGTCACCTTGAGAGAATGTGTGAAACATTCAGTAGCCGACTCGTGTGAATCAATATAACGCAATTCCCAAACAACATTGATCTAATGGACATTCATAGTCCAATGTTCTATGTAGTATATATCCATTTTCTATATGGGCTCTATTAGGTATTCTTCAGACGTCATAATCATGACCACATCGTCGGATAAGCGCCAATATTGGCGTTTAATAAGCGTTTAACATCAACTTCCGTATCTCGTATGGGGTAGATTCCCGTTGGAAATTTCAAACACTTCCAGAAAACTCATTTCAGCTACACATCATATAACGCAACCCATATACTCACCACCTTTCCTGATAGGCCAAGTAATTATCAATAGTAATACATCTCCATATACAGCGTAGAGGATTTCGTGATTTTGCGGTCTGTGTCACAAACATGGTCCTCGTATGCTGTTATTATTAGTAGCAAAAATCTGGCATGCCCTGTCTCGGGGTTTTAGTTCGCTCTGCTCCGCAGACAAAGACCCCCGTTCTCAGACAAACAAAAGAACGAACGTGTCTCCTGAGCTCGAGCCAAGACTTTGCCGCCTGTGCAGAGAACGAGCGCCATTCCCACATCCATTCCTTTGGTCCAGAACTTGCTGCGACTTACTTGGCAGCCTACACGCGAGATGGTGCGTGCTTGGTGCTTGGCTGGTGCTGAACGAATTACATAATAGCTGAACAGCCGCGGCGTGCTTCGCAGAATGTCATCACGCAGCGGCTCTTTTGGAATCCAATGGATCGGAAAATAGGGATGCTGCCATATCTGACGCGCATTGCACTAAGGAACTCGATTGATTCTGACGTTGACGGAATACTCAACTCGCACCTACTAGTACATTTACAGACAGGTAAGAGTCATGCGTAGCTACAGGAAGGGTAGCCAGGCCTCAGCCGTGTTTGCCTCGTATTGATTCATGATTTGGGCTCTACTTGTACTGGTTCGACGCTTCAAAGCCACATCAGCTTTGCAGCAGCTGAGAAACCGGCGTCCTCCGTACCCGAAGTAAAGCTCAGCTCAGGAGAAGGCGGATGTTCTCGAAGGGGTCTAGCTCCAGGCACCTTGCGCCACTAGTGCAAGGCACGGAAGAAGCGCACAAACACGCGTATATCCATCCATTGCAAAATTAACCTTTGCTGCTCTCAGATAATACCTCTGAATGACCTTGAGGGTTGCGTGTAAAAGAAAACATCTACAGTGCTGTCAATGCCGGACATTAAAGAATATCCCAATGTTCCCGTCGGTGTTGACACGTAATTACCCCATTGCCTTTACTGGGGTTAATTGATGATCATCTTCACCAGCCAGCGACCAACGTAAAAGGTACTCGTACAAGTACTTACAAGGGCGCCGGCACCGTTTTGCCAGGCGGTGGGTTTGTTGGCGCTTCCACGTCCCATTTTTATTTTTCACTGGCACTCGTACCTTATTAAATGAACCGGCACAAGCGAAATGCACCTGCTTGTGTTCTCGTGCCACCACCAGCGCCTTAGTCGCCTCTCGCCCTATCCAATAGACAGGATTGGCATCATTTTTCACCAGCTCGGCGACCCTATTGGGAGGCCTGGACCGACCCTGGCGCTTTTCCGCTGGTCCTGCGGCGGCGATCTGCGCTAGCTCCGGTGCTAACGCGCTGGTGGTGCCTGAGCTAGCGGCCTCTTTGCGTAGGCCCGGCCGTTTCAGCACACTGACGAAGCCTCTCTTTATCCGTAACGACGCAAACGCAGCACCAACGTCGACGGAGATTTCTTGTGCCAAGTGACTTGGCCGTACCATCAATGCTTGTTTTGCTTGCGGGCGCTTGTGCTGTACTTCCGTTACTTGTACGAGAAAACAACACAGACCTGCAGAGAGCAGAGGCCACGCAAGTTCCTCCCCCCCCCTTGGATCCGGCACAGCATCACGGGCCACGGCTGATGCGAGCCGCCGGATAACAGGCGCCGTGCCGGCATCAGGCAATGAGGAATGCGGTGAGCAACACGGAACAGCGGTGCTACGAGTACGAGTACTACTACTATGATGATCGCTGCAGAGATGGAGATGGAGAGATGGCCGACTGCGACTCTCCCTCCCCGCATGGCAAATTGCATCTTGTGTTTGCCGGCGAGACTACGTGTACAGCTACACACACTTGATGCGATGCTTCAAACAAGACCGCACCGGCATCAGGGTTAGCATCTGTCTTCTCATACAGCTCGGCGCTCAGCTCCAGGTAGCAATACTTGTAACACAATGAAAAGCGCTTTTGGCGCCAGCCCGGTGATGGAGGGCAATTTCCCAGAGGCCACCCCCTTCTCAGGAGTGGCACCCCCTTGTCTCGCTTGCATCCCTGGCCTCCTTAGGTGATTGATCTCCGTGGGTCAATGCCATGGAGACTGACAAGGGCCCCCAAGCCCATGCAGCAGCTCCGGTTTTTACCTGTCCTGTCCTCCCTTTTGACGCTTCGTCCTGGTTCATCATCTTCAGTTGCGTTGAGCACCTTTTTTCCAACTGAGAGTTTTGTCTGCTCTCCATTACACTCTTTTTAAAGTCTGGCTCATCTCACTTCCGCTCACTTTCGTATTGATATATTCCTTTTCTCGACTTCCAGGCAGCTCTTGTTTACCGTCTTCAGGTTAGTAACGACGTCCGGGGAGCCCACGAACAACTCCGGTTGTGCTCTCATCTCACCACCCCCGCCGATTCGGTCGTCATATGATATCACGATATGTAAACGTCTGAGACCTCATCTAACCCGTGGCAATCTATGAGCAGAACGAATTAGAGACAAGCCGCCAAGATGAAGTACACGATCCTGGCCGCCACACTGGCCGCCTCCGTTGCCGCCTCACCTTCTCACCACCACCAGCACCATCATGCGAAGAAGAACGCTCCTCACAAGGTCGAGAAGCGTGCGCCGGATGTTGTCACTCAGGTTGTTGTCGGACCTACCCAGACCATTTTCCAGCTCGACGGCAAAATTCTCGATGCCGACAAGGCCGCGGCTGGTCTGGCTGACGGTGAATACGTCGTCATTGGAGAGACAACCCCGACTTATGTCCCCCCGCCGCCGCCTCCTCCCCCATCTCCGTCTCCGTCCACGACGACCAGCGCCGGAGGCATGAAGGCTCAGTTCATCGAGGAGCCCTCCTCATCGTCCGCACCTCCCACCACCACCACCACCTCCGCTCCTCCGCCGCCGCCCACGACCACGGCTCAGCCCACGAGCAGCTCTGCACCTCCTCCTCCTCCCAAGTCCTCTTCGAAGCCTGCCAAGCCGAGCCCCCCCTCTGGCGGCAGCGGGCTGAACGCCGATTTCCCCAGCGGAACGATCCCGTGCTCTCACTTCCCGTCCGATTATGGCGCCGTGCCCCTCGAATGGCTAGGCACCAGCGACTGGTCCGGTATCCAATACGTTCCTAGCTATGTACCGGGTGCAGATGCCATCAACGACATCATCACCGGTATTGTTGGCGACAAGTGTAGGTCGAGAGCCATGTGCTCTTATGCTTGCCCTCCTGGCTACCAGAAGACACAGTGGCCCTCGGCTCAAGGATCGACTCTGCAATCCATTGGCGGTCTTTACTGCAACTCGGACGGCTTCCTCGAGCTGACTCGTCCTGACCACCCCAAGCTTTGCGAGCCTGGTGCTGGCGGTGTTACCATCCAAAACGACCTCGACGATTCTGTTTGCACGTGCCGAACTGACTACCCTGGTATCGAGAGCATGGTGATTCCCGCCTGTGCCAATGCCGGTCAGACCATTCCTCTCTGCAACCCCATTGAGTCTGATTACTATGTGTGGGATGGCAAGAGCACCTCCGCCCAGTACTACGTCAACAAGAAGGGCTACGGAGTTGCGGATGCTTGCGTCTGGAACAGCCCTCTCGACCCCGATGGAGCTGGTAACTGGTCTCCCGTCATTCTTGGCGTGGGTAAGACCGCTGGTGGCTTGACCTTCCTATCCATCTTCCAGAACCTTCCCACGAGCACTGCTCTGCTGGACTTCAACATTGAAATCACTGGCGATGTCAACAGCAAATGCTCGTACATCAACGGTGTGTGGACTGGCGGCGACAACGGTTGCACGGTAAGCATCCCCCCTTTCCCAGGATAAAGAAGGGATTAAAAGCTAACTGTTATCAAATAGACTGCCATGCCCGCTGGTGGCTCAGCCGTTATCCGATACTTTTAAAATGGTACCTTCGGAATGACTTTTCCTACCTTTGGTTTATTTTTTTCGAGTACCATATAATTGGATATTTTCGTGTGCATATTCGTTTCCTCGCAGCACATTGGTGGAAGGGGGGTTGAAAATGGCTATCCCCCCTAGTCATAGAGAGAGGACTGGGGGATGGGTCGAGAGAGAGAAAGAACCGCGATACCAGGAAGGCCATTGGGGCCTTCCACTAATGCACTTGCGCCTCTCTTCTGCTATTCCTGGCTGAATGGCCGCCGTGTCGTCGTGTGTGATATACTAGTAGACATACGCCTTGTTCTGGTGGTGTACAGTACTTGGGATCTCATTTAATGCTTTTTTTCGTCTTGTTGTCTACGGGTTATTTTTTCCAAATTAAAGAGTCTGCTCACGCAGTAGTTGGTCCTGGGGTGAAGATATGATGAGTCCTTGAATAAATTAGAATTCCATGGCAGTTCCTACTCCCGATTCCCTCTCCTTTCTTAGCTGTTCGTTTCTCTCCTCCTGGTCCTCTTTTAATTTTTCCTCCACGTCGTCTCTGAAGCTGCCCAAGTCAGGAGGGATAATCTGCATTTGTACGCTTGGCGCACTCTCGACGAAACGTAGTTGTTCTGTGACGTGCTGAATGATTTCCTGCAAACGTTTCTGGGGGTTGCGATTCTGTCGCGGCTCGCCTAGAATCTGTTCGAGGGTTGGGAAGAGGGTGTCCTGGCGGAACTGCTCTCTCCACGGAGCATGCTCTGGTAATATAGGGCTGATTTTATCCTGGCAATTGATGGCTATACTCGTCTCATACGTCCAAGCTCGTGCAACATTCCGGGGGGTGTAACCACCTCCGCCAAAGAGGATCATGGGAATGTTGAGTCTCTTACAGAATTCAACACATGCGCCATGCCCCTGCACCTGGAGGTTGAATCGGCCCAGGCGATCTCCTGCGAGAGAGTCGGCGCCGCATTGGAGCGCGATGGCGCCTGGTCGGAATTTCTCAACAATCTTGCCGATGATGTTGTTAAAGAGCATGTCGTATTGTTCGTCTGTAATACCGTCGTTGAGCGGAACATTGACGGCGTGGTGGGCTCCGGGATTATGTTCGCTCTTAGGCCCATTATCGTCCAACGCGCCAGTGCCGGGGAAGAAGTTGTTGGGGTCGTATTTATGGAAGGAGACTGTCATGACCCTGTCGGTTGAGAAAAAGGCCTCCTCAACACCATCGCCGTGATGTACATCAATGTCAATATACAAAACACGTGGGTAGAATCGCAGCAGCTCCAGAATGGCGATGACGATATCGTTGATGTAGCAAAAACCAGACGCCTCAGCCTTTTTTGCGTGGTGCAAGCCGCCACCCCACGCAATAGCAATGTCAGACTGTTTGCCAACGATTTTCCGGGCGGCATCAAGCGCACTACCGGCAGACATGGAGCAGTAATCATAGAGGCCGTCGAATAAAGGACAATCGGAACCTCCCAAGTTGTATTTCAGGTCCGGGTTCTGGTTCTCAAGATCACGAGGAACTGCCTCCGGGAGGACAGTGCCCAGAAAGTCGAGATAGTCGGTGGAGTGGAAAGACGCCAGCTCCTCGTACGTCGCGGCCCGGGTCAGATAGTTATCCATGGCAAAAGACATGCCATACGAGTAAATCAGGCTCTTGGACAGCGTCAGGCGCCAGGGCTTCATAGGATGTGTCATGCCGAAGTGGTGCTTCTCCATCTCGGGATTGCAATGAAAGGACACATTGTAGCCCTTGGGGCGAGTGATGCCCGACGATTCGGCCAGGCGTTTGCACTGCTGGTAGAACTTTGCGTTTTCCGCATCGCTGGCAATGCCGAGGGGCTGGACATATTCCTCTACTATGTCGCCATCGGGGTCGATGTCCAGTTTATGAGGGAGGTAGTTTGGCTTTGGAACACGAAACCTGTAGTTGTCCATGGTGGGCGGAAGAGGTGAGTCGGCTGGGTGATTAAAAAGGGATAAAGAGAATATCCTCGTCGGTTTAGCGCTCTATGGCTATTACATCAACGACTTGAGGAAACTGCGTTGAGAAGATGAACGGGATGAATGACTGATACACAGCTATAACTGTCAAGGGTCAAGGGATGAGTGAGGCTGCTGATTCAGCTACAGCGAGCATTATGCTGCTTGATCAAATGCATCCCAATGTGAGCGGTCGAGATTGCGATAGCATTTGCAAAAGACAGCCTGGCCTTTTCTTTTAGCCACTCCGGACGCGTAAGAGATAAAAATTAAAGTTGTAGATGGAGGTATGAAGAACGGACTGAGAAGAGTGAGCGAACGCCATCGAAAAGCTCCGAGCTGCCCATCTGGCCGGAGTCACGTGAGATTGAAAAGCTACTGCTGAGATAAGGTTTTATCGAATCCACTGAGGAAGGAGTATGTACCATGTCCATGTAAGAGAAACTGCAGGTACTGGCCCTGAGATAATGAGTAAGCATGGTCAGGTCCAGCATCTGTCTGGTGGCTGTTTCTTCTCATGGATTGATTGCATCTTCTCCTCCTTCATCCCTTCATCTCTTCATACCTACTAACCCATCCATCCACTTGCCCATTAACCAGATTTGCTCCCCCCAGCTCCACTGGAACTAGCCTGTACTTGCCTGCAGCTTCACGGAACATTTCTCTTGGCTCTCTGGCTAAGCCTCGGAATTCGCCACCAGACCAATTCGACGCACCGCTCTCTCTTAGGCCTGCATAAACCTCGAAGCTCCGCCCATCACTAATTCTGCATCTCCTCCGAAACGGCAGCCCAGCCAACCCAACTTATTTGTCTGCCGAGTAACGCGCTGCCTCATCTCCATCTCCATCCTCCTTCAAGCGACCCCAAAGCAGGACAGGCGCCGCAGTTTCAGTGGCATCGAGGTGAGCCCGGCCCATTTATCGAGTCGCTCTGCGCCCGTGTTTGCGTTGCATTGCTCTGCGTTGCTCTGCGTTGCGTTGCGTTGCTCTTGACAACGGCTTTTGCTCTGGGATAGGGCTGGTTGGACCCGTCACATCCACATCAGCTGGAGGACTCAATCATTCGTTGGAGACGTCTCCTTGCGGGGACTTCTTGCCAGCTGGTGATTGCTTTTTCTCTTGCTGCAGAGCTACTACCGTCATGCACGCTCGTCTGCCTATCCATCTGCTGTGCCTGCTTCGTGTCCCCAGCTAGATGGCCTTTGCCCTTTTCTTTTTTCTCTTCTTCTTTTCTTAATGAGCATTGCCCATTTTTCTTTCAAGCATCTCTCCCATACGGTGGATACGGAATATATGAGACCGCAATAGTCGCCCGCCTTGGATGCATATGGCCTGATATCACCATTGGCCTACTTTTTCGGTCCCATCTATTCCTATCCCACCCCCAGCATTGCGCTATTGCTTCTGCTCTCTACTTTGCTCAAAATCCTTTACAAACAACTTTACATCATCCCATTTAAAAGCCTTTCTGTTTTTCATCAAGTCATATCAGCCTGAAAAGACTCATCCGCTGGCTTGGGTGTCTCTCATCGCTGGTCATTGTTGTCCATCCATCATCTATTCATCGTCAAATTTGTGGACTCGGCGTCGCCAAGTCGTTAACCATCATGCCTAGAGACGATTTGTCCATTGACTTCGTCAAGAGGATGCCGCAGGCCGAGCCTCTAGACCCCGGCTTGATCCTCGATGACTGGTTCAACCGCGTCCAGAATCTCCCCGAGGAGATTCGCTTTATCCATGAAGAGATTACAGACAAGGACCGCCAGTACAATGAGTGTATTCGAATGATTGAGGATCGTGATGGAAAGATCCAAAAGTGGATCAAGACGAATGGGAGCCATGAGCCCAACCCAAAGGAGGATATGCTACGGGCCCAAATTCGCGAAAACTATGCTCGCGCTGACCAGTTTGCTCAAGACAAGATCAACTTGATGGAAAGGCTACTGGTCGTTATGGACAAACATACGCGGAATCTGGATGTCCAGATGAAGCTGCTCTACGATCGTGCCGAGCCTGGGTTTACAGACCCTGACGAGGTTCCTTCACTCCTCCGTCCCAGTGCGACTAATCACAGCGCTCCCTCGGCTCGGACCCTGAACATCTCCAACAACATCAACTCAGCTGGTCCTCTGGCTTCACCTCGCAACCCGATTGCCAGCTCTGCCAATCCAGCCATGGTTCGGCTACCCAACCACCCTCAGATTAGGCATCCTCAGGCCCAGCAGCATGTCGCGCAATACCATCAGCATCCATCCTCCGCACCAGCTACGCCAGCTGCAAGCATCATACTAAATAGACAGCGTGAGAGCTCGGCGGGCCCGGCCACAAAGAGAGGGCCACGGTCCATTACAGGGCCCGGAAATCTGCCGACAACCTCAAGCGGATTAGCTAGACATTCATCCCTTGGTCCTGGTATACCAAAGAGCGGCTCTGGGGCCAATTTAGGAGCTAGCGGTGCTGTCCGGGCAGGTAGTGCTGGACCGAGAGCAGGATCGGTAAAAGGGGTTGTCGGAGTAGCGGGTCGCAGAGGCACTCCGACAATAAGTGGTCGGAAGAAGCCGCCCAACAGGTCGTCACTTTCACGGGTGAAGAAGGCCTCAAACAGAAATTCGCCGGCATCGACGGCGGATAGTGATTTGTCGGACGCTGGAAGCGGCAGCGGTGAAGAGGATGATGGTATGGAATCACGACCGAGGGCCACCATGGATGGCAAAGATGGGGATGAAGCGCTCGGAGACGCTGACGATGACGAAGACGGTGGTGATGACAAACGATACTGCCTGTGCCATAACGTGAGCTATGGCGACATGGTGGCTTGCGACAACGACAATTGCCCCTATGAGTGGTTTCATTGGTCGTGTGTTGGGCTTAAGAGCGAACCCAATGGCACCTGGTACTGTCCCGAGTGTACCGAGAAGTTTCAACGAAAGGGGAAATAGAAGATGATGTAATTTTGTTTGCGTGAGTAGTTTTAGATTACAAAACTGCAGCTGACAATCCTATTGTCTGTACGTTGTCTTGTCTTGTTAGTGAAGTTCCATATAAGACTCTCGGTGTAAGATGAGAGCTTCGTTCCGTCATTCGCGTTGGACTTGGCACGATTGCGAGGTCTCATGACTTCTGCAGGATGCAGTGAACAACGCCACGTCGTACACCCTCGCTCTCCTCTCTTAGCTCTGAAACAGTGGCGCCCTTTGAGCGGGCCGCCTCGATGAAGTCGTCCAGTGAGCCGCCGACTCCAAAGTATAGTCTTTTGGCAGCTACATATGCAGCTGCTGTAGCACCCGAACCCCGCTCTCGTTCAAGGATGGTAAAGACTGTTTGCGTGAATGCCTGCAGCGCAAATGGAGAGTAGATGGTCTCTGCGCCCACCATGAGCGTGATTGGCGCTGGCAGGCCCGATGAGAAGGCTGGTAGATGGTACAGGCAGCTGATGAACTCGGGGGACCAGGCTCCGGAGATGAAGGACAGGTGAATGCCGCTGGACGAGAGGAACTGCTCGAAGGCTTGGATTATCTCGGGGGACAGTTCAAGCTCGCCTTCGATGTTGAAGGCGTCTTGGAGGGCTGGGTTGTGAGTGTTGTGGAGGGCCCAGGCGAGGACAAAGTTGGGCAGAGTGACGAGGCGGAGGACAGATGGGTTGTAGTCGGCCAGGACGAATGAGCAGGGATTTTGTTGCCATTGGTTGCGTGATTGCCTTTGCATGATCCAGGTGAACATTGCAAGAGAGGGAAGAGCAGTTCCACAACCCAGCTGTTGGGTTTCGAGTCAGTTTGATATTCTTATTGTGACGGTAAAATAGGTAAAATGGAAAAGGAGAGTTTCGAGAATTTCTTTGGATGGATGTATGCGTACCTCGACTACACGAAGAGATGAAGCTTGTTGAGCGGCTGTGAGCTCGTCCTGAGCGGCAAGCACCTTGACGAGATCAATGCTGCTCTCCCAGCTCTTGAAACCGCCTTCATAGATGCCCGTCTTGACATCATGCTTGCCCAGCCCACCGTCGTCGACCCGATCCTCGCCATTGACCACCTCGTCGTCCTCGGCCATGAGCTGCACTCTTACATCCCAGAGCTCGCGGCGAGGCAACCGCAGGCGAGTTTCACTGGCGCCGTCGTCTGCAACGTCAATGTCGAGCAGATCGTAGGCGAGCTTGGAGGGCAGCTGTGAGAGGAAGTCGGAGAGGCTGTGGAGAGTGGCTGGGAGCTGGGGCTTGCCGGCGACGGGGAAGGCGCTGTATGATGCTGGAGGTTGGCTTTGGGTTGTGATGGTTTGTGTTTGAGACTGATCGATGTCGTGGTCTATGTCGTCTCCGGAGAAGCCAAATGAGAAGGACATGGCTTTTTTTGGTTGTGAGTAGTTTTCTTTTCTTTCTTTCTTTCTTTTACTATTTACTCTTCAGCTTGATGGAATGAATATGACGTGCTTATGGTAAGTGAGAAGTAGTGGAAAAATAAATAGTAATATCCAAGCAGGCTGACTGAATGTGAAGAGAAAATGTCGAGATAATTGACTGATAAGAGGAATATTTCAAAAGATTCGATTGTCGTGCCCTCTGGTTGGTATTTGGTGGGGCAGCCAATTGACTTCCATGGATTTGTTAGGGGAAGAAAAAACTTGGAAGTACCCGCCTGTGTTCGGTTATAGGGACGGGAACTTTAGGCTAGAGATGACCTACTCGTACAGTGGCTGCGATATCGACTTCATCTTTAAAAAACATATTGGATGACTGATGCAGCAAAGCGTGGCAGTTTAACGACCTCTTTGCTGTATTTTGCAACTTGTCTTTCTTTTATCAAGACCATATTGTATTATACATTTCCCACATTATCTTCTTAGTCATTGTCACGACATATAGTACTTCTACCCGAGACGTCAATGTCACGCCCGTCCATCTAAAAGCATCATCTCATCTCTCACTCATCGCCCCAAAACATGCGCCAGTCCCTCGCCAAGCTGGCATCGGCCTCGGCCATGCAAAACGGCCTGCGGCCCAAGCCAATGGCCCTCCTGCCTCCCATCCCGCTGTACCGACGGCTTCTGCGCGCCCACAGGAAATTCCTGCCCACGGAAATGCGGCTTCTCGGAGACGAGTATGTCAAGGCCGAGTTTCGAGCCCATCGGAAGGTGGACAATCCTGCGCACTTGGTACGTTGTGAATGCGATCAAGGAAGAAGAAGGCCAGGGGGAGATGAACTATCTGTCCTCTTCATTTGTTTTGTTTGAGTGTGTGCATTGCTGACTTGTTCCTTCAGATTGGCTTCCTTTCGGAATGGCAGATGTATGCTCAGCAGATTGAAGGCGAATCCTGGGTGGGTGAGAAGATTGATCAGGGGAAATTGCAGAAGATGAGCGGTAAGCGTTACACATGATCCCCCAATCTGCCGGTTTTCTTTGCGATGAATCAAACATCTAACTTGGGCTTTCAGACGAGCAAATCCAACAGTTGTATGACTTGATGCAGGCCATTCAAAAGCATCACAACGGAGAAGATGTTGAATGATTGGCCTTTGAACAAGGGCCTTGTGGGCATTAAAATTGTAGAATTAGATTGTAAATTTAAAAATTGTATACATACTCGACATATATATCTAGCATCTATCAAAAATATAGAGGGTATATCCTTCATCGCTAATCTACCTCCCCAAGGCCTCGGCAATCCATGTTGCCTGGATGGCACTTACTTTCTTTGCGTAATTCTTATTCGTGTACACATGCTCAAGGAACATGATGGCTTCCTTCTTTTGCCCATGCATGACACTGGAGGGATGGATGGCAACCACATGCTTGCCGTGGACAGTCACAAAGCTTCCGTCCGGCGCCAGCATGGCCGTCCTCATTGCGAAGCCTCGAAGAAAGCACTTGATAACCGCCTCTGCCTTCTCGGGCGACAGAGGGGTGAATGGCTGAGGATCCGGCGCCGGCGTTTCCGAGAGAAGCTTCTCTTTCAAACACATTCCTCGAAGCTGCCGACGAATGTTCAATGCCTGCTTCATGTTTCGAATGTTGATTTTGCGCTTCTTGCACCACTCCATCCTGTCCGAGTTCTCTGCAGTGTACATCTGCATGGTTGTCAGATACGTGATAATGTCGCCTTCTCGTCTCTGGATATCCTTGCGATACGATTCTACTTCTTCTGCGCCCTCCTCTGACTGCACATGTATAAAAATGTTGTCTCCTGAGGTAAGGCATGAGATGGCATCAATTACCTCTAGGACGCAGTCAAACTCAGGGCCCGAGGCAGCGAGAATAACAGCCCCAAGGGGAGCAGAAAGGGGAAATCTAGCCATCATTTCGCCCGCCGATGTGATGGTGCCGTCATCCGCCAGAGCCCCGAGGAAATGTAAATGAAGCAGCGCCATTTCTATAGCTGCGGGTTCTGGTGCGTCTATCAGTGGAAAAGACAGTACGTCTTGGATGCCGCGGGCCTTCATAGTGAGAACGGCTCCGAGAACGTCGTTTCTTAAGATTTCCGGCAGGTCTGAGTCTTGTAAACTGTCAAACGCACCTTCTGTGTAGAGCCTGAAGCATTTGCCTGGTCCCTCACGGCCTGCACGACCGGCGCGCTGCACAGCGGATGATTTAGATATCGGCTTGGCTAAAAGAGACTCCATGCCAAGCCGTGGTCTATACTGCTTCACCTTGGCCTTGCCGCAATCCACGACATATCTCACACCGGGAACCGTGACGGATGTCTCAGCAATATTGGTGGCGAGCACGACTTTGCGTGTCATAGGAGACTTGGCGGGCTGGAAAGCCACCCTCTGTGCTTCAATGGAGAGCTGTCCGTATAGCGGCACGGCGATGATCTTGGGCACGTTGGATGCAAGGCTCGTGGCATATTCCTCAATCAGCCGTTGGGCAGATTCAATGTCCTCCTGGCCGTTGAGAAAGGCCAAAATATCCCCAGGCAGTGGTTCCTCCACATGAATTTTGAAAATCTTCTTCAAAAGTGCGTCTTGCAGGTCGGCCACTGGCCGGGGCTCGTATAGGATCGTGACAGGGAATTGTCGACCTTTAATTCGAAGCAACTCAACATTGCTCGCCTTTTCTTTTCCTGGGATAGCCGCATTGCCAAAAAAGTCCTGGATGACACCCACTTCGGCTGTAGCACTCATGATTATCACCTTGAGTGGAACGCCTCCTCTTTGTGTTTTATCCCCAAACAATATCTGTTTCAAGAATCCGGCAAGGAGATCGACGTCCAGGCTTCTCTCGTGGATTTCGTCAATGACGACGGCGCTATACTGTCTCAGATATGGATCCCGGAGAAGCTCCTGCAGTAAAGTACCTTCGGTCAAGAACTTGATCCTGGCACCTCGTGGCACTTGGTGGTCGAATCGAACCGAATATCCGACAAGCCCATCTGGCCTTCCCTTGCCAAGCGGCGTGCCCGCCTCGGTCGAAACACGATGCGCCAGAGTTGTGGCGGCAACACGTCTCGGCTGTGTAATGGCAATCATGCCTCCCACGTATCCATCCTCTTCCCGGCCTGGCAGCTTAACCTTGTGTCGCTTGCACCAGGATTCCTGGTAGAGAAACTGGGGTACCTGAGTACTCTTACCAGAACCGGTTTCTCCAACTATCACAATAACGTCGGTGCCTAGGCGCTTCACGACCGTTCGGATCTCATCTTGGTGCTGCCATATCGGCAATTCCCGGCGAGCTTTTAGCAATGGGTGCTCCTTGGCTCCTCTTGGATTTCGAGATTTGTGATTTGTTCCGCTACTTTCGAGTGATGGCTTTTTGGTCGATTGTTGTGGCTGTGTTGTAGCGTTCGAAGGTTGCTCTTGCGACGGGGCTTGCGGCGTTGATTTGAGGCCGTTTGCTTCGACTTGTTTGGGTCGCGAAGATGTCAGATATCCTGCTACCGAGATGGTTTTGCCTCCAATAGTGACGGACCCGGAATCCTGGCGAGTTTTTCGTCTCTTGGGCGCATGTTCTGTGGCGTTCGGTGCAGCCATTGTCGGAAAACAGGATACTTGGCAGAATGTTATGAAGAGGCTGCGCAGATGATTTGGCTCGACATTGGTTCTTTTTTCTTCTGCTGTGAGATGTCTGGCAAAATTTCACATGTTGGGCAAGGTACGCTGAGCTAACTTGTCGTCGACCTAGCTTATCGATAGCGGCGAGTCTACGAAAATTCTGCCCCATTATAATTGGCTCCTCATGAGCCTGTTAAGGCCATTTCTTTCATAAAATAATTATTTCTTGGTCAATTTATCAAGAATAATGATAAAAAAATCCATTTTATATAATAATACATAGCAGAATATGCTTTTAAGCTGATCTATGGATCACATTGGTGGGTTAAATATAGATTTAGGGGCACCAGCGCCTGCGGCGGTGTGAGCCTAGTAGCTATTGAAACAGGGTCCTAGGCTAGTGCTCCTACGGGGTAGACTTGGAGTGGCTCAGATAGGGAGTTGACACCCAAGCCTCACTTGCTTCTTTGTTCTTCTCTCGTGACATCTCCTTTCTCTCGCATCCCTAACGCACCGCCGTTTTTTTGTCTTTGTTCTTTTAATTGCGAAACGCACACTACTCTCTTTGAATCTTTGAATAACCCAGTCCTAATCACGATGAAGAAGTTCGGTTTCGGCAAGAAGAGCGAGAAGCACTCGCCTGCTCCCTCAGACAATCCGTATGCCAACCAGGGCAACAATGATCCCTATGCCGAACAGACGAAATATGCCAATATGGGCTCCCACCCGCCGACCCCGAGTAACGGTGTTCGACCACCCGCCGGAAATGGCTATGCTTCATACCAGAGTCCACCTCCCCAGCAGACTCCCCCGCCAGGGTATGGCAGCGACCGATACGGCTCAGGCGGTGGCTATGGCTCCAACCGCTACGACAACGGCCCAAGCAACAATAACCCAGCGGGTGCTAGAGGCCCTGGAGGGTACGGTGGCTTTGGCCGCGATGCCGACAGCAGCAGAGATGTGCCCTTCGCTGGGGCACAAGGGGGACCCCAACAACCACAGCAGCCGGCTGCCTCCACCCCACAGTCGGGCACCTCTGGTTCTTATGGAGGCTATGGCGAGCAGCGGGAGTTGACAGAGGAGGAGCAAGAGGAGGCCGACTACCAGGCGATTCTTGCTGAGAAGAGACAAGTTCAGCAGGACAGTGTGGCATCAGTATCACGCTCAGTACAGATGGCCAGGCAAGCCAACGAAGTCGGACGTGCCACTCTGGCTCGTCTTGGCGCACAAGGCGAACGATTGCACAATACCGAAAAGAACCTGGACCTTGCCGCCAACCAGAATAAGATTGCTCAGGACAGGGCAGCGGAGTTGAAGACACTCAACGGCAGCATGTTCGCAGTCCACGTCGGAAACCCCTTTACGTCCAAACAGCGACAGCAAAAAGCCGATGAAGAAGTGCTGTCTCGCCACCGGTCTGAGCGAGAGCAACGAGAAGCGACACGGCGAGACGGCTATGCAGCAACTCAGCGCATGGAGCAAAACATGCGCCAAATGGGGGGTTCGGCCATGGGCCGGGCACAGGGCCGCAAGAAGGATTATGGCAAGTTTAACTTGGAAGATGAAGAAGGCGCCGACGAACTGGAAGACCAGATCGACGACGGTCTTACCGAACTGGAAGGCCAGGTCAAGATGATGAACATGGTTGGTCGAGCCATTGGCGCCGAGGTGGATGCTCAGAACACGCAAATCGATCGGATTATGAACAAGGTAATTCAGCCCTGGAACCCCTGTCACATGCTCCCTCCCCTTGACTCATATAATACCGGTATCGGATGGCTAACGTCTTGTGTCACAGAGCGATGCTGTTGATGATGCTACGAGGATGAACAGAGAACGGTTGGCCCGTATTAGGTAAAAGGATTAATAGAGGCTCAAGGTCTAGATAGACTGCTGCCATGTTTCAATGCTTTGTTTCATAATATGATGTAGTTGATATGCTATATAAATTATATGATTTATGTATTACGTTGGATGTCTTTGCCTTTACGCTTTTTGAAAGAATGATACTTTTTGCGATGGAGAGCTCCAGTGACGATACTGTTGCATTATAGTATGTATGTACAGTGTCCGCTAACATCTTTGCCGTGGAACTCCAACAAAGGCTGAGACTGGGCGAGTTTCCTGCTATTAGCACCGTGCCATCTTAGTCATGAGATTTCTACCTAGCTGGATTCGGCATCTGTCGGTTCTTACATTCTCCTTTCGAGGTACCTTGCATTCCTATTGCAGCCGCCTTACATCAGAATGTCACCGCGTGGTATCACTTTGCCCCTTAGCATCAAGGCAGGCATCAGGAGCTTCGGACTTGAGTCACACTTGAGCTGGTCAGTGGCTTGGCTCTGATCGAACCCTCGTCTTTTGTCTTCACCTGATGGCCTGATTTATATTCTTGTATATACACCGTCTGTTTTGTTTTCTTTTTCATCTTCTTCCAGCACTCGGTCCTTTATCATATCATTTTGTTCATACTCATACGTGTGAACTTTGGTCCTCAGGAGCCTCTTCGCATCGCTTTGCACAGTGTCGCAATCGCTCCCCATAATGATTCTCATTGCTCGACATTGCTTTGTGCACATATATCGGACCATGAGAGTATGAATTGGATTGTCTTAGTTGAGCAGGGATATCTTCAGATCGAATTGCTTTTGAACCGCCTCAATGGCTTCTGTCTTCACATACGACCCTGACCCTCCCCGGGTCTCCTCGCCCTGGATTCTGGCCGATGATGCAGACAGCCCTCAGCCTCAGGGATCCGGAGCGGCGGTGACTCAGACCGGCTTGCTGTCTGAGTATGGCGTCACAAGGCTTGAAGCTGAGCCGCAGACCGGCCCGATCGAATACAAGCTGCATTTGCTCTTGCGGTCGCGGCGCAGCTATGTGTACATGAGTACCGTGCATCAGAAGAGAGACAGGCTTCATGCTCAGCCTGGGGATGGGTCGGCAATGTACTCTGCGTCTCCTGCATCGTCGAATCAACCGCGCCAGGAACGTCTCCAACGTCTTACAACGCAGCTGCTTTGGCGCTTGCAACAGTCGTCGCCGTATCATGCGACCAGCTCCAGAGAAGTGAGAATACCAAAGTTATCAGACGGCAAAGATGATGCCAATTTGGATCTCTACGGCACCCAGATCCCCGGGCTTGAAGAGTCGCAGGGCGCCCTCTATGAGATAGGTGTCTCTGATGACGGAACACTCGTTGGGCTCGCCAAAGATGAGCTGGATGAGAGTATCGCTACCCTCAGGATCATGGCCGCGAGTCTTGGATGCGGCGTTACCGTAATGCGAATGGTCATAGTGGGTGACTGCGAATGGATTGAAATAGCAGAGGTCGATGGCGACGCTACCAAGAATCCAGTTCAGGTGTCTAAACAGGATAAACTCTGGGTGGCTGAAGCATTGATAACGCCTAATACTGAGCTGCAGCATTCAACGTCTTTCAAAGATGGCGGGAGCTACGAAGGATCTCACGGTGGAACTCCTCTGCAATATTCTGCGTCAAACACGGCTCCAGGCCATGCTAAGTCTACAACTCCGCAGCTGCGAGTTACCTTGACGGGCCCTATAGCGTCAGGGAAATCGAGTCTCTTGGGAACGCTCTCTACGGGGACTCTGGATAATGGCCGAGGCAAAAGTCGCTTGAGTTTGTTGAAGCATCGCCATGAGATGGCATCCGGAATGACCAGCTCTATTGCACAAGAGCTCATCGGATACGAGGGAAGGCACATTTTCAGCTTCTCTCATCGCAACATTGAATCATGGGTTGACATTCATGACTATTCCAGCAATGGCCGACTTGTCTTTATGTCTGACTCGGGTGGCCACCCGAGGTATCGACATACAGTCTTCCGCGGGCTTATGAACTGGGCGCCGCATTGGATGGTTCTCTGCATTGCTGCAGATGACGCCGAGGTGACTCCTCGAGCTCATGACATGGCTTCCTCTGCAATAGACTCGGGAGACACCGACTTAGTAAAGGCCCATTTGAATCTTTCGCTCAAGCTCGATGTCCCGTTAGCTATCGTCATTACGAAACTGGATCTCGCGTCTAAAGTAGCCTTGCAAAAGACCATGACAAAAATCCTCGCCGCCATAAGAGATGCACATCGCATACCGAAGCTGCTGCAGCCTGATCAACAGCCACAAGATCAGTTGGCAGAAATCCCACAGGCGGACTGGGATAAAGTGGATAGCCTGGTTAAGAACATGTCCGAGAATGGAGGCCTATTGAAGCATGTCCCTATTGTTTTTACGAGTGTCTTGAAGGGCATTGGTGTTGGTCTTGTTCATGCTTTACTTGCAAGTCTGCCTCTACCGGCGCATGACTCTACAGAAACAACTATGCAGCCAGGGCAACCGACAGACCTTTTCCACATTGATGACACGTTCAGCTTGTCCAGATCGCTGGATGATTCGCCATCGGCGGAAGGAGTCATTGTATCCGGCCATGTTCGGCTCGGTAGCTTCTCTGTTGGGCAGACCATTGTTGTAGGACCATTTTCGTCGAGTCAAAACCGTACCTCCAGCTCTGAAGGCCATTCATCCGCCGACGATCGTGGATCGCCAATGCTGAATGCAGCGTTAGTCGAACATGTCAAAAGCACCCGGACGGATGCCACACCACCATCCATTGCGGCAGATGAATGGCAGAAGGGGCGCATCGTGAGCATCCGTAACCTTCGACTGCCCGTAGGAACATTGGAAGCCGGTCAAGTTGGATCAATAGGCCTCGTGTTCGAGCCTAGCCAAACCGAACTCACTCCCTTGGCGGATACTCCTCAGATTCAGAGGGGGATGGTGATGGCGACGCTACCAATTGAAACGCTCGGCATTGAAGTTCCTATCCAGGCTTCACGTGGGTTTACGGCGACCTTTGACGAAGGTGCTGCCCAGTTCCCCCCGCCGGGCACAACAGTCAACGTGCTGTTTGCTTGCGTCAGAACTACTGCTCGAATCCTCGACATCTCTGTCCAGCATCGTGCTGGAACAGGTGAGGCCGGAGATGATGCAGGAGGCACCATGACCAAAGTCTCGGTGGAATTCGTTCATAGCCGAAAGTGGGCTGAGCTAGGGACATCCGTCATTATCATGGGGAATAGTAGTCAAGATGGATCGGGTTTGCAGGGCTTTGTAGGAAAGATCACGGAAATTGTGTGCTGACATGGAAACACATGTCAAGAGTCGCATATCATTGGGTTATTTTATTATGTTTAATAGATTATGCTTGACACCAGTAATAATCGCTTTGTCTGCACCTTGCTTTGATTCGCCACCCAACCCCCCGGAGGAGCTCTCAAGCTCTCACTAAGCCGTAGAATAGAGTCCACGTCAATATGAATCCGGGCAAGCCATTGAAGATGCCGCCAGTCCAGATTTCCAGGGCGCCTCTGTAGTAACGACCAGAATCGAGGACGGAGCGGCCCTCTCCCAGAGAGCTTGGCGCAATCTGGAGGATGTAGAACAGAAGGCTGGTTGTTATTGAGAAGGCAATGTAGAACAAGAAGCCATAGTAAGACTCGAGACCAAGAATCCCAGCAGCAACGCCAAAGAGGGACGCCGTCAAGCTGTGAAGATTGGTGAGAGCCTGCTCCGCGGAGATGAGGTTAGAACAAGTCAGAATGGCGGCACCACTCATGGGTACGAGGGAGGGGATTGGCCGTACCTTTGTGTTGTGGGCGACTGAGTCCTGGACAATGGGGTTGATCTGCAGCTCCTGTTCCGACATTGTTGTGGTGAAGAGCTTGGGCGCGTTGGATGAGTGTGAAATTATGTCGTGATAGTGACAGCTTGTATGTATGAGTAGAGACAGGCTAGAGCGGGACCTCACAGTGCGTAAAAATGACGGGCCGACGGCACATCCGACGTCCGACCGCCCACCAACTGATGGTGGGGTTGAGACGCCGGAAAGCTAGCGGCTTACTTGTATATAGGTACTTGGCCGAGTGACGAGAGCTTCTGCACCTGCACATTCCAGTCTCGTTTTTTTCCTTCATTGACCACCATGGAGCACACTTTCGAGCCATTGAAGAACGACCTGCTGCTGCGAGCGGCGTGGGGTGGGTTCCTGCCATTCATCTGCCCTCTGCGGTAGCCGCGAATTGAAGTTTTGGGACATGTGCTTATACGTTGTGTGTGCGCCGTATAGGCCAGGCCGTGGAACGACCTCCCATGTGGGTGATGCGCCAAGGTAATGAATGTTTTGCGATCGAGAGCAGTGCGGAAAGAGGGAGCAGAGCGGCAACTGACGAGATATTCCAGCCGGCCGCTACCTCCCGGAATACCATGAAGCAAAGGGCACGCGCGACTTCTTCGAGTGCTGCCGAGATGCCGAGGTCGCCTCCACATTAACGCTGCAGCCCGTCGAGCGCTTCGAGGGCCTGCTGGATGCCGCCATCATCTTCTCCGACATCCTCGTCATCCCCCAGGCCATGGGCATGCAGGTGGAGATGGTGGACAAGAAGGGCCCCCATTTCCCCAACCCGCTGCAGAGCCCCGCGGACGGGCAGTACGAGCAGGTGCTCGGCCGAGGCGTGGACGTGGCCGCCGAGCTCGACTACGTCTACAAGGCAATCACCCTGACGAGGAAGAAGCTGGCCGGCCGGGTTCCCCTGATTGGCTTCTGCGGCGCGCCCTGGACGCTCTTCTGCTACATGGTCGAGGGCGGCGGCACCAAGCTTTTCGCCCAGTCCAAGACGTGGATCTACAAGTACCCGGAGGAGACGAAGAAGCTTCTGGCCAAGATTGCTGATGTCTGTGTAGACCACCTGGCTCTTCAGGTGAAGGCCGGTGCTCAGGTATGGCTCGATTCCAACTTTTATTTTCACCTCTCTCTCTCTCTCTTCTTTTTTTTCTGTCTATGTATCTCGGCGAAGCAGCTAATCACGGGTGGTTTGTAGTTGGTGATGGTATTTGACTCATGGGCTGGAGAGCTGTCCCCTGCTTCTTTCAAGGAGTTCTCTGAGCCTTACCTTGCTCACATTGCGCAGAAGCTACCGCAGAAGCTGCAAGAGCTGGGATTGGAGAAGGTGCCTATGACGGTGTTCCCTAAGGGCGCTTGGTACGCTCTCGATTCAGTGTGCAATCTGGGCTACAATGTCGTCGGCATGGACTGGCTGCAAGACGCCGCTGAGGCTGTGCGAATTAGAGGAGACAGGAACGTTGTCTTTCAGGGCAACGCCGATCCTGGATGCTTGTATGGCTCAAAGGCCGCCATCACTGAGGCTGTTGAGACCATGGTCAAGGGCTTTTGGACCGGTAACAAGGGCTGGATCGCCAACTTGGGCCACGGTAAGATATACACACCCTGAGGGCCGTTATTACAATTCATCATTACTAAATCATGTTGTCCACAGGTATCACCCCTGGCGTTAACCCGGATAACCTAAAATTCTTTTTCGAAGAAATCCATCGCCTGACCAAGCCTTGAGGCTGTGGCAAAGGGGAGGAGAAAATAAAACGAAGAAAGTGAAAGAAAAAAAAAATACAAAAGGTGGCCGGCTCTCGATTCAGCGGCAGAGTCAGAATAGTATATTGAAATGACAAGCTGTATTGTAAGCCCGATCTAAAAACCAAGAATCGCTCCGTCTGTTGAAATACCCTTTTGGTTTTGGATGCCGTTTCCTAATTGAAGCCCACAAACAATCTCTTTTTTTTTGTTACCACCGAGAAGACTCCGTACCTAAACACGAACCATGACGAAATGCGCCCTACGAATTCCAAACACCATGAACAAAGTAGTTTCTGAAAAACCGGGGAATTTGAAGAAGCGGAAGAGAGAGAGGGCGAGAGAGTTGAGGAAGATGAGGAGGAGAGGAGGAGAGGAGGAGAGGAGGAGAGAAGAGAGAGGGGGAAGAGGCAGGAATAAAGGAATTCATCGACGCTTTATTGCTTCTTGCCAAATAGCCATCTTCTCTTCGTCTCCGTCTTCTCCACCCTTTCGGCCGACTTGTCAGAGGACTTGTCCGACGTTCTCTCGGGGGTTTCGTCGATGGCTTGCTCCACGCTACGGTTGCGCGCCAGCTCTTCGAGTTCGTCCTCGCCCTTGAATATGTTGCCAGCGCCGCCACGGCCAACGTACTGGGCTCCCGCACTAAGTCGCCGAGGCACGCTATAAACAAAAACTCATTTGTTAGAAACTGCATGATTCGGAAACAACTTGAACGTAGTGTGGTGTACTAGAGGGTCTCTCCCCAGCAAGGCATAGTAGAGAGAGGGGGAACCGTAGAAAAAGAGGGCCAAAACTTACGCCTTGACGTCCTGGCGAAGACGAGTCTCGCGAGGGTCGTTGTTCTGCGCCATGTTGCCAGTGCCCCCTCGGCCAGTCGTAACAACGGCCGTTTTCAGCACGGGGGTCTCGAGATCCGAGGGGTTGATCTTTGGTGACTGAGCGGCATCGGCCATGTTGCCCGCGCCGCCGCGGCCATGGGAAGCGAACTGAGCAGCCATATGGTACGGGATTGTACGAGTATATATATATATATATATAAGGTTGCGACCCAGGCACTAGATGTTTTTCGTTTCTTCTTTTTCTGAGAGGCGCAATATGATTCATCCAGCCTTGGGGAAAAGATGGGGGATGTGAGAGTTTGGTAGCCTTACGGGCCGGCGGGTCATCTGCCACAGGGGACTTTTCTCAGCGCTAGAGGGGGACTTCTTTGCATTAAGCGTGGGCTAGGACGGAAGCGGCAAGGGAGCGATTCTGTCCTGATTTGACGACATTTGCAGCTACTGTACTCATGCTGTAACTTGGACCAACTCATGTGATGATGGAACAGAGACACTGTGCGTATTTTACAGGTACCGGGTACAGTGCGTGCTGGCTGGGTACCCGGCCTGTTAGTGGTACAGTACCAGGTATAGTAGGGTTCCATTATTTTGTGTTAGGTTTTGAAAATCTCCCGAAAAGTCAGTGTCCGCAGATACATAAATACTGTGTAACAAAACACCAACAACATTATCTTGTCTCACAACACTATCAAGTACCGTCGTCGTCGTCGTCGTCTACATCATCGCATCTACATGTCTACTACGTTGTATATAGTATAAATTGCCGAGGGTGGTGCGTGTTTTTTTCTTTCTTTCTTTTACTAAAATCAAGGCCATTTCGAACCTCTCCACTCCAACATGTCATAACCCCTCACACCCAATCCCCTCCGTCCAACCACCACGCCCACCCTCAGCTGCTGCATCACGATAAGCGCTAATGAGGGCGAGCTGCGACAAAAACAAATGACGCTTCACCTGCAAAGTCATGCACGAAGCGGTACCTGCACATGCAACCGCTGTTTGGCACCCTGTGGAGCCGATCCTGAGCCGCATCCAGTATAAAGAGGTACGAGCAGCTTTTTCACCAGCCATGTAACCTCCCCCTCCCCCCACAATTCCTGCCTTGTCATCTGCCTTGTTTTGTTCATCGAGTCGAGAGAGAGCCTTTCTTCTGCTGTTCTGTTGTCGTTGTCGTTGTCGTTGTTTTCTTCTTTCAACGCATGGTTCAAGCTTGACGAACAAAAGAAGCAAAAAGGCTCACCATGGCTAGCCGCTACTCCTCCGACGAGGAGCGCGAGAGGTACAACATCCACGTCACCCGTCGCCAGTCGCCGCCCGGAGTCCGTTATGTGACGAACCCGTCGGTGCGGGGATCGCAATACGACGGGCCCAGCTTTCTCAGGCCGGAGCTGCGCACCACAGAACGCACCACGGCCATCACCAGGGCTCTCTCGCGCAACCGATCGCCGCCTCGCGAGAGCCCTCGGGATAGCCGCTCGGCTTTGGGCCCTACCGCTCCGGCTCCGGCTCCGCCTGCGCCTGCGCCTGCGCCTGCTCCCATCATCATCAACAACCGCATCTACAACGAGCATTCGTCCGACGAGGACCTGAGCGATGACAGCCCGCGCCGCAGCCGCCGAAATGTCTACCGCCGCTCCCGCTCCCGCTCCAGCTCTCGGTCCAGCTCCCGCTCGGCGTCTCGATCGGGCCACATGACGCGGGAAATGTGGGAGGCGGAGCAAGCTCGCCGTCAGCTGGACGAGATGCGAATCAGCACTGAGCGCGAGAAAGAGCATCGTCGTCTCGAGACGCAATACCGTGAGGAAGCAGAGCTCCGCCTTACACAGCGACAGCTTGAGGATATGAAGAGGCGCACTCACGATGAAGACGTCGAGAGACGCATCACCAAGGAACTCGAATACAAGCGCCTCAAAGAAGAAGGAGCTGCTGGGGAAGCTGCCGAGGAGAGGCGGCGACTTGAAAAGGAGTATCGCGATGAAGCCGAGCTTCGTCTTACGCAGCGACAGCTCGAGGAGATGAAGAGACACGGCGCTGAGGCAGAGGCGGAGAAGCGGATCAGGGATGAGTATGAATACAAACGTCTCAAGGAGATGGGAGCTGCCGAAGAAGCTGCCGAAATGAAGCGGCGACTTGAAAAGGAGTACCGTGAAGATGCAGAGCATCGTCTCACCCAACGGCAGCTTGATGAAATCCGAAAGCGCGAATCTGAGATGATGGTGGAGAAGCGCATAACTAAGGAGATTGAGTATAAGCGCCTCAAGGAGGATGAGGATGCTGCTGAAGCTGCCGAGGAAAAACGACGGCTCGAAAGCCATCTGCGCGAAGATGCAGAGCATCGCTTCACGCAACGACAACTTGAGGAGATGAAGAAGCGTGAGTCTGAGATGGCGGTCGAGAAGCGCATATCCAAGGAGATTGAATACCGGCGCCTCAAGGAAGAGGAAGATGCCGCCGACGCCGCTGAGGAGAGACGACGGCTTGAAAGGGAGTTCCGTGATGACGCTGAGCTCCGCTACGCACAGCGACAACTTGACATCATCAGGAAGCGTGAGGCCGAGGCCGAGAATGAGAAGCGTATGCTGAGGGAACTCGAGTTTAAGCGCCTCAAGGAGGAGGAGCACAATGCTGGAGAAGCGCGCAAGGCTGCCGAAGAGAAGCGCCGCCGCGATAAGGAATATCGTGACGAGATGGAGCTTCGCCAGGCGCATCAGCAGATTGAGGGCATCAAGAAGCGCGAGGCCGAAGCTGACATGGAGAAGCGCATCAAGAAGGAGCTCGAGCTCAAGCGCCTCAAGGAGGAGGAAGAAGCTCTCGAGGAGAAGCGCCGACGTGAGCGGGAGGCCCACGAAGCCGTCGAGAAGTACAAGAAGGCTGAGGCGGACCGCATTGCCCGCGAGAGAGAGGAAAAGGAGCGAATGGACAAGGAGTATAAGCGTCGCCTGCACGACGACCTTCTCAAGTCTGGCCTTGACGAGCATGCCATTGAGGCCATTCTCAGCAACAAGAAGGTGCACCAGCCTGCTCCTGTGGCCCCTCAGCTTCCCATGGCTCCTCATGCTCCCATGTCGCCCCATGCCCCGATGGGACCCCCGATTCTCGCTCTCCCGGCGCCAGAACATCAGGTGGAACGCCCAACCTACACCAGAATGGCGCGTAGGTACCTCTCGATTGAGACGCTGCGAACATTCCAGATCGAGTATGAATATGATAATGTAAGTTTTGACTCTGGCCCTTTAGTTTCATAAGCAGGGCAGCCACTGACACGCTTCGTCTACGCAGGACCCCGATTACATTTTGATTAAGCGATGGGTTCCCGAATGGGAACAAGACCAGTTTTGGCAGCACACCAAGGTCCTTCGGGAGAAGCGCACCAAGACGCTCATGGTCGAGGAGAAGAAGCATCACCACTCCGACCCCGACTTCGAGTGGGTTCGCAAGAAGCACAGCAGCAAGCACGACCGAAAGAGGAGCAAGTCGCCGGCGCTGCTCATGTATTTGGCGGGTGCTCGCCCGTCTTAATGACTTCACGACATGATACCATGTATTGCGAAATGTGCGGGCCAAGTTTTTGTCTGTTTTTATGTAGTCCGTATACTCTCTACTGCTTCTTATTTATTTATTGATTTATTGATTTGAGGCTGCTTCTGATTGTTGACCCCCCACAAAATAACACAATTGAGTGAAGTTGCTTGTCACCTATTAAATTACTCCCCAACTTGTAAAATATCCACCTACTCTCGTCGCATTCATTACACTGACTTGAGGCTTTGCCTTGTGCCATAACTGCTCGTATACCTGCGTATGAGTTCTTCGTATATTGTCCACGAGAGCGCCGAGCTCAATGCCTTTCGGCTCATCCTGAGGCCCAGGCCGCGCCACAGCGACCGGAAACCTTCTTCCACCACCATCCTGTAGCCGGCATGGAGTAAATTCCGGTATCGTTCAGGCTGCAGCTGGATGCGCGTCTTGCAGACGTCAATCGGGTTTGATATGGCCGAGCATGTTGTCCCTGCCAGAATCGCCGACGCAAAGTTCACCGAGCTGGCCATGGAGGAGGTCATGCTCTTTGTTCCCTCGGCCGCGGAAGCGTTGTGAGACGCTAGGGATGACAGTCTCCTCTTCATCACCTCGTAGATGGTCACGTACATGCCGGCATAAGGGCCGTCCCGGATTGCAGTCGCGCCGAAGCCAGCGAAGAAGCCTCTGAGTCCTCCCTGGCGATGAATGTCTTTCACGGCAGCCCACATGGATGTGTAGGAGTAGAGGCTGGATTCGAAACGGACCTTGATGACTGTCAAGGGCATCATGACAAAGCCCGCCCATGTGCGCGCCACTGCTCCTGAAACCATGTTTGCCGTTGGCGTCAGCGTAGGCAAGCTGGACGAAGAGCTGCGCGCATAAATCTTCTGGCTGAAGGCATTGGAAGTTTGAAGGAGCTGGCGAAGGGAATTGAGTGATGTGAAGTACAAGGCTGAACCAAACCCCGTGCGAAGAGAGGAAGGCAGCGTCCCTCTCCAAAGGGCTCGAATCGGCTGTGGTGACTGTGTGAGCTCTCGCCAAATGCCTATGAGCAGCGAGGGACGCCCGGATTGCTGTGTGCGTGTCTTTAGGAGGTCCAGCGGCTGTAGTAAAACAGCAGATGCCACTCCCGATCCGAGACCAAAGACAAAGTGTTGCGCTAATGACTGTGATGAGAAACTTGCAGAGAACATGCCATTGTGGAATGCGCACCTGCCGCAGCTGGTTTCGCTGGTGATGCCGATGATGTACTCATGATATCTACTATATCTTCATCCAGACCCTGACTCTGACCCTCATGCTCGCTCTCGGTGGTTGTCGTAGCTATTGTTGTTCAGAGGGTTTGTAATGCTCACAGCTCCGAGGTTTGCAATGACGCAGTCGCACACAGTGTGTACATGGAAATGGTGGGTTTACCGGTAATCGCCGATAACAGACTCCAGTCGCCCTGCCAGGAGCCTATGGCGCTTAACCAAATCCACCCACTCGCTGACCCCAATCATGGCTAACAGCATGCCAAAGTCAGCGCCTAGCCTGCCCAAGCTGCCGGCACAGTAGAGCACTTGAGTTAGGATACTTTCTCGAGCGACCTTGTCCTTGACAGCGGGCAAATAGATGCGAAGTGGCTCGAGCAGCATGTTGACCAGATGGATGGGGAATGTAGATAGCGCTGACGGCAGAGGGTGAAGAAGATCAAGACTATCAGGCCCTGTGCCTCCCAGGTTTGTGTCTACGCTCTTAGACATGGAGACAATACCAAAACTGTGTTCTCGGAAAACTTCAATGAAACGCTTCAGGAATCGTTCCGTGTGCTGGCCGCTGGGCCGCGACTGTCCAGGCTTCGCTTGACTGATGCGTTCATCTTCTGCCAGTAGCCGCAGAGGCTCCAGTGCATCAAGAGTGGCAGCTAGTGTGATAAAACGACATATCAAGAACACAGCCGGGATCATGTCCTGTGCTGGTGCCCAAGAGATGAGGTCGGGGATGGCACGTTTAAGCCAGCCTACCGTACGCAGTGTCGCAGCCAGCTTCAGATTCGGCGCCTTGAGGGTGTTGACGAGATCAGTAGCCAGCCGAAGGATAGAAGCTTCAGACTCTCTCAAGATGTCAGAGACAAGCGGCGAGTTTGGATACAGAGCTCCAAGCCGCTGGATGTGGCCATACAAGTCCAGCGTGGATGAGAAGCCAAGGGGGGAGATGTTGGCGGTCGACGACAGGAGAGTCGGCACCTGCATGAGATCCGTCAGGCGGTCGGCGTTTTCCAGCAGCTTCAGCACCTGCTTCCGCCGCGCAATCGACTTGTTGTCGCCAGCCTTGCCGACGGTGGTGGAAAAGTGCTCGACTTGCGAGTCTAGGTTGGAGATGAGCCGGCTCAGCTGCACCGCGTTGCCCGACAGGGCGGGAATTGACTTCCGCAAAGACGCATGGCTATCAGCCGAGCCAACGACGGCCTTGTACGACTTCTTGGAGAGGCTTTGGATGGAGAGCAGGGCCGAGTTGGACTGCTGTGAGAGGAGCTGGCGTTCCGACGACCGCAGGGCATCGACTGGCTGTCCCGCCAGGTAGGAGATGTAATCCAACGTCGTGGCATCAACTTTCTGCTCAATGCCCAGCAGGTCTTGCAATGCTTCTGCCATGGCTGGAAATGCAGTGTTACAGAATATGCATTAGTTGTCAGGCTTAAAAGGCCTAAAGGGGGGGGTTGATAGGTGAGGTGAGGCAATGGGTAGTCAGGTAGTATCAAGATACTAATCTTAGGATGAGTCGAGTAGAAATCGCACTGGAATCAAATAACACCACGTAGCGCGTAAGGTACCACCAAGCTGCACAGGGGAAACCGCGGGTACATCACTGCGAGCAATGGGTACCTGTACTGCAGGGTTCTACCTACTAGGGTAGTCGTTAGTGCTTTCGGCCCCTGAAAATTTAGCAGCCCCAGTGCTAACCGTCACCAAGACACTCCAAGACTCTTCTGTATTGCGTCTCCAGTGCACCTACACATCGTGGGAAAATGGGACGATCAGACATTCAACAAAATCCTCCATGCAACATCTCTTCATATTAAAATTACTTAAAATTTAAAATCTTATTTCTAGCGTTCTACTCATTATAAAGGCTAGATTTAAGCAGACAGTTTTGTTACGTTAAATCAGACTATATAATTAGCTATATATAACAAGTGTGATGGTGGGATATTCCGTCTAGAAACCGAACGGATTTTCAGGAGCTATGAGAAAAGAAAAGAGAATCATGTTAGTCACAGCAGCAATGGAGCACAGGGGGGAAGACGACTTACTCGCTTGAGACAGGTTGGCCCGTCGGCCGGTTGGCTGGGGCGTCAACTTCTTGGTTTCTGGCGTGACGCCGAATCGGACAGGCGGAGGAGGTCCAGTCTTCTGAGGTACAAGGGGCTGCATAGGTGCCCTCAACTCGTTATTGGCTCCTTGTTGAAGTGGCTGTAAAGGCTGGAATCCAGTCTGCTGGGGCTGCAGAGGCGGCGGTAGATAGTTGTTGATGCTGCCAGTGCCAAATGGAGACTGGTTCAGAGACGGCTGGAAGCCGGTGGGCTGGGGCTGAAGTCCTCCGTATTGGCTAATGCGGCTGGGGTCGATATAGCCAGGTGCACCAGTCAGCATGGGCTGCAAGTACGGTCCGGGAGCACCTTGAGGGAACTGGGGGAGGCCTTGCTGCTGGGGCCCAATGTATCCCGTCAGCATCGGCTGAATTGGCTGAATGTTTTGCTGCAGCTGGGCAGCATATTGCTGTTGCAGCCGGGCCTGTGTAATGTCGTTGAGGCTCTGGCCCGGTGGTGCAACTTGGCCTTGGACAAGACCGGTGACCTGAGGGACAAGCGCGGGTGCTGCAAACATGCCTTGGGGAAGAGTCGACTGCGGAGCAGAAAGAGGTCGCTGTGGTGGTGGCGGAACGACGAGAGAACCTTGGACGGGCGGCGAAATAGATGGCGCCAGAGGCCTCTGCCTTCCTAGAGATTTCGGAGAGATATGAACTCCAGTAAGCGAGGGCTGGACTGAAACCTGGTTGGGCTGCGGCACTGTTGAAAAGAAGGATGGGCTTGCTCCGAGGAGTGGCTGCTGGGGCGCGGGCGCAGATACCTGTGGTTCGAGCGGAGCCAGAGGTTGAGGCGTTGGTTCGACCTTGCTGGGCTCCAATGGTGTTGATAGTAAGGAAAGCTCTTGTAGAGATCCGGTGAGGGCAACAGGCGCGGGGGCGGGAGCTGGGGCGGGAGCAGGCTCTACATTCTTTGGGGCCTCCGCTGCTGGCGCTGCCGGCCGCGGCTGTGTTTGCTGTTCTTGTTTTGTGGGCTTCACATCCCAGGCATCGTCGTCGAATCCTCCCGCAGGACGCTTGGGCTCCTTCACCGGACTTGCAGGAGACGCCGGCTTCGCCGCCGCCGCCTCGCCAGAGCTAGGTGCGTCCTTGGTTGAGAAAACGGCGGCATCGACCACATCGCCAGTTTGGACTGCGGGGGCAGGCCGGCCCTTCCTTGTGTTATTCCGTAGAGCACCGCCAGGGCCTGAAAAGAGACCGCCATCGGCATCGCCATTGTTTTTGCCGCGTCCGAACTTGGCATCCAGAGTGCGCATTACCTTGATGATATCTCCTTCCCTCAAGCCCAGGTTCCGTAGGACGCCGGCATCGACGTCTGGCAGGACGCTCTCATCCATGGAATCCCTCGTAAATGCCTGGGCATAACGTTCGCAAAGGCCAACAGCGACGTCGCAAGAAAGGAAAAACTGAAACCAGTCGTATTCCGGGCCCTTGTCCACGGAAGCTCCAACGGGAGCGGGCTTTGGCTGTTCCGGGGCTTTTGACGCTCGCTTGACATCGGCAAGGGGTCTCTCATCGTCCAAAGATATTCCGGTGAGATTCTCGACATATACAAGGTCATCGTGCGACATCTTGGCTATCGGTACAGCAATCTTTACGCCGTTCATTTTGTGGAGGTGTAGCTTGCCATCTTTGAGCCCAAGGAATTGTGCCTCGACACTGAATGACTTTGATCGATCTGTCCATACTCGGACCTTGGATGCATCAGGTTCTATCGTTTGAGGGTCAGCTTTCCGCCAATGTCTTTGTGGTGATGGGGCTCTCATATGGGGAGGGGGGACAGAAAACTCACTGGATTTGCTTGAAGCATGGCTGCCACTGTCGTTTCGTCCATTCTCGCGTCGAGGCCGCTGTTGTCGCAAAGTGTTACCATCATCCGGAGCTATGAGACTGCTACCTCTGCGAGGTAAAGGCATTCCTAGGCCTACCTGTTGCTGTTGCTGCTGAGGCTCCCTGCTAGCAGCCTTTATTGCCTCTTTCGTAAGTCTTATCTCATCCAGGCGATTTTGTTCAACGGCCGATCTGGCGGAATTGCCTCCAGACGGCCCTGTTGCTGATTGCACGAGTGGTGGCGTGATTGTGCCTGAGAATTCGATATAACTGCTCGGGACAACACCTTCTTTGCCATTCTTTAGGCGGCGGACTTGCCACCAGTCCTCGCTCCTTGAATCATCGATAATGGCCACCTCATCGCCTGCAGCAACGGTCACCTCATCTTCACCCTGTGCCATGAAGTCATAGAGAATGGTTCCCTTTCTTTGACGCTTTTGGGAGCCTGCCGCAATCACCTCTCGTAATCCTTCCGCCCGAGCAGCACCTGCAAGCTCACCGAGAGATGCCACAATTTCTTCTGCAGTGTCCTTAGCTCCGGCATGAAAATCAATGCTCTTACTTGGCTTGACAAGCTCCATGAAGACGTGCTTGCCCTCGCGAGAGTAATGGGTCATCTTATCGGCAGTCCATTCTTGAGGGGGGTCGTTCTCAGCTCGTTCGGGCGCGATAAGGATCGTACCGGTCAAGAGGTTTATGCCCAGAGTTGTCGGCATCTTCTTCTTCTTGCCCATGACCGATACCATCTCGTTGATATTATACAGGTGGAAGTTGCCAGGGATCAAATGCCCCTTGGGCTGGGATTCGGGGGTTCGCTCCGGCTTGGCTGGCTGCTCCGACACTGGATATGCTTGAGACTGTGGGCGTGGCCGCGAGGGCAGAGCTGGTGACCTGATAGACTCCTCATCGGACAACTCCGGCTCTTTGAACCTGAGTGTCATGGGCTCCCTTGTGGATTGTCGGTTTTGGTTTTGAATCACGCTGGCAAGGGTGACTGCTGGATCGGCAACCGCAGGAGCTGCAATCGCAGGAGCTGCAGCCGGCGCTTCATCAGACGGGGGAGTGCTATCATCGGTCGCGATGCTCTGGGATGGCGGCCGCCTTGGTAATGCTGGGGCCGCCGGCACCGATGGCGCACTGGCAGGAGCAGCAGCCTGGAGCTCGATGTAGTTTGCGGGAACGAATCCATACTCGCCGTCTACTCCGGCAAGAATCCAATCCTCGTCAGTGGTGTCGAAGACCTCTAGCACGGCATCTTCGGAGAAGGACAGCTCCTCGTCGGTTTGGCGAGTATATTCGTAGACGGCACGGGCGTGGCCCACCGTCTCGGCCTAGATTGCGGACGCGATGGTTAGCTTGGCATGCGCATCCCAGTGTGAAGTCGCCTGTTCGCGAATGTACGCAGAGCAGCAGCTCGGCCAGCTCTTGGACAAGCTGACGCTGGTCGAGTCGATGATGGAGATGGGGCCGGGACACGGGGGCACGGGGGCACCGGGGAGCGAGAATGGGAATACCTTTTCGACGTAGTTATTCGGGATCAGGCCAGAAGGCTCATCCTCGTCATCGGTGCCGGCCTTCTTCTTGGCCTTCCACCAGCCGTCATCGTCGTTCTTCTCGAGGATGTACAGCAGGTCGCCCTGCTTGATGGCTAACTCGGCATCCTCGTTGGGAGTGTAGTCATAGATGGCTCGGTAGATTCCCAGGAAGCCCATTTCGCCTTGGTTGCCCCAATGGACGCAGCTCGACGCTCGAAATGCGGATGGTTCCGACGCGGTGGAATGCAATGCACCTCGTTGCGTGGCCTGGGAGTGAAGAGGGCTGTCCGGTCTGTCTTGAGTGACGAAAAGCAAGCCAGTCCCTAGCAGTGCTAGCGAGTGTACTCCATACCTAGGTACTGTTAAGGTACTAAGCACTCCGTGGTTGCGACAGCGAGGGATGAAGAGTACGGAGTACGGAGCGACCCCCTGTCGGTCGACGACCTTGTTACCCAGATGCTATTGGAGGATCCACCGCGCGCAGCACTGCCCACCAGACTCCTAATTATTACCTCAGCCTTGTTTGATAGCCAGGTACCTAGGTACCTATGTAAGGGTTTAATTGGTAGCAGCCCCCCCATTCCCAGTAAGTTGGAATTTAAAGTAAATTAGATTAGCTATATGTGTACCTATAGAGTAATTACTTTTAAAGAGCATGTTTTGTATATTGTATCTTGGATTTATAATGTTAATGTATGCCTTGCTACAGTTACATATAGGCATTGTTTTACCTACCTATGGTGCTTTGATATAACATCAATCACATCGACACAACGCTGCTAATTCCATGCGGCACAGCAGGATAGGTAGGATAGGTACATGCACTTCAACTGGGGAATTTAATTAGCGCCATTACATTAAACCTCCATTTCCATATACCCCTCATCAGCTCGCGTAGCAGCACGGAAAACGGACAGAAGCCGTCGTCATAGCTTTTCAGGCACAGGAGAGCACAGATGCAGCCGAAAGCAAACGTACCATGTGCTAGCACAGATTAGTACAGGTACCAACCCACTAACAGGTCCAGTGCTCCAGGTACTGCTTGGAGGCGGGTACAGGCGCTGTGGAGATTAGCCGTGCTGAGCTGAGTGTGGAATCAACCTGGAAGGGAGTGCCCGTCCGGCCATTCGGCACCCAAAGCTTCAATGCTCGCTACCTATCTAACAACAACACCCCGAGTTTGCTACGCTGAATACCGCGGGACGACATGGACATACACTGTACTGAGGATCATGCAGGGTCCAAATGGCACCGCCATCACCATCTACGTTCTAGGCAGACTTAACACGCTGTGTCACCTAGTTGGGAGAATAACTGTGCTGCCTAAATCAGTAGTGTACCGAGTTGGCGATAGTTCTTACACATTGCACCTCCTCGTAGCGTGCGGAACAAAGAGGTAAGCTTGTCACACCTGTCAACGTAGGCTTTCATCAACACCGCCAACGCCATCTATACGCACCGTCAATCGCTCTCTTCTCCCCTCATCCCTGCTATTCATCCTTCACAAGGATCTCACACTCCCAGTCGCTGGTATACCGCCTGGCAGTGCAAGAGATGAGGGGAAAAAAATACAATAATCACAGCAAATTCTAGGGTAAGATATTCATTCGATTTCCTGTCTATGGGTAAAACTACACCATGATCATGACCAAAGCAAGCGACTTGTACAACCCATTCCAAATGCGCCCCCAGACTCCTCTATACCCGACATCATTCATCCAATTCACCCAAAAGCAGCGACAAACTCCCTCTAGAAAACTCTATCCAAGTACAATTTGTTTCAAAAGAGCCACATATCCCTTCTCATGCACTTTTCGGCTACACCTCCTGGGGTTCAGCGTGGGTCGCCCAAGCCACAAGGTCACCGGCTTCCAGTGGCGCGACCTCCCAACAATGATCCTTCTTCCCTCCACTGAGAAACAGTGCATGTTCATCATAATCCCAACTAAGTATGCCTGTCTCCGCGCGTGATCTTTCGATGGGAGCCGGCTGCGACCGTCGTTGAATCCCGACTGGGTAGCTGTTTAGGTTGTACACCACGCCGGGCTGGCATGAAGCAACCACGTCAGATGGAAGTCCAAGAAGTGCTGGATCGATGCAACCCTCATTGTAATTCACATCGGAGTTCTCTGTGTCCTTATATAGACCATGGATAGCAACCGGTGATGAGGCCCTGCCCTGTGGATAGCCGTCGTCGTATGTTGCTATGCAGTGTGCCTGAGTGTGATATAGATGCGGTTCAGGATAGACGGCATACTCCACTGGGCATGGAGCGGGATAAGCTTCAACAGCGACAGAGACCCAGTGAGGCTGAGGATGAACGGCTTCGGCTGGGAGAGACTGTTGTTCGTCGATGGCCCGCTGGAGGACCTCTTCGCTGAAGTTGCGAAGTTCCTTGACCTTGGATGCGGGTTTCCTATTGCGCGTCACCCGACCTGTTTTGGTAGAAGCTCGGTCTTTGACGAGTTTGTTGCCCTTTGTACCGCTTTTAGAGGGTGCATATTTGTAGTCGGGGAAAGCTAGGAGTTGATTGGCTGAATCTTTTTTGGCCAATTTCTCGAATTTCTCTTGAAATTTTTGCGACTCACGATGCCAAGATACCGCACAGATTAGGGAAGCCTCCTGCTCACGCTTCTCTATAAGGGTAAGGGCAACACAGTGATATGTATGGCGGTAAAGAAAGAAACAATTCAAAGTGCGCTTGGCAGTTCCATCTGGTTTCAAATCGTTCTCGAGTCGTACCTGGGTTGAGCGGGCGACGTATCTTTCAGCGCCTTCAAGCAAAACATGGTTGTAGCCTTTAGCTTCTGCAAGCTGAGAAAGGGTTGACTTGAAATGAGACAAATGTTCAGGTAGTACTGGTGGTCCCTTCTTCTTCTTCGTTTTCCGCTTTTTGCTTGGAGGCTCGCTGAAATCGCTGAAATATTCTTCAAAGGCATCATCGTTTGGCCCCTCGGACGGCATAGCACCACTCATGTGGGAATGGTCCAAGGGTGACACTTCTGACGGGTACTGAGACGGAGCCTGCCATTCTTCTTAGCTGCCACTCTTCTTCGAGCATAAAGGGGGAAGGTTCAGCAGCTTAGAAGCGCCGTAGGTGATGTCTCTTACCACCAGATTGTCTTTTGTGTCTGCTCTCGTCCCTTCCCGCGAGAGCGGGGGCTAGGAATTGTTAACATCGTGGAACAGGCAAAGTGACCTCGAGTGGTGGTTCAGCGTACAGAAATGGGAAACCGGCTTGTATAGTTGACAGGAAATGGGACATAGGCTTTCCTGTTTCCTTCGCCATACTCCGGGTTGTGGACAGCAGAATGGATGCGTGTGTCATATCCTTCAGTCAATTGACTCGGGAACCCATGGGCATCATGTTCATTCTTGATGCCTCCAGCGGGCGGAGGATATGAATGTAAAGTGCCCCCGGAGATAGTTGCGTTGGCAGTCATTTCGACCGGCGTGTAAGATTCTGAAGAAGAAACGGCGTTAGGGGGAGTTTTGAATTTGCAAGTAAAACACGTTGTAACATAAACCAATGTTCAATCATCTGGTGTAGCGAGAGTGGACGGGATGCATGAAATAAATCATAAATCAGACTGATAGGAAAGAAGAGTTTTTATCTTTGTCCCAAGACTAGGATCCTTTGACAGGCAGCACATTTCCACATCTAACTCTATGATTTACAACCTCGTTCTTGACACATGACTTCCATATCAGGGCCACAAACAAACGAACATCAGAGCTTTCGCCGCATGCGGTACTGAAATCTTGGTGGAATTGGTTATACCCTGCCTCATGGGCCACCCTGTGAACCGTCACTGTAAACACGGGGCCTAAACTCAGTCGAAGATGCCCCAAAACACCATCTTGCCAACGCTATGACATGCAGCCAAAAGCCGAAAAGAGTAAATAGAGGGTGCCTTGGGCAAGTATCTGTTATGCACCGAGCCGTCTTCAGGCGGCCCAACTGTTGGAATGCGCGTCAATAATAGATGTTGACCGTGCACCCTTATGGCTGCTTGAACGCATCATCAACTTGACGGCATCGCCTCGAAGGAGACAACTCCATTGGATGATTTTTCCTCTGACGTGAGTCATGGCATACAAGAAACAAAGACCCTTGCTCTTCGCTATCTAGAGGGCCAATTAGATCAGTGCACCTTAGCCGGTATTGTGCATCATCGTGGGGGTTTCCGAGCAAGTTTACCTCCGCATAGATGCTAAGCGTGGAGATATTCTGGGGAAAGCGACGGATGCGAGCAGAGATTCGATATTTTGATATATCATATCAAGGTATTGATGATATTCTTTTCATGTACGTTGGGATTCAAGCAGAAACATCACGGGGAGACCATCCCATACAGCGCAACTGGCGCACGAACCAGAGCAGATCGAATAGATAGGGTGGAGATATGAGAGTTGCTCGTGACCGATCAAAGAAATCAAAGAGGCGTCTTCAAAGTCCGAATTCAGCTTTTCTCTTTGTGCAGTTTTGTGTAACCTAACATGAGTGGCTGAAACTCGAAGCGGCTTGTGTAAACCAAAGCAATTGCATCCTTTGAACCATCGTATCCCCGAAGGCGTTGCAAGTGAAGACTAGCGTCTCTAAAAATATCTTCCAAAGCATCGAGTTATGTACTTGAACAAGCGTATCATATTTACAAGAGTTGACTTGGCAAGTCTGAAGTTTCTGAGAGTGTTGACTGTTTACCACTTAAGAGAAGTATATCTGATAAAAGTTAAGTTGTGAGAATGATGAATATCTCTCTTCAACCGAGATGATCCTCAAGGAATGGACTCTCGGTTGGGTGCTGACGCTAGTGAACAACATGGGCAGCTGGTCTAGGGCTGCTCGACTTGAGTGAGGGTGGCGTTATCTTGTCAAGTTCTTTGTTGTTTGTAGAGTATGGAGACAGACGGATTGTTGATGGGCTAGGCAGCAGTTCCAAGTGTTGCGTTGCCTCTCGGAAAGCAGTTCGATACTAGATTGAACCAGTGTCGATGGCTCTATGCTCGCTATTCATAGCAGCAGGCTCAGTACGGATCGCATCAACATGCTCAGTGTGAATAGCAGCAGCAGGTCCAGGAGTAATGGCGGCAGCAGGCTCAGTGCGAATAGCCGCAGAAGGCTCAGTATTAACGACAGCGGGCTCGACGTTGACAGCATTCATCCCAATACTGACAACAGGAAGCTCGACTTTGATAGTAGTAGCAGGCTCAAGGTTGACAGCGGTGGGCTCAGTTGTTTGCTCGACGCCATGCTTGGCTTCAAGCTTGGCTTCAGGCTTGGGTGGCGAGAGGCTTTTCGGTGCCACGTCATGCGTGCCTTTTTGACGACAAGAAGCACAAATGAAATGAAAGTCTGGGTGATCAGCAGCAGCTTCGCTGATGCCCAGACACTTGCTATGCTGCCATACATTGCAGCGTTCACAGGCAACGCTGTGGTTGCCATCATCAACCTGCCCATACAAGCCGCATGAGCAATCAAACACCCACCCCTCCTCTTCCTCCTGCTTTTCTTTGGTACCCAAGGGATTCGCACCGATTTCAAGCTGAGTTTGAGATTGTTGAGACGTTCCATCTGGTGCGGCGGCTTCGCTGCCCTCGTCTACAGAAGCTGGCGTACCGCTCTCGCCGCGGACCAGGCGACGCTCCTCTCTTTTCTTCAATCGTTGCTCTCTGGAAACGAGTCTCGTTTCAAGCTCCCTTTGAACCTTTTCCCGTTTTTGCTCTTCACGCTGCTGAATTGCGGCTGCTTCTCTGAGCTGCTCTTGCTCAATCTTTGCAGTTTCTTCTTGCTGCCGCTGCTCCGCCTTCATCGCAATTCGACTTGACCGTTTAGCATTAGCCAACTTGGCGAGCGTTTGCAGCTCTTTCTCGCGTTTCAACTTCCGGCGGTTTCGATCCTCTTCTTGCTTTTCTAGAATTGGCACAAGATGATCCCGCAATTGTCTTCGGAGTATTTTTTCGTTTTCATCTCGTGATGAGGCCATGTTGTTAACGAGGGTCTGAACTTCTTCAAGAGTCACTGCAACACACTCCCAAACCATACCCCCTAGATGGCTATCTTCAAAGTCGGCCTCGGGCTCAATGCTGACGGGGGCAATATCGTCGTCGATTGCTTCGGATATTCGTCGTCGTTTGCCCGAACGCCGAGGCTGACGGGCAGGCTTGGAGCTGGCGGCTTTATGGCTCGGAGGGGCTTCTGACAGGCGATATACTCGATTGTCATCAAGAACGTAGTAGGTACGGTCGTCGCTATCCCAACCGTAAGGTTCGATTCGCTGCAAATAGAATTAGACAATGTGAATATCGTAAAGGAAGTAGTGCGTACCCAGGTCGTTTGCTCTGTATCCTTTTGCTCCTTCATTTTCTCCCGAAGGAGTTCCGGCCGAATCATGATCCATTGGGTGAATTGTTGCATCACTCTGATCTACAGATTCGGTCAATATCAATGCTTGTGGGAATGGGAGTGAAAGGCTGAGATTACTTTCGTAAATATATCGAGGTCAGCAAAGGCCTTTGGCTCGTCTTCGTTGCCGAATGGATTGGAGTCTGGTAATTTCAAGATGTACTGTCGTCGAGCTTGGTCATCGAATGATGTATGCCTTCATTCGGGTATTAGATATTAGCCGTCGCAAGGCATTGAAGAAGACTAGAAATTGCAGATGAAGAGAAGGATACTAACGTGAGACCACGTTGTGAAGACACCATCTTCAGGAGGGCTAATGCAACATCGTTTAGAATCGTCGAGTTCGGCTTGAGACACTCTGCCTCAATACACTATGGCAACAGTTAAAATACACCCACAAGCAAAAGGGAAAAGAACCCAGTACTTACTTCAATGTCAACCGAATCGTCAATTGAGGCAGCTTCACCAAAGATGTATATCCATTGGCACAAGTTGGCAAACTGCCACATGTTGCGAATGCGCTGAACCTGCTCCATGACGTAGCTCTTTCGGTAGCGGCTGTTGCCCTTTTTGTTTACTCTTTCATTCAATGGCCCTTATTCATGGGTGCATATTGCAAGACGGCAAAATAATGACGACGCAGATGAAAAGAGGATAGATATGTTGGATAACCAAGCGAACAAAAAGCTTTTACACTCGCCGGTGTGGGCACTGAAATGTAAATCGCGTCTTGCACCTAGACGCGTCGTCACTAAGGCGGGTAGAAGAGATATTGCACGAGCTAGGATTTCGGTGGTACGACCTAACGCAGGATTAGATAAGAGATGTCTTAATAAGAAAAACAGAAGCCACTCGTTAGGGAAAAATATTAAAGTTAGTTTCCTTATTCAGCAATAAATTAATTAAATACTACTTTTATTTCTAGCAAATTATTATTTTTTAATAATTTTTTTTTTAAAAAAGAGAATTGGAGAAATGTTAGCACACTTCTTGTGACTGCATTCTATCACATTACAAGTAGACACCATAGTATTCACATTATAAATGTGCTCGTTTAAGCGTGGAGTCATGATTTCATTAAATGAATTCACTAGTAGTTTAACAGTTGTAAAACTCTTCAAATACTATATAGGTAGGTATCCATCCAACCAAGTCTATCATGGTGAAATCCAGGTACACATCGGCATTTATTGGTGTCAGTGTAACTTGTCGTTATGAACTTGAAAGCTCGATATGTCGACTTCCCTTTTAGATGGGCTCTGTTTGTCTGCTGGGAAGGGGTCGTACAACTGCCCTGCCTTTGAGCGTTGCTCAGCTGAATGTAGCGATGCACTCTTCAGCTGCTTGTAACTTATTGCCGATCGCCCGTTTGGATTAGATGGTGGTGCTTGTATAGAACGACCAAGTTCACTGAGAGACCTGCCAAACTTGGGCTTTGGGGTCGATTGTGGTCCACGAGGTGTGTTTTGAGTTAGATCCGGCTTTGGTTTCGATTTAGTTTCACCGTTGCCCCAACGTTGAGGTGATGTTTCTGCTCTCATAGCTTTAATATTCAAGTGTAGTGGCACCGGACCCCGGGGAGTAGTAGACGGCAAAGTGATACGTCCTGTATTTGAGGGAGGCTTGCTTGGGGATTTCATTATTCCCACCTCCTCTGTATCGCTAGAAGTGGCCGATTCTTCATCAAGTTCTCGCCACGAGGCTAATGGTTTTGCCGACATGGGGAAGGACATGTTCAACGGCATGCCGGTCCAGCGTGTCGGGGTTTCCATCGGCCTAGCCGCACTGTCCTGTTTATTCTGTCTTTCCATCAGGAGATGTCGGCGCACAGAAAGTGCCCTCCAACCGCTGCGACGGGCACTAGGGAGCTCAGATTTAGGAGTAAATCTTAGTAGGTCTTGCTCTGAGCGACCGACACCTGCACCGGCGCAAGACTGTCTCCAATGCTGAAACGCCCGATGTCGTTTTTCGCTGTAATTTCTTTGCAGTACTTTGGTGGCAGTATGAGCTTGTCCACTTCGCTGCAGTGTGGAAATAGACCACGCTTTGAGGTGCTGCCGTTGTCTGCGGGTGGCCCAGATGTCAACTGATTGCATATCCATCCCCTCTTGCTCCTTGGCAACATCAGCCCACGTTGTTAGCACGGTCTGCGCATAGTGTCGATTTGTAGCCAGCTGAACTTCCAAGTCTTCACCAGCCTGGCTGTTCCACTTTGTTAGGGCGAGGTCAAGCTGGCCATAGTAGTATTTTGAATTGTAAAGGATACCAACGTCATTGTCGGAAATGGCCTGAGCTGTCATGGCCCGCCAGTGATCGAAAGCTTCATAAAAGTTTCGCTTTTTCCTTGCGGAAGAGACCTCCGTATATCTCATCATCAAATAGCGTCTAATCAACTCCTTCATCTGGGCTTTTCGCATTTCCACAGCAGAGTCCACAACGGGCAATATCTGTGTTGTGACAATGAACAGCCTAGCTCGGCTGCTTAGGTGCGACCGCTGCGCTTCGAGGCTGCTGGACCGTTGTAGGATGTGTAGGGCGTTTGATATCTGGTATGACTTCAGATGATTCGCAGTCATGTTTCGCCTCCACTCTTCTTGTATATAGTGCCTTCGCCAGCTTTCAAGAGCTCGTGTTACGGATATGAAATCTGCATTCCATCGAAATGCTTGCACTCGTACCAATAGATTCCAATTTTGGAAGGTTCGGCTAATCGTTGAAATGGACGTCCTGACGCAATAGGCTGATGATCGCGATTTGACCTCGAGCTGATCTCTCCATTCAGTAAGGTAGCCAAACAGCAGCTGGAGCGACCCTATCTGTCTAGCTGTGTGAGATTGACGACTATTCAGCACTGCGTGGTCTTGTAATTTAGACAGTGTGGTAATAACGCCTTCACGCTTATTAAATCTGCGAATAGCTTGGCTCTTGATGACATTGCTGGAAGTACTTGATTTCCATGCCAAAAGCGCACTTTGTTTTGACCTCTTGTTCATTTTCCGACGGCAGGCGAGTGATATCAGATGTGAGCACCATTGATCATAGACACGCGAAGCAATCCTAGCACGATGGCTTTGAGAGATAGCTGATGCCGCAAGACGGAGTTGCTCTTCTTGATATGACACAGCACGTTGTAGTTTCTGGACGGCTGTGAGAGCTTTCAGCTGATCGACAACCGGGAATCGCAAACTTGGCGCACAGCTCCAGCCCTGGAAACAGCGAAAACGAATCATATGTCTTCTGGCTACGCCTTCCCGCTCAAGTCGCCCTGCGGTTCTGTCCGCCCAATGGTTGAACACTTTGCTTGCTAGGTAAATCTCGCGAGCTCGAGTCGCTCTTGTAAGCAGCTGTTCTTGTTGTTGTCGCGACAAGGTGGTCTCATTCAGCGAATGAAAGGCTGGTGGAGGACCCCCCTGTAGTAAAGGCAATGCTAAGGGAGCATCTTTGGGTATATAGTCGGGAGACGCTGGCGTATCTATGCCGTCAATTTTGCCGTTACTTTGACTTCTTTCGATCGTCTTTGCGGAGGTATTTCGTTTGTCTGGTATTGCAGTCGTTTGAAATTTCTTTTCGTTCTCTCCTCGATCACTAAACTGGTGATCTTGGTCTTGATCTTTGATAGATCCAGGAGGTTCATGTGACCCTGGGGCCGAATTATTTCGTTTCGAATTTTGTTTTAAAGGATGATGGGGAATGTCGGTTTGTGGCGCCAATGGGCGTACTTTTGCGTCGTCGTCAGGAGCACCGGCGCCAACAGCGCGGGAATCAAGAGGCAAGTGATCGAACAACGGGCTCGGATAGTAATGATATGGATCGAGGTGTCGTGTGGCGGTTGTCGAGATCCGGGCCGAAGGGTACACCTCTGCCTCTGCGTGAACATGGTGGATATCATCTTTTTCAAGCTTATGTCTCTTTGATTCTTGGGCTCGGTTTTTTGATGGGGCAGAGTCGTTGTCCAGAGAAGTCGCGCTGTAAGCCCGGGGTCTCATCTGAGGAAAATCATCGTCTTCTTTGATGGGGAGGTCGTCGGGATACCAGTGGCCAGTATCTATCGGATTTGGAGACAGAGGATGCTCGGGGTAGCCATGCGGAGAGGTAAGGGAGTCGTCGCTGAATTCGAGTACGATGCCTATGCGGGCGAGGATTGATTGAAACTTGTCCAGCAGGCTTCCACCACCCTCTTCGCCACTGATCCTGAATACGAAAGCCGAGAGATGGTGATCAGAGTCTGGATCGACGCCATGTTGAGGGAGAACCTCGTCATATGCGCTGAACAGCGCCGCGGCGGGTAGCGGTTTTGGGCCTGCAGCGTGGTCGAGCTTCTCCTGGGCGGCTGCGATGACGGCGTGGAGCACAGCGATGTCTAAACTGTTAGTTCACGAGCGAGCATGAGAAAATGTCGCAGCGCCGTACCTCGATTCGAATAATATGGCTCTTTGCCGGGAAGAACGCGACTGGGCGATACGCGAACACTATCCGGCTCAGAGCCATTGTCGTATGAAGATTGCACAGATGCCACTGCCAAGAGATGAGATTTAGCTTAGATTGATCATAAAAATGCGGCGACTTACTCGAGACCGAGGATTCTCTATGGCATTAATCCATGGCTAAAGCATCGCGACAAGGAGTTTATGTCATTGGGCAGAGCCACGAGTGCAAAAAGGCGTTGCAAATGCGATGGATAGAATGCCCTGTCAAAGGTAAGGCTATAGTGGTTTGGATCCCTGTCATCCAGCGCATGCGTCACAACAACAACAAACTGTCAGAGGTACCAGGTACCTTGGTAGGCACGAGTTTATATTTGCCCAAGCCTGTAGGCGAGACTGAAGCAGATTGAAAAGGCCCGTCACCTGATGGCTTTTGATTTAAAGATGGCCTAACGATAAAATCCGTAATGACAATGCCGAATGCCAGATGATTGTTTCTCCCTTCTTCTGACTCTGCTGAGCACATCCCGTCATTCAAATGTACCATAAACATTGGATGGAGCCCAACGACAAGTGTTGGCAAGCGCCTTGGCGGGGCGCAAGTGAAAGTACCAAATTCGGCACTAACAGGTACTCGTTCAATCGTCCTATCGCCCCACTGGGATCGGCAGCGGGTAGGACGGAATCTTCTACTACTACCTGGTACAAGTATATGGCTCTTGGTTCTCTTATTATACAACCTTCCTCTTACAATAACACATCTATGCAACTGCTGTTAGGCAGCCTGCGGATATTATACCTAAAACACTAACAGACGCCTAATTAAGAAAAACTCCTCTGCCCGCAATAGTATTACCTTATATTTAGGTAGTAAAAGACCTACCTTAAACCCCTTAAGGGCCTTAAAATCTAGGGACTCTTTATTATACTTATACTACTTTTTTTTAAAAAGTATTATTACTAATTAATATTTCTCTTTTATTATATAATACTCCCTTAATTAATTTTATATATAACCTTAATAAGTTTTTAAAAAGTACTTAATAAACTAAAATAAATTATAATTCCTTTTATAAACTTTTTATAAATATTTTTACTAATATTATTAAGAATATTTTATTTAACTTTTTTAATTAATAATAAATAAAACTTTATATTTTTTAAACCCTTAGCTTTACTTTTAAAAAAGCTATTACTTAATTTAATAATTATATTAAAAAAAACTTTACTACCTAGCTTATTTAATATTTCCTTTCTTTTTAAAAAACTATATTAAATAATAGCTTAACCCTGCCTTTATTAATACTTAACCCCGCCCTGCCTTAAATATATACCTTAAAGATTATTAATATAATTAATAAGACTTTTATAACTTATTTTAACTTAACTAATAAAATTACTAAAATACCTTACTTAACTATTTTAATTAAATATAAAAATAATAACCTTAGGGTTCTTTTATATATTAATAAATAAGCCCTGTTTTAAACTAAAACTAGCTTTATAATTAAGTATATTATTATTAAACTTACTAATATTAATATTTTAAAACTACTTTCCGCTTCTTAAATAAATATAAGCTAAGTTATTTAAATAATAAATAATATTACTTAAGATAAAATTACTATTATAGTAAATACCTAAGGTAAAAATATTAAGGTTATAGGCATTAACCTTAAAGAAACTTAGTATTTTTATATTTTTTAGAATATTTTAACTACTTTATAAGCCTATAATAAAAAGGTTTTTTTTAAAACTAAATATAATAAAATACTTTAAAAAAAAATTACTTTTTAAATTAACTAAGTATTTATAAGGATTATAAAAAGTAAGTATAACTCCCTTAGCTTTTATAATTATACCTTAATTATCTTCTTTAAAAGCTTAACTACTTATTATTAAAGACTTTAAAAATTTAATACTATTACTTTTATTATAAAAACCTACCCTTTTTAGTAATATAATAAATACTAAAACTTTTACTTTTAATATTATTACCCCTGTAAATAATATTATAAAAACTATAGTAAGCCTAGCTATTTAAAAAAAAAATACTTAAATAATACTTAATATATTAACTACCTTAGCTCTTACTTACTTAACTACTTTTTTTATTTAATAAAGCTAAAAAAAGTTAATAATATTATTTAAAAACTTATTATTACTAATTATAAAATAATATAAAATATTAGCTTTTATTTTTATAAATAAAAAACCTAAGAAAATATAATACTTACCCCCTAGAATTAAGCCCCTTAAAAAACCTTATTAAAATTTACTTTAATACTCTCTTTAACTACTATAATATTAGTTAAAGCTACTCCTTTTACTAAAGGCAAAGGCTTTTACTAATTTAAACTTTATAATAAAAAGTCTTAGAAGTAGGCTTAAGTTTAAACTTAAGAATCCTTTTATAACTAGTCCTTAATATAAATACTTATAAAAACTAAAAATTTTTTAGATTTTTTAAGTTAATATAGAAAAATAAAAAATAATATACCTTACTACCCTTTAACTTACTAAAATTAAAAAAGTAAATATTATTATTTTATAAAAACTATAAATATAATATAAAAGTAATTATTATATAATAAAATTATATTTACTTTATTATACTTACTCCTTAGTTTTATACTAAACCTAAGAGACTAGGCCTAAGGCTATTATATATATTAAAAAATCCCTTAATTTACTTATAAACTAACTTACCCTTATAATCTTAAGAAATATTATATAAGTAAAAGTTAATAATATTATAATTATTAATATTTATAAAAAATAAAACTTTATAAAAGCTTTTAATACTTTACTTTAATAATAACCCCTTACTAAAATTTTAATAACTAAGGACTTTAACACTAAATACTATAATTAATAAATCTTACGCTTAAAAATATTTAAGAAATATTACTTAATTAAATAAGCCTAAGAATATAGCCTTATATTACTAAATAAAATAAATATCCCTACTTATAGACTAAGTAATACTATAAACTTAGTTTATAGTAATATCCCTTATATTATTATATTAATTAAAAAATACTTAAAGATAAGTTTTAACTACTTTACCCTTATTACTATTATTTTTATAAGGCTTTAGTTATATAAAAGGGATAAGTAAAGAATAATTATAATAAAGGATAAGTTTAATTACTTTTTTTTTATATTACTTTTTAATACTTTATTTCTCCTAAAAAAGGCTAAAACCCCTTAGAAACTTAACTACCTAGCCTAAAAGCTTATTATACTTTTATATTAAGTAATTAAAGTTACTAACTACTTATTTAAAAGTTTCCTTAATAGTAAGATATAATAAACTAAAAAATACTTAAAGAAATACTTCTTCCTTCTTACTATATAAAAAGCCTTTTTAATAAATTACTTTAAACTAATATAATAGGCCTAAGTTAACTTTTAAAATATTATTAAAATAGTTAAAAAAGCTAACTCTAGGGTATATATAAATAATATTAAGGCCCTTAGGGATATTTTTAAACTTATTTAGTAATATATACTAAAATACTACTTTTAACCCCTCTCCCTTAGAATTTAATAAAACTATAGTAATAATAAAAAAAAAAAAAACTACCTTACTCTAAAGCTTTATTTTAAAAAAGAGATTAATTAAAAATAATATTTTAAATTTATAATAAAAGCCTGTGGTAATAAAAACTATTTTACTAAAGCTAATTATTTTACTTAAGAAGGCTAAAAATTATATTACTAAAATTAATAATATTTTCCTAAGGGCTAATAATATTATAATTTATATATTAAAAACTATTTAGCTAGCTATAAATCCTATTATTAAACTCTTATATAAAAGATATTTAACTATTAGCTATTACCTAAAGCTTTTTAAAAATACTTAAGTTATTATAATCCTAAAGCTTAAAAAATATAACTTTTTTATACCCTATATTTAATACCTTATTTCCCTACTTAACTACTTAAATAAAAAATTAAAAAAACTTATTACTTATAAGCTAGCCTATACTATTATATAATATTAAATCTTTTATTTTAACTAAGTAGGGGCCCTTTTTAAAAAATTAACTATTAATCTTATAATTATCCTTACCTATTATATTAAGCTTACCTTATTATAGAGATTTTCTATAACCTTTATTATTATTAATATAATAAAGGCCTTTAATATAATACTATAGAATAAGCTTATTAAATAACTAAGGAAGTAAAGCTAATTAGTTTTACTTATTTACTAAGTAAAATTCTTTATAAGTAAAAAGTTTACTAATATTAAGCTATAGGACTTCCTTTTTTTATTAAAACCTTTAAAATATAGCCTTTTATAAAGATTTTTTATTTTCTTAATTCTTTTTCTTTTATATATATAATTATTATATAAGGTTATTATTAATATACTTTAGCTAGGGTATATAAATAATACTAGCCTTTTATTTATAAAAAAAAGCCTATAGGAAAATATTACTAAAGTTACTATTACTTTTTAATTTCTAAAGAAATAAAGTAATAAAAATAAAATTAGTTTTAACTTAGTAAAAACTAAAGTTATATACTTTTTTTATAATTATAAAAGTAATTTATTAATAATATATTAAATAAAATTAAAAATAGTAATTAAGGTAATATATTAACTAAGGGTTTTCTTAAACTATTACTTTACTTTTAAAATATATATAAAACTATAGGCTAAGAAAGCTTATTAACTTATAAAATATCTTTTTAACTTAGTTAATATTAAAAGTAGCCTACTTCTTATTATAATATACTAAAGTATAAAAGCCTATATAAAACTTATTTTTTATTATAAATTTAAAATATAATTTAGTAGCTTAAATACTTCCTTTATATAAAATCCCTAGTATATAATACTAGCTAGAATAAAAATAAATATATAAGTTATAAATAAAGCTATTTAATAAGGCCTAAGATTAATCCTTTTAGTTTAAAAAATAACTTTAGGTAGTATATACTATTATAAAAGTATTATATTATTAATTAAATAACTTTTATAAGTTTATAAGCTTTTTTTTATAATATATTTATAATTACTAAATTAACTATACTTTTTAATTAAGTATTTACTAAATATAATAATTAATAAATACTTAAAAAAGTTAATTTATAAAAATATAATTAAAAAGTTTTTATTAAAAAATCTTAAAATATTCCCCTTTAGGCTTTAATAAACTTTTATACTTCTCCCTTATACTTTATACTTAAAGCTACTTAAACCCTCCCCTACTTTATTTTCCCTTAAAATAATAAAAAAACTTAATAAAAATTATATTATTAAATAATTTATAATATAGTAATAGGCCCTCTTTTCTAACGCTATTATAATCTTTTTTAATAACTTAATAAATAAAAATAATATATTTAGTTATAAATATACTATAGTATAAGGTACTAAAATATTTATAAAAAAATATAATTAACTTAATTAAGTAAAGGTTTTTAATATAAAGGTAGTTAAAGTTAATAAAAAACTTTAAATTACTATAAAAAAAGCCCTAGCTAGTTTAATATTTTATTCTTATATTAATAATATATTAGTAATTATAGATTTTTAAAATACTTTCCTTAAATTCTTATAAGCTATTTTTTTTAACTATTAATATAATATAACTAAGGTTTTAATAACCCTAAAATAAGCCCTTAGCTATAGTAATATACTTAAAAACAAAAGGGCTAATAAATTTACTAAAATAAGTATTATACTACCTTAAGTAAGTTCTCCCTTAACCTCCCTTGCCTTTATTAAATAATAAGCTTAATAAATACTTATAAATATATTATAAATATAGTAAAAAACCTTAGCGCTTTCTTTATATAAAAACCTAAACTTACCTATCTTAATTAAACTACTTAGTAAGCTTATACTTTCTTAACCCTTATTTTATTAATTACTAACTATAAAGTTAAGTTATAAAAACTTTACTTTATATTATAAATAGTTTAACTATATTAATATAAACCTAAATTACTTATATAAGCGTTAGAAAACTCTTAATTACTTTTTTTATTACTATAAGGTTTTTAATTATCTTAGGTATAATTAATAATTATAAAATAAGTAATTAACCTTTATAATAATTAAAAAAAAGTTTAAAAAGTTTATTTAACTTTTATTTATATTAAGCTTCTTTTAGAAAATCTATTATAAATAGCTTTTATTTAAAAAAAAAAAAAATATAAAAAAACCTTAACTAAGGTATATAATACTATAAACTACTTATAAACTTTTTATATTTTCTTCTTTTTATTTTATAAATAAAGTAAAATATAATAAAAAGCTAGTTATATATTAATATACTAAATAATTAAAATAAAAATAAAAATAATTAGTAACTTAAATCCCTTTTTATACTTTTATAAAAAATATATATTCTCTTATATAATATATATTACCCTATAGGCTTATAAAAACATAGGGAAATAAGGGTACTAACTAACTAATTATTAATATAGTCTAATAGCTATTAAGGAAATTCCTTATGTAATTATTATATTATAATTAGCTCTCCCTTTTACTAATTAGCCTAGCACGCCCCCTACTACACCTAGCAGCCTAATTAATTAGTGGTCACAGGCGCAAAGCAATACAACAACAACAACAACAACAACAAATTCTCTCATCATATCTTTTCCCTTCTCTTCCGAACATATTTGTAATTTGAACATTCTATAGAGTTTCTCTGTATTTTTAAGAAAAATTACCTCTGAATAGCATCAACATGGCGTTATCCGCATTTCGCACGGCGATTTGGATTCCTTATCCAACCGCCAATCCCGGCCACGGATTCTGGGGAGAGCAGACGTCAACGCTCAACTTCTGCGAAGAGGTAAGTGAGCGAAATTGTACCAATTTTTTATCTTGCAAAATGCTGAATCTCAAAAAGGACTATGCATTGTCGTCATACTGCGCCGAGTTTTGCAATGTAAGTATAGGCAAGAAGTTACCTTTCAAACATGTCTTTGTATTGACACGGCGGCAGACAGTTACAAATGCAATCTTCATGTGGCTTGGAGTAAGAGGGATCATAAACTGCGTACAGCAGGGACACCCTTCAATCTTCCTGATTTCTTATATCGGGTACATGGTCGTCGGGTTAGGATCCATCCTCTTTCACACGACACTGAAATGTAAGTTCTGTGCTCATGGTGATGCTGTTCCCGGCATAGTTGATGAGAAGCTAACGGCCGGACGTTGAGATCCAATGCAATTGGTCGATGAGCTATCCATGATATACACTACATGCCTGATGATGCATGCAAGCTTCTCGTATTCACGTTCGAAGACGTTCTCAGCTCTCCTAGGCATTAGTCTACTCTCGCTTGCTGGGTCGATTACGGTAAGAACTTCATGTTGATACCTTTAAATGAGTGCATGAGAACCTCTTACTATAGAAGTTGCATACTAATAGCAGCCCAGGTTTATTATCACATCACCAAGGATCCCATCTTCCACCAAACCGCTTATGCTGCACTTACGGCAACTATTGTTTTCCGAAGCATGTGGGTAATGGAGTCGCAGTTGCGACCTGTATTGAGTGCCCGCGATCCAGAAAAGGCGTCCTACGTGCTCAATACAATGTGGACTATGGTGGCTACTGGTTCGTCAAGTTGATGGCTTGGATCAGATTGCAATGTGCAATTAGCTAACAGTGTGCAAAGGCCTCAGCATTTTCCTTGGAGGCTTCCTAATCTGGAATCTCGACAATGTTTTCTGTTCCCAAGTGCGACAATGGAGACACGCAGTTGGCCTTCCCTGGGCCGTCCTGCTGGAGGGCCACGCTTGGTGGCACCTGATGACAGGGTTAGGTAAATAGAGCAGCTTCCTCTCCTGAGATCGTGATCCTTGTTGAAGGACTACGTAGCTAACTTGATTCGATAGGAGGTAAATATCGACTGCTTAAGCGCTCCCTCATATTCATGACTTGCTTTCTCCGTTCAATTTGTATTCATACTTGCTGACGAGACTTATAGCGTACTATTACATCATCTGGGGCATCTGGTTGCGGCAATGCCTGGACGGACAAGACAGCAAGTATATACTCGTTTGGCCGAGGCTGTTGACATCCATTCCGTATTTACAGAGGATAGATGACGGCCAGCACCAGGGCAAAAAGGTTCAATAGATGCACAGCTCAATGGTCGTATGTCAGGCGCAAGGGGTATAAAGTAGACACGGCTTTGTATATCACATATACCGTTTATGCAGCTATACTGAATGGCCTGTCTTGAGGAATCCCACTTTGAACGGAAAATAGAGGTCAAATGGGGTCGCATCAAATGGTTATTAAGCCTCAATTCGGAGTCTATCCATAAGCTGTATAAATTCCTCCAGGTCTATATTTTAATTCAACGAAGCTGAGGGACAACATGGACACATGTAGACGATGGTGTAATACAGCATAAAGCTCTCTCGGCACGATTATTGGTCGACGCGCTAGTGCGCGCGCCCTTGCATGTATCTTCAAATTAGTAATATTCAGGAGCCACTCAAAGCCGAGCAGTTCCTTATAAGCTGTGCACCCTTTGAGCTTGCATCTGATCTTACAAGCTCACGAAAGGGTGGAAGAAAAGCACCGGATTCATCATCACGATCGGGCTACAGCAGTTAGCGGTTGACTAACTAACTGGTTTAGCATCCCGACAGACTCCAAATGCATATAGCGCCAACAGCCCCCTAACAATGGCTTCTCCGTCCCCCCAAGGGCGCAGCTTCACCGTTCGCGGTGTGGCTGCCGGCCTTGCTGTTGGCACCATCATATGCGCCGCCAACATGTACTTTGGCCTGCAGACAGGCTGGGTCTCCATCATGTCGATGCCGTCGAGTCTCATGGGATTTGCCGTCTTCAAGCTGCTCAAGCCTCACTTGCGCTTCCCGTTCAGTCCGGTGGAGAATGTGTTGGTTCAGAGCGTTGCCGGCGGCATGGCCATTATGCCCCTTGGGTGTGGCTTTGTCGGAGTTGTAAGCATTCACCTCTCATAACTCGTTGAATTTCTCATGCTGATCAGATGGCATATAGATTCCCGCGATGAACTACTTATTAGAACCTAATGAGCAAGGGCCCTTATCACTGAGCACATGGCAGCTCATCATATGGTCGCTGGGTCTTTGCTATTTTGGCGTCGTCTTTGCCGTCCCCTTGTAAGTGTGCTTTTGCTCTATAACGAATTCAAGTGAGAACGCGAGTTGGCTGAGATAAGAATGTGTGTGTGTGTGTGACCTAAGGCGCCATCAAGTCATCATCAGAGAACGACTTAGATTCCCCAGCGGCTTCAGCACCGCAGTGCTCATCCGCGTTCTCCACAGTCGAGGGCAAAAGTCTTCTCCCCAAGAGCTAGATGCCGCCACTAAAGGCGGATTCGCCAGTCTTGCAGCCAAAGATGATGAATCCGCACTGGTAGAAGACGCTGAAGAGGAAGAGGGAGAACCAGAAGTCTCAAAGGACTTGGACTGGGCGTACAACATGAGGCTTTTGCTCCTCAGTTTCCTTGTTTCCGGCATCTTCACCATTTGCAACTATTTCTTGCCTATTTTGAGAGACCTCCCGGTATTCGGCACCGTCGCCGCCTCTACTTGGCTTTGGACCTTGAACCCAAGTCTTGCGTATGTGGGACAAGGCATCATCATGGGGACCGAGACAACGCTCCACATGACGCTCGGCGCAATTATTGGCTGGGGCGTTCTTAGCCCGCTGGCCAAGGTGAAGGGCTGGGCTCCTGGGCCGGTAGATGATTGGGAAAACGGTAGTAAAGGCTGGATCGTCTGGGTGTCGTTGGCTATTATGCTTGTTGACGCTGTTGTCAGTCTAGCCTATATTGCCCTCCGCCCCGTTTTCACCACCCATGCTCTTCCAGCCCTGGCAGTATTACAGCGCCGTTTTCGACACAGCAGGATTGCCTCTTTGTTTAGAACCTCTCATCAATATTCTCCCATTCCCAGTGAAGCTCAAGAGGAAGAAGAACAAGAACATGGTGGTGAAGATGACCAAACTTCTCCTGCCCAGGCAGAGGATCGTGGACTGGACGATGCCCCGACTGACCAACAGATTCACAACAAAGTTGTTTTCTGGGGGCTTCTCGCATCTATATTGGTCTGCGTCCTGTCTACACAAATCGTGTTTGGCCATCTGGTGCCTCTTTACGCGATTGTCATTGCTGTGCTCATGGCCCTGGTCTTGAGTATCATGGGCGTCAGGGCCCTTGGAGAAACCGACCTCAACCCAGTGTCTGGCATTAGCAAGCTTGCACAGTTGTTCTTTGCTTTAATTATCCCGCAGTCTAACAAATCGAGCGTTCTTATCAATCTAGTCGCTGGTGCCATTGTAAGTCAACTTCTGCTTTATGCCTCCCCTCGTTTCCTATCAGTTTTACTAATTACTGGAATTACTTTTAGTCGGAAGCTGTAAGTTGCTCTAGAAAATGAGAAGCCTCATACATATATCGTGTTCTCCTAACATCATAATAGGGCGCATTGCAAGCGGGTGACCTAATGCAAGATTTGAAGACTGGCCATCTTCTTGGAGCTGCCCCCAAAGCACAATTCTGGGGACAACTCATAGGCGCTACTTTTGGTGCTGTGTTCTCTGCCTTCGCATATCGCATTTACACAGCGTAAGTCCCTAACATGAATAGTGGGCTTTGGAGCCTATATATATTTTACGTCTTTTCACTGACTCATATTGTTACTGATGGCAGGGTGTACGAGATCCCCGGCAAACTTTTCCAGGTTCCAACAGCCTACGTCTGGATATTCACGGCTAGGCTTGTGACCGGGCAAGGATTGCCATATATGGCCAAGGAATGGGCAACCGGTGCTGGAGTTCTCTTTGCCGTGACCACTCTTGCGCGGACCCTGTCTGTTGGGAGGCCATGGCGCTCTTGGATACCGGGAGGCATTGCTGTAGCAGTCGGTGAGTAAATCTTGAGTGTCTCCGGCAAAGAAGGGCTTCATTTAACAGATACATCAAGGCATGTACAACGTGCCCTCATTTACGCTGGCCCGAGCCATTGGGGGTATTGTTAGCTGGTATTGGCTCAGCGTACGAAAACAGTCAACTACGCCTTTAATCATCATTGCATCGGTAAGGCCCTGCTTGTACTTTGGCACGATTTACGCCTCGCTGATCTTGTATACAGGGTTTCATCCTGGGAGAAGGGTTTCTAAGCATTGTGAATCTATGGCTACAAGCGCTAAAGGTGCCTCACTATTAGTTACACTTGCGAGTCTATTCAGTGCTTAGAAATTTGCCCTCTACTCCAACTTCCAGGACCATTTCTTCCCTTCTTTGCTCTCAGAGGAACATGTGACATTGATTCTCAACGCTCTAGCATTCTCCTCAAGGGCCGCAAAAGTAATTTGCCCAGAGATTGTCTCTGGCAGCTCCAGCTTGGAAGGCGAGTTTTCTGGTGGCACCAAAAGCAGCCCTTGCTTCCAATGAGTCACAATGCCAGAGGGGCCGGTTGTGAATGCGACGTTGCCGTTCTTCGCCTTTACAAACACTTCGGGAGTCGTCATGGGCTCCGGCGCGGGCTCACTTCTAGAGGTGGCGAAGAAGTTATCGAACCAGATTAAGAAACCGTCTAGCCCATCTAGCCGTCGCAGCAGCTGGGACTCCCATCTGGCTGTGAAGGATAGCTCTTCAGGCTTGATCGTGTGGAGGTCGAGTACCTTGAAGGGGTATGGTTTTCCGCAGAGAGCGTTTTGGGGCATCGCTTCGACTCTAACATCATCGTAAATACCCTCTTGCATAGCCTTCATATCGAATCCATAGACGTCTCTCCAATAAGATATATGTTCTGACATATACTCCGTATCTTGGACGGGTGCCATCCAGATGGTGCCAGAGCTGGGAACAAGTAGGCCATCAGGCTTGAGGTATCGATCTCTAGCATAGAGAACGCTGGGAAGCATGGCTTCGTATAATAGGCAGTAGCCCATCCACTCGCTGACGATGATGTCGACCTGGTCAACAGGCAACTTGACCTCCTCGATAGCACCTTTGACACAAGTGATGATGTCAGAAAGGCCATTGTTGAAGATGTTTTCAGTGGCTTTCTTAATGATGTCTGAATTATCGACGGCAATAACTCGAGCTGCGCCAGCCTTTGCGCAGAACATGCTCAGAATTCCTACAAATACAGGTCAGGATTTATGTAGGTGATAACCTATTGGTCATCAAAGCATCTCTTACCTGAGCCGCAGCCAATATCGAGCACAACCTTGCCCTTGAAGATGTGCTTGTTGTTGTAAATGAAATCACGGTAAGCATCAGTTCTGACCGTGTCCTTCAGCATGGTCTCATGAATTTCTAATATCGTCAGTATATGTCTGCTTAACCCACGCATGTAGATGCACTCACCGTTGTAGGCGTAGGATTCAAAATAATAGTTTCCGCGATCGCCCTTGGCAGCACCCTTGGCTGGGCTCTGCTCCGTGTCATCTCCCCATCGACGATCCAGTGTTTCCTGAACGGCAAGTCGATAGTTTGAGAATTGAGTCCGGACGGATTCCAGCTCAGCCTCAAGCGCTTGCTTCTGCGCCAATAGCTCTCCCTGAGAGCTGTCCAACTGACTCGCAGTGGTATCGGCCTTGACCAAGTCGCTGTCGAGAATCTCATCCAAAGACACGATCAGAGCATCATTCTCGAGGACAGGCTTAAAGTAACCGTCATCCTCAAAGTCTGCGAGGGTCATGTTTTTGGCTACGGGCTGCTGATCCCGGACCCGGCTGCGGATATAATTGACAAGCTTCACCGCGCCATGGAAATCGAGCTGGAGAGTTTTAATGGTGGCAATAAAGTCGAAGTCGTGATGCTTTTTGCAGCTATCGAGCATCTCGTTCCAGCTAGAGAATGTCTGCGAGTCGAACAGGGAAACAATAGTGATGGACTCTTCATCGTTCTCAATGTCGAGCCATTCTCCCTCATCTGATACATCAGAAGTGGCCGACGACGACCCGGATACTGATCTCGCACTCATTTTTCCGCCGTATTTTTTCTTTTTCTTTTATGGCGGATGCAAAATTTGTTGCTGTTTGGCGGTTGCTTCTTCTTTCTTTTTGGCGTAGGAAATTTACAGCATCTTTTTTTTTTAGTGTACTAACCTCTAGGTAGCACTGACACCATGGTTCTCAGCAAGCGCAGAAAGCTACTTCATACTCAGAAAAAGTACATCTTTACCACGCCACAACAGAGTAAGAGGTAAGTAGTGATTGCACTTGCTGAGTATACTCCCTGAGATCTTAGTGCGATTCAGGTACTCCGTACAACGCAGGCTGTTTTTCTTCCACAAGACATCAAGGCCCCACCTCTCTCATAAATCACGTAGGGCTTCATGTACGACAAAAGATCTCCAACAAATGTTTATTACGCCGCCAGAAGCGAAAGCGCTGTAGCCTTTTATCTCTCTAGAGCTTTTTTCTACAGTTCTCTACCCATTCATGATCCAGAAAGTGCACAAATAAACAGCAAAAAAATTGAGAGAAAAAATCTCCAACTGTATTCGAACCTGGAACCATCCAGATGAGGTAATGCCAAAGATTATTGAAATGGAGTCTGTTGGGCCATTCCCACGGTCACATCTGGTAAAAGGCAAGAGGTGAGTTCGATGGGAGGTCCCACTCCAATTTTCTTTAGTCTAAACTGTCTTATATAGGTATGATTTACACCATGAAAATTCCAAGCTTCAGCTTCATGCCCCCAATCAACAACCAAAGAGCCATTAGAATAACATTCTGACGACGGAGATGCTGTTTGTCAGCTCACATCTTCTTTTAATTCCTGCTGTTAGTTTTATCTACATTGTTTGATAATGCTCAATTCTGCCGCAAAGATTCTAATAGCCTCGCTCCAAATGCTTCAAATCAGTCGACGTCGTTTCCATCCTCCTCAGCATCGCTTTCTTCCTCGCCATCGTCCCCGTCATCATCTTCACCGTCGGATACCTCCTGACCAAGCCCTTTCAAGCGAGTCTGATAGCGTCCTGCATTAGTATGGAGTGTTTCTTTCCAATTGCATGAATGAATTGATGTGCGACAGGATCGCCTACCTTGTATTTTCCTAGCTTCTCCTCTAGATCACCAAACACCATGAGAAGATCGTCTAGTTCAGACTGAACCGCGTCCCTGGCTTTATCTGCATCTGCCACAGCTTGCTTTGTCTAGGGATACGTGTCAGCAACGCTATATTGACGTCGAATCCATCGTGTCTCACCTTTGCAGCTTCCTGCTGTAGCTTCTCAGTTTCTTGTTGTGCCTTTTCAGCTTCTTCTCGTAGCTTCTTGGCTTCCTCCTGTAGCTTCTCGACTTCGTCCTGTAACTTCTCATATTCATCTTGTCGTTTCTCGGCTTCTTTCCGCCGCTCCTCAACTTGTTCTCGTAGCCGCTCAGCCTCTTCTTTCGTATTCTTTAGCTCTTTTTCCTTCACTTCCGTTTTCTCGTTGGCCTCCTTTAGTTGCGCGGTATGCTCTTTTAATAGATCGGCATGCTCAGCGCGAAGCGCCTGAAGTTCAAGAGTCTTGCTCTTATTGGCCTGCAGAGAATTCCAATTAGCCAAATCCATAGAAAGCAATCCAGATTACCATGTCTACGTCTGCTCACCTTCATCACGTCAACCTCAAGCCTGCTAACAGTCGCCCGCAAATCTGCGATTTCAGCTTCCGCTCGCTGTCTCGCACGTTCTGCTTCTACTTCGTGCGCTTTTTTAGCCTGGTTTAGCTGGTTCTGGAGCTGCTGATCTTTGCCATTGAGCTGAGTTTGTAGATACTGATCTTTAGCAGCAAGTTGGGTTTGAAGCTGCAAGTCTTTCGCATTGAGCTGCTGTTGCATTTGAGCAGCTCTTTGCTCATACTCCGAGATTTTCGCAGCATGTTGGCCTTGCAGTTTGCTAGAGATATAGTTTAGTTGTGTTTCGAGCACTCAATATGTCAAAGACTCCAGACATACCGCATTTCTGTCGTCAACTTCGCCGCTGTGGCCTCGGCATCTTCGTTTGCACGGCGATTCGCTTCCTGCGCCTCTTTAACGGCCCCTTCCAGAGACTTATTGACTTTGTTGGCTTCTTGAATTGCGTGGTCTTTTTCGTCTATCTGATTCCGCAGAGAGTCCACAAGCTGCCTTGAAATACCCTGCTCCGTACCATTCGTAATAACCGAGACTTCCATATCGGGCACCTTATCAATGGCACGGATTGCACGACTGTAGTTATCCTTGAAAAAATCGACAAAAACATCATCAAAAAATACGTTGATCTCTTCACCATCGAGGGAGGAGATGAGTTTTTGTGGCGTAACTTCGAATTCTCGGAGCAAGGGATGGTTTCGAAGTTTTGCCAGCCGATTCAAGTAACCGTCTTTGTCAAGCCGCGACTCCAAAATAGAGTGTAAAGTTGCTCGTGGTATGGGTGAATCTTTCGTTGAGAACTCATAGACGACGCCCAACAACATGGCACATAGACCTTGTACGACTTCTCCCGCGATGCGAACTGGCTGTGAGATTACCTGTATAAGACCTTGGACGTTGCTGCCCTCGGCCAGAAAGTCGTTGACGGCGTCAAGGTCCTCAAATAGCCAACCAAGAAGTAACATTAGATATCCCACTAATATGCGGGTGTCATCATCTCGACGTATCCGCATGAGAAGATGCGCCGTGATCGTTTGTATGCTGGTCACTACTTCTTCGCCCTTGGAGGCATCTCCTTCGGTCAAACCCTTTGCCACTCCCTTGGCCGCAGGATTGTCATAGAGCAAATGGAATGCGATAACAGAGGCAAACCACACACGATATGGATCGCTCAAAAATACATCCCCCGGTAACCTCAGCAAAACACTCAGGATGTTGGCTGATTCGTCACGGCCAGACTGGTAGCCTTCTATGGCTCTGCCTAAAAAGTGAGATTTCACTTCGGGGTGGTTGGAAAAATAGGCCTTTAAGCATTGGCAAGCAGCGAATCGCAAGTCAAATGCGGAAAGATCGTGCACGTTTAGTGTCAGGTCCAGTAAACCATCAATGATGTAGATCTTAGATTGGCCGTTGGGTGCACTTGTAGCTCCAGCGGCAGATTCCAGGGGGGGAGGAACCATGAGTGAGGCGAATCCTTCCTGGATGGTCATGTTGTTACGGATCAAATCGCCACATGTGGCCAAAGCCTACTCGAAATGTTATGATTGCGGCTCAAACGATTAAAAAGCAGGGTAGCAGGCCTCCGCACCTCAGCTTTGATTTGGATTTGAACGTCGGCATCGAATGCGAGCTGCAAGACAAGATAGCTGAGCCCATGTCTCCAGAAGGTAGCTTGGTTCTGATGCGTCTCAGCGGAGCTTGCAGATAGGAATAAACGGATGATGGAGATGAATGCGTAGATGTTGCGATTGTGCTGGATCTGTGCCCACTTGGCAATGCTGTCTTCCTGTTTCTGATCTTCGAGCAGTCCCTTAAGCATCTCTGTGAGCTTGCCTATGCAACCAGACTCTCGGAATAGAGACTGGTTGGCCAAATTGCCCCTCAATAGGTTGGCCAGGAGTATCAAACAGTCCTCCACGGTCCTCCCACCCTCAGAGAGCGAGCCATCGGCAGCAATAATGGCAAATAGTTTATCAAAGGCATTTTGAAAGGCAACGAGTTTCTGTATTTCAATTGAGCTAGACGTTAGTAATATCAGCAGGTTGACACCTTCATTGCGAATCGCCTCTCGTTGGTCGTCAAGAACGCCCGCGAGTCGATTGATGCCCAATGGCGCAGAGAGGACACATTCTTCCGTCCGCTGAGTTCGTGCTATAAGGATTGAGCTCAGAAGTTGCAAAGAGTATAGCCGTGAGTAGAAATCAGGAGCGTCTAGGAAGTCCAGCACAAGCGTAATGTTCTCCTGCCTTTGGGTGAATTCGTCGGCCAGCCATAATGCGATTTCGTCTGATGCTTCGGGGCTTTCCTTGTTTGGGTTGAACAGCATCAGCAAAGTTTCCAGAACAATTTTGATTGTGTCGACATCTTCGGAGTCTTTGGACAGGCTACCAATCAGGCTCCTCAACGCTCCAGAAGCTACCGATGCTGGGAAGTCCTTCGCGAAGCTTCGCAAGCCTAGAACCGCAGCGCGCCGATCTTCGAGGAGAGTTGCGGAAGCAAGTCGGCCACTGAGGACAGTGATGGTTTCGCCAGCGGACTGTTTCGCCGGCGTGCTGGAGATAGAGAACATGTCGTCACTTCACCCATGTCCTTGGTTGAGAATTGGTGTCGGAAACTGGTTGCGCTACGTAGAGCTTCCACATACTCTACCTAGTATAGGCCACAGTTAAATTGAGCTTTGCGGAAAGCTTCTAGAAAACACCCTGGCCTAGGCGCCTCATGCATGTCACAATGTGCCATGTTAATTTAGGGAAACGCCTATTCAGCCCCTCCAATTTCGCTATTCAGCATACCATATTGTAGATGATACAGAGTACTAGACAGCTATAATTATAATAAATAATTATAATAGTACTAGAAAAAAGCTTTTTGGTTAAAGATCCATATATGTATAACATGTAACATTTCCTAGCACTTAAATACAATCGCGGTATCAATGATTTTGAATTATAAGTATTAAATTATTTCCTCTATAGATTATTTCTGTGCACTGGGCATGGTGCCTTGATTTCTAAAAATAGCTCCGAACATGGGTAGGTCGCGTTATCTTATCGGGTATGGCTGTCACCGGGTTGACCAGCAACGCGTCGTTCCACCCGAACAAAATAGTCTTTGTTCTCGATCTCAATGCGCCTCGATGTAGCCCATGTGTTGGCCATCACGCATGGATTTTCTTTCTTCGCGCTTCCTTCTGTTTAATTGATACCCTCTCTATAATGGCTCCTCGTCAAAAGACTTCGGCGGCCTCACAAAAATTGCGCTCCAGACCAAGCGATGTACAACGTACGTGCTAGACAATCCCCAAAGGTTCCTCTTTGCTGTCTGCTAACTGTCGTTCAGCGGGCGATCCATTGCCTACAAGACAGAAGCGACGATATCGCCCGGGCACCGTTGCGCTGCGAGAGATCAGGCAGTACCAGTCAAATACAAAGCTTTTATTGTTAAAACTGCCATTCATGCGCCTTGTGAGTGCTGCACTTGCCTCCCATTCTCATCTGGACGTGTTTTTTGATAGTGGTTAGGTTCGCGAAATTGGCTTGAACTGTCGGCCGAGAGGAAAAGACTTCAGATGGCAGAGCCAGGCTATTCAGGCACTACAAGAGGCCGCGGAGGCCTTCATGGTACATCTTTTTGAGGATGCGCAGCTGTGCGCCGTCCACGCAAAGAGAGTTACGCTTATGCAAAAAGACATACAGCTTGCAAGGAGAATCCGAGGCATCTGGGGCGGCCTTGGTTGAAAGTCAAGTAGTAGAGACGGAATTGGCATTGATATATCTATTACTATTAATATTGTACCTTGTCATACACACAGACATGAATAAGTCTTGATGTGTGAGGTAACTTGTTTACGTACGAGCAAGATGACTCTGGCATCCATTGTCTGCTGGGCAGCATAGCAATACCCTTCGGTAAAACATTCCTACAGCATATATGTGCGTTTCGGGAAGGACGAATTACCTCACATACGCACAGGATGGCGAGTTATATCAAGTTACGCATAGTCACGTCCGCGCCGTTGACCACCACCGTAATGAGGCCGTGTTCCATAGTTGCCTCCGCGCCCTCCTTGGCGGTTGTAGTCATTCCCCTGGCGGTTGTAGTCATTCCCCTGGCGGTTGTAGTCGTTTCCCTGGCGGTTGTAGTCGTTCCCCTGGCGGTTGTAGTCGTTCCTATTGTCGGACCAACCCTGCTGAGGTTGGGCATATGTACCGGGCGGCGGACCCGCCCTCGGGTCAAACGATGGCCCGCCTGAAGGCTGCCATCTCCCAGCTTGCGGCATACCATAAGGCGCATTAGAGTGCGGCTCGAAGCGTTGGTTGTCCCTATTGTGTCCGTTATAAGAGTCTCGTGAGTCCCTATAGCCACCGGAATAACCACCCCTGTACCGACCACCATTGTTATTGCCGTAGTGCTGCGGGTGTCCTCCATAATTGCGACCTGGTCGGTTGGTTTTTCCTCGAATTACCTCAATATCACTCCTAGTCAAAGCCGGCGGCGGCATTCGCACTCCGCGTAGGAGCATTGATTTGTGTGTCTGCGATACCTGGGGCATGTCATAGTAAACGCTGCGGCTGATTAGTTGAGTGATACAAGGGTGGTGGGATAAAGTAAGATGGATATTCACCTGATGGAATGGTCGTAATCTAGATCCGGCATAGATCGTCGCTCGAGAGGATAGCTCAAGGCCCCATGGGGAACCTTGTTCTCTTGTTTCTCAATCTCCCCGGCGAGGCCATTGCTATGTTCTGTATTGATACTGAGCCTTGAGCGATCTTGCTTCTTAGAATAGAAAGTGGTCAAGATGTCGTCGTAAAGGCCTTCGTGGTTGTCGGATAACAACAAAACTTCTCTTCCTACTGTATTTCGTGCAACATCTTCTGGGCTTAATAGAGGATACTTGCCTTGAACCGCCTTAAGGAGTCGTGACATGTCGATAAATGGAAGAAGAGCCACTCCTTGCCATGCCATCTTCTTTCCATTTAGATCAACTTCAAAATCTTCGGGGTAGAAGTCAATAATCTCGCTGTCTTTATTCAACATTAGATCATGGAACACTGTGGGGAGAGCATGACGAGATGCCGCTGGTAAGACGCTCATGAGCTGTTCAAAAGGTCTAGAAATTCGCCCCTTCTCGAAGCGGATATCCATTTTGCTGAGATTCTTGAAATCTGCGGCAAAGGGGGCGTAATGGTAAGGATAGTACCACTCCCAAGACGGACATCCCTGGAAGTAATATAACAATACCCAGGCCAAACCTTCCACGTACGCCTCGGCGACTTTGTGGCGAAATTCAACATCTTGTGGATCCTTATGGAACTTCTGCTGGTAGTAGCGATCTTCATACCCGTCTTCCCACAAACGAACATTATCGATTGGTTCAACCTCCTGGGGTACCTGTGGTTTAGGTTTAGATGACTCTGCTGAAGAGGAGTTGGCAGTGTCATCAAGTTCTGCAGCCTTCCTTTTCCCAAGAGCCGAAGGCAGTGGTTGGGTAATGTCTGCTGCTGCGCCGGACGCCGTCTCGTCTTGGTTGGCATTGTCCTTGTCAACATTGTCCTTGTTGGTGTCTGCTCGCAGTCGGTCTCGCATGACACTAGCCGCACCCTTGTTGGCTAACGTCACATCTTGGGCAGCACCGCGGCTGACAACCATGTCGTGGGTGATATTTGCTAGCAAATTTGTGGGCTGTGTCGCGATAGGGAACAGCTGCAATCCTTTAGTTGGATCTGCATGCCCATTTTGCTTGGAAGCAGAGCCGTGCTGCCCATTCCTTGAGTAGCCTTCGTTTTGAAGCTTTCTCCTTTTGAAAGAAGCCTCTCGACGATCTTCCTGTTCTTTTCTTCGCTTGAAAATTGCACTCTCCTGATTCGCAAGGCCGTCAAGAATGACTTGCGCTCTCTCCAAATCGATGTGGCCATCTTTGGTGACATAGCCACCCATAGATGGTAAATTGGTTCTCCAAATCGTAGTCAGGGTGTCGATTCCATGCTCACGAATTTCCAGAGCTGGCAAATGAGGCAGAAAGTCGTTACCAACGAAGCAGCACATGAAAATCCAGTCGTCAATCGCGCGTTCTAGATCAAATTTGAAGGGGAGATCTGGAATAGACAGCTCAGCCGCGAGATATTCTCTAAGAACAGAAACGTGTAGCCAAATAAAAGGCTTCAAGACAGGAGTTTGGCTGTCCTTGCTTTTCTCATTGTCAGCATCCTCAGCGGGCTTCGGTGCTCCACGGCAATTATTAGCCTCGTGTCCTTTTTGGCCACAGAGCTTGCATGTCCTGTTTTTGCCCTCATTGAAAAATACATCTTCACGCAAAACTCGGAAGTGAGGTTCATGCGTGGCAAGCCCCAGCATGATAAGATCGGCATCCAAGCCATAGATGACATGACGAGTATTAGGGTCGTAATTAGGAGAGGTGCGTTGAGATCGGATGAAGGACATGATTTTGTGTTCACCCTCACCTGGGACCGTAGCATCAGATATAATGATTTTGAGCTTAGCCCAAGCGGGATCCGTGTTCAATTTGTATTGGCACCAATATCGCAGACTCAGGGCCAAGATATCCATGAACGGAGTGCCTGGAGTAATGGAGTTGGAATCGAAAGCTTTCTTGACAACGGTTTCCGTGTCAGCAGCTGGAAAAGCACCGCCGTTTTGACGTTTTAGTAGCTCGATCAGCGCCTTCTTATCTTCTTCCTTTTCCTGGGCTTCCCGAGCTGACCGAAATCGTCGGGATCGTTGCTGGTTCATCTTCGCTCTTGGTGCAACTCCATCTGTTGGACATTTGTTAGCCTACTCTGATCAAAAGCAATAGTCGTAAATCACTCAGGGCTGGCGATTACGAGGACTGGGCGCCACACTTACCAACAGCAATCATGAGAATTTTGCGAGGGCGAACCATGTTCACGACACGATCCGTGTATCTGAAAACTTCTAGCATCATCTCCTCCTCATCGGCCGGGGCAGGCCTATCTTCTGGATGAGAGCATGGATGGACAATTCCATTCATGTCCAGGTACAAATTGTCGAGCTCTTCTCCATTGGGATTTGGTTGAGTGGTGTCAACGGGAATGGTGATGCCATCTTCGGTGGTAATTGGTGTCTGCTCAATCACGGGAGAAATGATCTTAGGATATTTGTTGGATAGCCATCGGAAGGCCGCGGGGATACCCATGTTGGATTATGCCTGCTGTGAGGAGAATCGAATCGCTTGATGCTGCTGAACGATTCTCGGGCAACGAATCGAAGAAGAAAGAACGCGACTACGCGCGGCTGAAATTTCGGCTGCGCGAGGAGGGTAATTAATCGAGTAGCAGATAATCAAGAACAAGAAGCTTGACCTGATCGTGCGACTCGTAACGTATGAATAAAAATAAAGACAGAAGGTAGTGATGATGTATGTTCGAGGTCTCAACACAGTTGCTGCACCTGAAAGACATGCATGGGGGAAAAAATAGCTGGTCTAACTTTGCGAAATGTCGATAGTGTTAAAGTTTCCAGACCATGGAAACGCGCACTGTATAGAGACTGTGAGGTGCTTTCATAAGGTTTTCCCCGAGAGAAGAGTAATCTGAAATCAATTTAAAAAAAAAAAAAAAAGAATTCATCTATTAATTATAATACATATTTACATTCTCTTAATACCATTTAATAAAAAATATAGTTATCAATATTCTCGTTGTATTTGATTCAATTTCCTATCATATCCCATAAAGTACCGAAATATTTCACCAAGTACTATACTAAGCTAAGCCCAATTAGCGTTAGCCTAGCAAGAATTCCCAGAGCGTATTCGATCTGCTGAATTTAAGGTACCTTACCAGAGCCACTGTTCAGGGTGCTTCTCTTGTAGACAATCGGCGTTGTTTGGTTGATTCTTTGGGCCTACCTTGAGCTGCCTCAAGGCAAAACCCAGTTGTTAATCATGTCTATATCTAATGAAGCTCTGCAGAAGGTAAGCCTGATGACTGCGGATTTTGCAATTCACACTGACCAATCTTGCTAGCTGGCGCTCGAGATCGAGTCGCAGGCCATCGCAGCGCAACAACAAATCGGCATGGTTCGAAGTCAAATCGCAGGCAAACAGCGAGAACAGCGCCTACTGCGGTTAACCATTAGCGAACTACAGAGCTTCCCAAGCAATTCTGTCGTCTATGAAGGCGTGGGGAAAATGTACGTATAAACGGACAGGTCACGAGGCATGGCAGCTACACAGTGATGGAACTAACGTTGACTCTTCGCGGGGTGTAGGTTTGTTTCTCTTCCTCCCAATACTTTGCACGGCAAATTACAACGCCAGATGCAGGATCTTGATGGTGATGTCGATCGACTGAACCAAAGATTGCTGTATCTCGAGACAACGCACAAGAATAGCCGAGAGCACATTGACCAGATACTACGTACTCGTTGAGAACAAAGAAGAGACAAGAAAATAAAAGAGGAGGAGGGCATATATCTACCTACCTACCTATATCACCAACCTTTGCCCACGCCTCCTTATCTCGAAACATCACATCCATTACCCACCTACCTACCTGCGTGTGGCCATGTCAGAAACGTACGGGGGATGGTTTGCCCCGCCTTAGAATGCATCAGGAGCAGCAATCATGATGCAAAGCTTGTATAACTGAATTTATGAAGACAATAATAGTAAATTAATCAAGTATACATAAATGCAAACAGTGTACTCGTAAAATTCAGTATCAGCGAGGCAATTTTGTCCCAACATCCAAGCTGTAGCACACGTAAGGCAAGGTATACTTTGCCTTTTACCCCCCCAAATTCCGCAAGTTGGGCTGCCACCCGAAGCCCTTCTGGGAGCTTCCCGCAGCTGGAATTGGCGTTAACTCAACGCGCATCATATCCGGCCCAACCCCTCTAGTCTCTTGTATCTGGCTTCTCTGCTCCCGTGCCCCACCAATAGCTGCGGCACCTCTTAGTAACGTCTAGCTGTGCGGTCTCTCTTCAGCCCGCCACGTGCAACAGCAAACGACATCATCTGCATCATAAAGACTGATTGCTCCTCCAACAAGCCCCGACCCTCGCGACTCTTGCCACGCCCGAATCCTCACCACGCTGCCGCGGACTCATCAAGCGCCACGACCCATCACCCCTCATTGACCTCCTGTTGCGCTGTATCTCGTCACCCCGGCTGCCTGTGCCACCTCTGATCCCTGCTATCGCTGCCAACCAAAATGGTCGACAGTGAAGCGAGCTCACCAACCTGGAAGTTTACCCAGTATGTGCCTGTGCTAGAGCTTCCGTGCATTGGACTTTGCAGCTAAATCCGATTCCCAGATGCTTCGGCGACAAGGGCGATGTTGAGGATATCACCGAAGGTTCGCCGCGTCCTCTCCTCTGACGTATGTTGTGTGATACTGACCGCGGGGCCCCAGCCGACATCATCTCAACGGTAGAGTTTGACCACACAGGCAACTATCTTGCAACCGGTGACAAAGGAGGGCGAGTGGTTCTATTTGAACGCAACGAGACGGTATTTGCCCCCTTGCCCAGCTCGCAAATGCTCTCGTGGCCGCAGCCTTTCTAATTCTTGGTAGAAAAAATCCTGTGAATACAAATTTCACACCGAGTTTCAATCCCACGAGCCTGAGTTTGACTACCTCAAGTCTCTCGAGATCGAGGAAAAGATCAACAAGATCAAGTGGTGCCGCCGACAGAATGCTTCCCATTACCTCCTATCAACCAATGACAAGACGATCAAGCTGTGGAAGGTTTTTGAGAAGTCTCTGAAGGTGGTGGCGGAGAACAATCTTTCCCACGATGTAACGCCTGGCGGTCCGGTGGGCGGAGGCGGAGGCCTTCGAGCTCTCCCCACGACCCAGCAGTTCAGAAATGCGGCCGACCTCAAATTGCCTCGCCTCACACACCACGATACTGTTGTCGCCGCCGTCCCCAGACGAACCTATGCAAACGCCCACGCATACCACATCAACAGCATATCCGTGAACAGTGATGGCGAAACCTTCATTAGCAGTGACGATTTGCGCATCAACCTCTGGAACCTCAATATTCAAGATCAGAGCTTCAACATTGTTGACATCAAACCCGCCAATATGGAGGAGCTGACCGAGGTGATCACTGCAGCTGAGTTCCACCCAATCAGCTGCAACTGGTTCATGTATGCCAGCTCAAAGGGCACCATCAAGCTTGCCGATATGCGAGAGAGCGCCTTGTGCGACCAACACGCAAAATGTTTGTATCCAACCAAATCCATCCTAATTCCCCAGGTTTCGCGGAGAACACTGACCAAGAGGGGAAAACCCACTTAGTATTCGAACAAGAGGAAGATCCTTCATCTAGATCGTTCTTTTCCGAAATCATTTCGTCAATATCAGATGTGCGATTCTCCTATGACGGAAGATATGTCTTATCTCGAGATTATCTCACCGTCAAGATATGGGACATCAATATGGAGCGGCAACCCGTCAAGACGATACCCATCCACGAGCATCTACGCCCTCGATTATGCGATACGTATGAAAACGACAGCATCTTCGACAAGTTCGAGGTCGTCTTTTCCGGCGATGCCAAGAATGTCATGACGGGAAGTTACAACAACAACTTCATGATCTATCCTTCCGATCCCGACAAGGAGGTGGAGGTGGTTCTCCAAGCGGACAAGTCAGCTTTCAAGGCAAAGAAGGTGGGCGTCCCTACACCCATTAATTCATCCACAAGCCCCACAGCTGCGAACGGTGGGAAGAAGGGAGGTTCAAGAGCGGGCAGCCCAGCTGGTGGTGCCCAGGGCCAGAGAATGCGGAAAGAGACGGACGCGGACCAGATTGACTTCAACAAGAAGATACTACACATGAGCTGGCATCCGTTCGAGGATAGTATTGCCATAGCCGCAACCAACAATGTAAGTCTTCCCGCGGCTCTTTAGACTATCGACGTTGATTAGAAGCTAACTGCTCGCCACAGCTCTTTGTATTTTCAGCACTGTAGTTGCAGGTAGAAATTTTGGAACACTGAAGAGCGCCTCAACGCATATCACCTCCCAGGGTTGCCTATGTTAGTCAAATATCAAGGAGTACTTAACAGTGAACCAACGTCCTAATTATAGTTGGGCAAGAAAACTAAGAGAATTATAAAATATAGTATAACTTGAAACAAGACGTACTGTTAATAGTCTATATGAAAAAAAAATTACAAAACAAAAATCACGGATATTTCTCATGCTGAGAAGCCTCCAGTCCAAGTTGCCCCCATTACGATAAAAAGAACGTTCTAGCTTTTCAAGAAATTCATGCGGAGCAGTTTTACTTATTTTATGTATTTAGGTATCATACTATACAACATGTTTCATCTCCGTCTGGGTGCTACTTGTGACAGTATTATTCCTTCAACTTAGTAGCCTGGTGTTGCCATCTTCACAGCCATCTCGTGTTCTTTTTACCGATCCTCTCTTCACCGTCCGATACGTTTAGTTGCACGCCCGTTCGATGGTATGTCTTCGTCATCTGTTGATTCCTTAGAGCTGCTAGACCGGGAACGCATCATCGTCTCATTAACCTTGATACTTCTGCCGGTGCGCCCTTGGTGACTCTTGCCCTCCCCTTCGTCTTCTTCAGAAGCCTTGTTTACCGCCTTGGAGACGTTCCGTGATTTCCGTGTGCCAATTTTGAACGATTTCCCTTTAAGAGCCATTCGTTCGGCCATAGACATAAATTGAGAATTCATCGGCAAGACCACATCCAGCGAGGGTCCACTTCGAGTAGGAACGTCAGATTTTCGGGGCCGACCTCTCTTCTTTTTCGGTGCTCGATCTACTGTTTCATCTTCAGTCACAACTTCATCAGGTATGGTGAGGTGCTGATCCTCCCGAGGAAAGTGGGCGGCAATGGTAGTGACGCCTGGAGGCCTGGAGAGCCTGCGTCGTTGCTGTGAATCACCAGCGGGACGGATATCTCCATCGTTGGGTGTTTCCTGTACTGCTAAATATTCCGCTCCATGAATTTCTTCATCATTAGATGCTGCCACGTCTTCTTCAAGTCCCCATGACGTAGACAGCGACTTCTTTGGACGACCCCGCCTTCGTCTGTTCCTCCCGCCATCAGATTGTGGCGCCGGCGGCCGCGGCGGCGGCGGTACGTTCTTCACTGGTGATGCTGTCTTTGGCATATTCCTTGGGGGCCGACCGCGTCTCTTTAGAATCACATCCCCGATTGTCTCCTGGAATGCTCCATCGGGGTCTTGAACTTCGGGGTTGCTCGATTCCAGTTCCTTCCCGTTCGTTTGCACGGCTAACGAGCCGTCGGCTGTCGTTGAGCTCGCCAACGCTTTTGGAGACGGCAAGGAAACCGCTTCGGTTTCCTCTAATTCGTCTATATCCAGATCATCAACCTCTACATACGACGCTCGTGGCTTGGCATGTCGAAGAGTTGGCTCGTTGATGTCAGGTCGAGGCAGAGATATCTCAGGTACTATGTCCGGCTCTTCATGATGAACCGCTGACGACTTGGTAGAAGCGTCACCATCTAAGGGGGGAATGGTAGTTGTTTGCTTGACTGTTGCTGCCGAGCCCCCATCTGCAAAAAGAGCTGGGTCCATATTGTCGAGGAAATCGGACAGCTCTGCCGTGAGCTTGGTTCTTTTCTGATGACTTTTAGGAATTATGAAATCGGGATCTTCATTCTCCCGCTTCGCCTTCCTCTTGGCTGCCCGAATAGTTTTCTTTACAAACTCTGGAACAGTTGGTTCATCAGCTTCCATTGAATCCGCGGACGGCGCTTGGTATGGATCAAAAAGAATTTTATCCGGAGTGTCGTCCTGTTCATAGTAACCCATTCCTATACGCTGGCGTGCGAACACTGATGGATCGGGATACTGGGATGAATCCACATTCTCTCGCTCCCTGACATTGGCCGGGGTAGGGGCCGCATCATTTGCCGGCACGTCGTCGACGTCAAGGGTGTGATTATTGGCCACGTCAAATGAGTAATCTGTCGAAGTTCCTCCATCTCGACCGAGCACTTGGCTTTGGTCTCCATAACCATTGACTGCAGAAGTTTCCGTGGGCTGTGTGGCGAAAACGGGACTGGATTGCACCCTAGGCTCTGCTTCGGCGTGTGTCAGTGCATCTTGGGCTTTGGCGTTATCCGCCTGCTCCCGTAGCAATTGCATTCTCTTGCTGTCTTTACTGCGGCTTTCTTCCCCTGCGGCTTTCAACCAGGACAGGTTATGAATTCGGAAATCCACTAATGCCTCTACGCTGCGGTCGTCGGCGATCCGGCGAGTATCATGTCCAAGAGATGTGTTCTTTGGCATGTATGGCTGCGTAGTGCCTGTGCGGCGGCAGTGGCCACAATTACATATCCCGAGGCATTTGGGACACTGCCAATGTTCGTCTTCTAAAACAGTTTGTGGCATAAGATCGAATGCCCGGTATAAAACGCCGTAGCAGTAGGCTTCGGAGCAACCAGGGTTCGTGCATAGATGTACCCGATAGCTGTAATCCGGATGACAGCAGACATGGCATCGATGGACTTCCCCCTTCTTCTTCTTTCTTCTTGACTTCTTATTTGGTTTATCTTCAGCATCACCCTGCTCAGAGTCACTCGGTGTCTTTTCGCGCTCTGGTTTAGTAATGTCTTTCCAGGGACGTCGCCGTAGAGCTTCTTGGCAAATCTGAGCAAGAGATTTCTTTCCTGCCTTCTGCTTGGCTACCTCGAGCGGGTGAGGAGATGATTCCAAATCCACGTAGCCATCAATGGCGATGACTGTTGCTTTCCAAGCTTCATAGCTATCAGTCAATTCTGACCACGACCACTGCTCACACCACTGAAGGCCAGAGAGGCAGGCGCATGATCGTCCCATTGCGTAGCATTCCATACATACGTCATATGCATCTTCGTCCCCGTTAATTAGAGGTCTGATACAATGCTTGCAGGTAAGAAACCGGTTGAAGATGTTGGACCTGCAGTAGGAGCAAGTAACACAAGAGTCAAAAGGTAGATACTCAATGTCCTTTTCTTTGAACGCAAAGACCTCGTCGACGAGAATTTCGGTAAACAGCTGGAATAGTTTCTTGAAGTCAGCCGCCAACTGCTTCACGCGTGGAGAACTTCGAAAAACATCTCGCCCAAAGCCCATGAAGCCAATCTGCACCATTTCTGCTTTCTTTTCAAGGCTTCGGAGTTCTGCGTGGTACTTCTGGAGTGTGTAGTATATGATGGCTTTGTTTTTATACTGCTCATCCCGACACACCAAGCGAGCTTTGGGCAGCGCTTCGTGTAGTGCGAGCTCCAACGTCTCCACCGTAGTGCGATTCCAAGCGACCTTCATCGTCCTGGTTCCTCTGTTCCAGACTTGGTGTGCTGCGAGAGGTGGTATGAGGATGAAATCACCCACACATTGCTCCACAATGTAGACGTCAAATGGGGCCTTCTTCCAAGCATTGATCTGCGCGAAGTGCTTCTCAATCTCAATATCATGACCAAGCATCGACAGGAAGTACTCTCGAACCACTTCACGGTCTTTGCTCTCCGTCATGAACCAAACTGAGCTGCCCTTTTTCTCTCCGTTTTCATCTCGAGACGCCTCGACCATGATATTCTGCCCCAGCGATGCGCACATCTCCCGGTGCGCCGGCGTGTAGGTCCCTTCATGACCTATGTAGCACATGAGATTTTGGGCTCGCATTTCCTCTGGTAAACTGGACATGAGATCTCCGGCGGAGGCTGCAGTAGTTTCACTCTCAAACGCTTCCTCGTCATGCATCCTTTTACCTCCTTTGCTGGTGACATTTTCGTTGAGATAGAAGAGATTGGGATGTATAATCTTTTGCAGCATATCGCGCCATTCCGCAGGGCAGTCAATATCTTTAAGATAGAGTCGTTGTCGACGCTCGTCGCGATACGTACTCGGAGTCCACTGATTGGTGAGCTGTTTCATAGACCGTAGATAGTGTCCAGTGGTCATGGGAATATCAGAGGCGTTGGAAATGTCGCGGACATTTTCCTCTGCAAGGCAAGCTGATTAGTGATTTGTCTGTGGCAGCTCGGGGAGATTACAAACGTTTTTTATCATAAGCATTCTCAAGCCATCCTGCGCTGAAAAGCGAGGAAGGCAAAGCAGCATCCCATCCTTCAATGACGAGAGGCTTGCCACCAGCTATGACGTGTATCGCAACGAGCTTCTCGAAGTCATGCTGGCCCAGGCTGCGGATTTGGGATCGCGATACTCGCTGAGCCCATCGAAAATTCGGTGTGTGGTCTACCAAGGAGTGTAGATCAAGATCTGGGGGTATCGGATCGAACTTCGCTTGCGGATGCTGAGCGCTAGGCATCTTGTTTTGTGTGTCGCTGCTCAGCAGCGCTGACCATTTGAGGTTTGTGAGTGGCGATTGACGCGGCTGTGTTCAGCTGTATGAGCAAAGCTACCTCTCTATGCACAAATCAGCCTTCCAATGCACTTGAGTAGGCCCACAAAGGGCCTGCCAACTGGTCGTCGTGGTTTGAAGTCACTGGGTTGTGAGTATGATCGCGTAAAGTTGCATTTGTCACCTGAGATAGGCGCGACGTGAGGATAGATAAATCAATCCGGCCTAGCACGGCGCACCTAAGCAGAAGCTAGCAGTGTTGTGTTAGTGTTTGGGAGGAGTGGGGGGGATCCTGGTAGCCGGCAGCAGCGGCAGCTACCAGGTACTAAATAAGCCAAGACCCAATGGAAGCTACTAAGGTACTTGTGTACTATTGTGCTAACCTGGACAAATCGCCTGGGAGCTGGGTTATGACATGTACCTAGAAGAAGCCCAAGAGAGCGAACGTGAAGATGGCCATGTGACAGCAAATTATGATATGGATTCATGTTACAATTAACCCTTGACGTATCTGGTTCATTTTGATGGTTCTGTTATAACAATACGTGAGAAATAGCTGCAATGACATGAAAAAATCGACTTCCTCTTCCGATGCTACACTCCTATCCTCTCAAGTGATATAATATGAGCTTTAACCGATCGAGCGCCCGACTTATGGTCGTCGGCTCCCTGCTACATTGCTCCCGATCTGATGTTTCCATCGTGGGTGTCGGGTGCGAATTGCCCCATACCCGGGCATTGTACGCTGTAAACACACCACCCCAATACCCAAACCAAGTACTACTTGTCTCTTCAATGTTCGTTGTTCCAAGATACGGTGCTGCTTGTGAAGATAGTTCAGAATTAGTGATGAAATCAGGAGTGAAATCAAGCTTGTCGTCTTGATCGATGAGTGTGTCAGCCACAGCTTCATTCCATGATTCATTCTCGCCTGAGATCTGCAAATCATGCTCCCGGGAAAGGGTCGTCTCAATCGATTCATTTGCTGGCTCCGAGAGAAGTTCTAAAACGGCCAGGCCATCTGATGCTTCTTGATCTGCAAATGAAGATCTAGAAAAGCCTACTTGATAGCCATCATTTATCAGCGCATCCGTTGAACTTTTGGTGAACGTCTCAAATGAATCATCCTGGCCCTCATGAGCAGTCTCTCGGCTCTGGTCAAGCAACGTATTCCGGGGTGGTTTGTATGACGAGTACTCGCCAGCAATAGGCGAAAGCGATCCCATGCTACTCGAACCAGCAGAGGATTTTAATTCTGATGCCAAAGCTGGCACTTCCCGAAATGTCGTGATGGCATTGACTACCATCTTTGTGGAGGCCCCAAGCTGAGATGCCGCTAATCCCAGCCCTGCCTTCTGTTTGCCCTTGGAGTCCGTAGATGCTTTCTGTAATTCATCTTCAGTAGAGGAGCCCAAAGGCGCAACGCCCTCTGGATAATTGTGGCCGAGCTTTTCGTTGTCCATTATTCCAGAGTGATGAAGCGTGAAGGATGAGAAGGTTGTATGTCAAGGTCTTAGCCGAGGCATGTGAACGAAGCGAACGACTTACACAGTAATTGACTGAGTCGTGCCATATCACAGTGCGTGTTCACACGTTATGAATTAGCCGCTGCTGAATGGTGGGATGCGAGCAAAATTATCCAAATCCGTCCATTCGCATACAAGGTTTCTGACAGGGCACCTTCATTCGTGAGTCGGCATCGAAACACTCCAGCACCTTATGACGCTGAGGCTTGCTGCCAGAGTGCCTCTACAGCACCGGTTGAGATGGAGGTGTAGCACTGGCTCGATTGGTTCGTCATGGGCGTCGCCTCAGCCGATTTTTCCCTTACTTCAGAGCATCACAGGCCGATCACTGGTTCATCGCCAAAGAGCTGTCGCTTTCCACCAAACCTTGGGCAACTTGAGGCCAATCCTCGAGACTGCTAATGCCGATAAATCAGCTAGTAACGGGCATCTAGCGGACTATATCCCAGCTCGAAATGGGATCCTATCAGTTATGCCCAAGGCATGGGTCCCCTATGGTGAGCTCATCCGCATCGACAAGCCTACCGGGACATACTATCTATTTTTCCCATGCCTCTTTTCCACGCTCTTGGCAGCGCCAATGACGGATCCAATGGCTCCATTCTCCTCAGCAGCCGCCACTGCGGCTCTGTTCTTCAGTGGAGCTTTGATCATGCGTGGTGCGGGTTGCACAATTAATGATCTCTGGGATAGAGACCTCGATCCGCAAGTTCGGAGGACTCGGTTACGGCCAATTGCGCGTGGTGCAATCACCCCATTCCAAGGCATCGTATTCACTGGCTTCCAGCTGCTCGCCGGATTGGCCGTCCTGGTCCAATTCCCACTGCCGTGCCTTGCCTATGGCATACCCAGTCTCGCCCTTGTCCTCACTTATCCGCTGGCAAAGCGAGTTACCTATTATCCCCAGGCCGTCCTGGGTTTGGCCTTCTCCTGGGGGGCAATTATGGGCTTTCCAGCACTTGGTATCGATCTGCTTTCAAATTCAGCTGCGCTCATAGCCGCAGCATGTCTCTATACATCAAACATTGCATGGGTTGTCCTATACGACATGATATATGCTCACATGGACATTAAAGATGATGTCAACGCCGGCATCAAGAGCATTGCTCTAAAGCATGAACATCAGACCAAGCAAGTTCTGACTGGATTAGCCATCACGCAAGTAGCCTTATTGGGTGCTGCCGGAATGGCTGCGGGAGCAGGTCCTATCTTCTTCCTTGGCAGCTGTGGCGGAGCTCTCGTTACGCTGGGAATCATGATCAGGCGTGTAAATCTCAAAAGCGTCAAGAATTGCTGGTGGTGGTTTGTGAATGGTTGCTGGATCACAGGGGGGGTCATCAGTATTGGTATGGCCGCGGATTATGTATCTCGTTCTCTCGAGCAGTCTGAGCCAAAGCCAGTGCCGGAAGAAAGAAGCCTTCAGGCCTGATTAAGTTAAAAAGAAATGATATAGAACACGTCACTCATATTGCCTGCACTTCGTTCGTCGTGTGTGAATGCGAGAAGACGCCCGATCCGGTGCCGCCTGGTATTTGAACATGCTGAAAAATGTTTCTAAAGGGATATATGTTATCTCCTTCAAAATTTTAGCCTCCCATTATCGGGCCATGACTAGTGGTGCCAATGCAAACGAGCCGATGGAGCTCCTCACAATCCTTTTGCCAACGCCTCTTTTCCCCAAATGATTTCCTTTATGATCGGGGCTTCTCCTTCTTCTCCTTCCACAGAGCCAGCAGACCAACACCAGACACCTTGACGACCTTGAATCGAACACCGGGAATATCACCCTTGGCCTTGCCCTTGCGACCGAATCCAGCAAGCAGAACCTCGTCGTTCTCATCAACAAAGTTCAAGCAACCGTCGTTGGGGACTGTGGTAAAAGCTCGTGTTAGCCAGGGGTGCAAAGTAGGAGATGGTTTAGACGTACCGAAAGCAGTGACTTTCTTTCCGTTCTTGATCAGCTGAACTCGGACACACTTTCGGATGGCGGAGTTGGGCTGCTTGGCTTCGACACCGACTTTCTCGAGAACAATTCCCTTGGCGTGGGAAGAGCCACCGAATGGTGAAGACTTGAAGGCAGTGCCCAGGGCGCGCTTCTTGTAGGCGAGATCAGCCCATTTCTGATCCTTTCGGTTGGTGCGCAGCTTGCGCGCAGCGTTCAGACCACGGGGCTTGCCACCTGCCATGATTGCTTCGAGGAGTTAGTGGTCGTCGAGGAGTGGTGGTTTGGGTGGCGGTGATGGTTGTTGAACGTACCGATTTATGCTAATATGGCGACACTGCGTTGGTAATGTGACAACACCGAAAAGGCAGAAGGTTGAATTGGACTCTCAAAAATTCCGATAGGGTTTGCGGCCCTAGAGTAAAAAAAGATGGGGTGTGGAATATTTCCACGTGACCTCGGGAAGCAATCCGGGTGCATTTTTATCCATCACCGGCGCCGATTTGTCCGTAGATGGCACTTCTAGCACACCAAGGCGGCCTCTTCAAGCCCCACACCTCCCGCCGTCACCCTTATTGCCATTCAGCCTTCCATGATCTGCCCTGAATGAACTGCCATGTCGTTGAAGGGTGAAGCCAAGTCGAGGGAGCGAGATCCCCCACCTCTCCCTCTTCTGTCTCCGTCACCCGGCATTTCTCGCGTCTCGCTTCCTGGAGCCATCACAACCAGCGTCCCAGCTCTTGGAAGGCATAACCTCAAATGGGATCCCACCAACGTAGAAGCTGGAGCGCAGTCACGCTCTGGATCGGATATGCCATCAGAACGACGTCCCGAGTGGTCATTACCTGCTAAAGGGAGTTATGGGGGCACCGACAGGACAGATGCTCTGTGGGCCGAAATGCAAGCCACGCTGGAGAAGGTGGAATTATCCGCTTCAGAAGGCACACATGTGTTTGGGCCCGAACATGATCGCAAACTAGGGGATCTGAGGACTGCCCAAATTGTACTTGCACAAGCCTGGGCCAGAAGCGAGGCGGACGATACGATAGAGACTGCCCTGCGTGATCACATGAATGATGCCAAAGGTGATGAGCTACTTAATTTAAGAGATGGGCTATTGGACTCATCAAGGCCCGAGAGGGGAGAGGGGACTGATGCAGCAAAGAGCATGATGGGCACATCTAGTGGATGGCAAGGAAGTGATGAAAGGAAAGTCGATCGCCTGGGCGCCAAGTTGGTGGAGGAAACGGAGGCCGACATTCTACTTGCGAGGAAGCGTCGTGAGGCCAACGATGAATATTTTGAGCGTGTTAACGACGGCGTCATCGACGTTATTGCGAAACTGGAATCAGTCGCAGTGGCTATGCGAGCGGTGGAGGAAGAAACCAAAGACTTATGGAATGACAACGCCAGCCCCTAAGGCTACTCGGTAGGTGTGAAGTTGGCAAGGCCAATAATTCTTGCGAGCTCCTATTTGTACTTGGCTTACACCATTGAAGGCTCATATGCTGTCGCGGGTTGCTTAGCAGTAAGGAACCTAGAATGATGGATTACCAAGGTCACATTGGTATCACTACATATAACGATTGCCTATTGCCCCGTTCACACATAGGTAGGCATCTCATACAGTACATGTGCTGCAAAAGAGATATCGGTAACAGTGTAAGTCCGTTAACGCCAAGCACTGCCGACAATCGGATCAAATTCTGTGATGCACCACCCCTGCACCACCCCCAAGGAAACTCACCGATTCGAGTGCCGATTCTTTCAAGCACCCGTGCAGCCGTGGACCAGTAATACCTCGGTAGCGCTGCGCAGTTCCATTCCGCCATGTCAGCCCCAGTGTGTGCGCTGGTTTTACGACCCGTATCTGCGGTGACAACTAACTAACTTTTATCCGTTTGTCCGGAGAATTAAAGTGGGAAAATATCCCGGTCCCCAAAAATCTAATAAAATCATTAGCACTTGGTATTCAGAGAAATACCATTAAGAATATATAATTTTGATAAGATTTTAGCTTTTAGACATTGTCAAAAAACAAAACAAAATATAAAATAAAAAATAACTGTTATAAAACAATAGATTATAAGTATTATATGGTAATAAAAAAGGTATTTAAATATTAAAATAAAAGAACATCAAGCACACACATCTACCGACCAAGCATGTACCAAATTCTGTGCTATTATTCATTAATAATTTATGCTAGGTAATTTTATGCTATGCGGCGAAATCGGTATTCGTAGCCTCGTCGCTAAATCCGCCTTCACCACCATACCTCAAATTCCTCTCTTCGCTTCCTTTCGGCCTACAATTTTGTTTATAGGTGCTGCAGCTGCTCCAATTCTTAATACTTTTCATTCCTTTTCACCAATTTTTGCCCCCGCCCCCCAAATCAGCCACAATGGGGTTTGTAGAAGACGAACTCAAGCATCTGCGCGATGTGATCAACGGCCTCGATTCGCGCATCAAGCAGCTCGAGCAGCGCGCTACGGGAGCTACCCCAATTAGCACAGAGAGTCTTCGGATGATTCTCATTGGGCCTCCAGGAGCTGGTTAGTGGTTTGGTCGTGCTGGAGTCATGCTGAGTATGCAACCGTGCTGATACATTGGCCAGGGAAGGGAACCCAAGCACCAAAGATTAAAGAGCGCTTTTCCTGCTGCCACTTGGTACGTCCATGTCAATTGAGATTTTGCGAAATGCGCGCATATATCTAACGTCGACTCTCCTCGGATATATAGGCTACTGGTGACATGCTGCGGTCACAGGTGGCCAAGAAGACACCGCTCGGAAGAGAAGCCAAGAAAATCATGGACCAAGGTGGCCTTGTCAGTGACGATATTGTCATTGGTATGATTAAGGAAGAGCTCGAGAACAACAAGGAATGCCAGGGCGGGTAAGTGGCCACCTCTACACGCGACGAAAGTAGCTTCTTTTTCTCCTTCTTTACCTTACACAACTGCCGCAGATTCATTCTTGACGGCTTTCCTCGAACGGTGCCGCAGGCCGAAGGCCTCGATGCCATGCTTAAGGAGCGTGGCCAGACCCTCCAACACGCCGTCGAGCTCCAGATCGACGACTCTCTGCTTGTTGCCCGAATTACTGGTCGATTGATCCACCCGGCATCTGGACGGTCTTACCACACGACCTTCAACCCCCCCAAGCAGGCTATGAAGGATGATGTGACCGGAGAGCCTCTTATCCAGAGGAGCGACGACAACGCCGACGCTCTCAAGAAACGTCTCGGCACTTATCACCAGCAAACTGCTCCCGTAGTTGGCTACTACCAAAACAGCGGCATCTGGAAGGGTATTGATGCCAGTCAGCAACCTGGTGAGGTGTGGAAGAATATGTTGGATATTTTAGAAGGAAAGAAATCTCTGGGCTCTTCCGTCTTCAGCAAACTTGCCGGCAAGAGCTAAGCTACCAAAAAGGGTTATGCCCTATATGCTTTGATAAAAGGGAGTATGAGTATACTCAGTTGACTCCGCCTACTACTATAACCTATTAATTTTTTTTCTCTCTCGAGCTTCTAATTCTAGAAAATAGCTCTAGAGCAAAAGCAATTTTGTGAGATACGAAACCTCATGAAGTGATATCGATTTATTGGGGCTGTGATAGATTACGATACGGCATTGTCTTTGTTCATCGACTGTCTGATGTGATTGAATATTGGCTTAGGTGTTATACTACTCTAGAGGGGGGAATGAAATATCTAGAACCAAGAAGAAGAGAAAAAAAAAACAGGCTGAGAAGAAAGTCATCTATATGCATAGTGTATAGGCGGCAATATTGCAACGCTAAATAATGAATTCTTTGCCCATAATTCGCCTAGCAAACATTATACCCCGAGGAAATTGGGTACACGGATGGAGCTCAACCCCTTGAATCCTACCTCCTTGAAGTCGCTGAAGAGTCAGGTCAGTAGAGGTAGAGCATGTCGCGTTGGCGCAACTGACCATTCACCAACTGCCTCTGTTTGTTAAGCCAGCTCTTAGGAGCATCGTGCCGGCGTTGAAGCACAACGTGGTTGCTCTGAAGTCGGCTCGTAAGGTCATACCAGGCGGTCGCAATAAGCGCGTTTTCCCTTTGGAGATTCTTGATGATATGATCGGATGCAGCCTGGCCGTTCAAGTTAGCAATGTTCTCTCCCTTATATGTAGATAAGTTGTAATGAAGCGAAATATAGGCAAATTCCCCCATCGCCGGGGCCAGCCATGGGCTGTAAATCACTGAATATCGCACAACAGAGCATACCTTTTGGGCTGCCGAGATTTCCCCAAGCTGTGCTGCCTTCAGTCTGGCTTGTAATTCGAGCCTTTCCTGTTCTGACTTCTCAAGTTGCTAGCGAAGGCGTAAGTAAGTCATACTCATATCTGCAAAAGATTTGTAATTACCTGGTTTCTCTGAATGAGGCGTTCTCGTAACTTTTCAACCTTTTCGGCAGCCTTCCTGGTAGCTTCTGAGCCGTCGACGTCTGTCGATGAACCAGTGGCATCTTGCAAATCTTTGGTCTCATCTGTCTCTTTCCTGAGTTTGTCATTCGCTAGCAAAGCCTCAATGAGCTGTGATTTCAGTGCGTCCCGCTCATTCGTTATAAAACTGGTTTCTTCCCTCTGTTGCTCAAGTTCGGTTGTCAACGAAGTTGATATCAGTTTATCCGTGTTCTTCAACTCATATAATGCTGCAATGCTATCCTTTTGGACCGCAGACAAGTCGGCCTGCGCAGCAAGCAATTCTCGGGTCTTGTCTGCCAGCTGAGTCTCAAGGCTATTGGTCAGCTTCCTGGCTTGTTCAAATTCAAGTTCTAATCGTGTCAACTCTTGTCGAAGTTTAATGAAAGCCTCGGTCCTAGGGTACACATTGTGAGTATTCATCTTCCTAGATGTGGACACAGTATGCACAACTAACCCTTCATCAGCATTATCACTCATCAAAGCCTGCATGTGGTCATTCGTGATGGTATATTTCTCAAATATGGCGTTGAAGTTTTGCTGAAGTCGTTCTCGTTGTCGTTTAAGCTCTTCCAACTCTCGTCGGAGCATGGAAGCATCTCCATGAGATCCCACCGTCTTCCGGATCAGTTCATTCTCTGCTCTCAATCTAGAAAGCTCCAAGGGCATGTTAGTCTGTGTGTCTTCCTTCGACGCAATGAGAAGTTCATCCTCGAGATTGAACGGTGTCGAAGTTGTTTCACTAATATCAACTTCTTGGACCGTGCTGCCACCGTTGTGCTGCAACTGCTCCTGCAAGTCTTGGATGAAATGCTCATCATGTGTTCTTTGAGCTTGTAATCGCATAAGTTCTTCCTGGAGAGCTGTAACATCTTTCAGGAGCTGCGCTTTCTGGTTGCGCTCATCCCATAGATGTTGTTCAGACTGCGTGATCATCTTCGTTAACTCATCTTCCGCTTTCTTGGTACGGTCGCTCTTCTCTCTCTCTTCCATGAGGGATCGAAGCTGTTCTTGGAGCTCTGCTCGTTCGTACTGTAAGTTCTGTACTTCTCTCACTAGACTCTGCTGCGATTCAAGTTTTTGTTTGTAACGCTCCGCCATGTTGGCCTTCTTCTCAAGCTCCTCTGCTTTGTGCTTCCATTCTGCCATTTGGTCGCGAAACTCGTCCGCTTGCATATTCTTTTGACTCAGGCGCTGCACCTCGCTCTCCAATTGAGAAACGGATTTTTGACTGCTACGGATGACCTCTTCGTTCCTGGCGATTATCTCCATCTGTTCGTGGACTTGTTCTTCCAGATGCTTTATGGTCTTTGCACTATGTGCCTCGTCTTGGGTAGCTTTTCGTAGAACTTCAAGCTCGCGATCTGTTTTTTCTTTGTCATACGCAAGCTCTTCGTGGCTCTGCTGCAGATGCTCTAAGCGAGTGATGTAGTCTGAAAGAGTCTTCTTCGTTATATCAAGTTGCTGTCGCAAAGCAGCATTTTGTTCCTCTACAAGAAGCTCGATATCTCGAGCTCCCATAGCAGCATCAATTGCCTCATCCAGCTCGTCGTCATCTTTGGAATTGGCGATATCTTGTTGCATGGCTCGAATTATCTGCATGATTTCGGCTTGTGTATCGCGGTCTAGCCCATTCTGAATTCTAGGGACATATTTTTGATTATCCGGGCCCATCGCGGCAGCTGAGACCATGACAGCCAGGAGCTAGAGAGATACTCCGTTAGGATCTTGGAGTTCAAGTACAGGAAATGGAAATTACCTGACTGATCCCCTGCGGCTCAGGATTCTCGGTGAAGGCATGATAGTCGAACTTTTTAGCCTGACAGCTGAGTTCGGGAATCTGGCGACGAATAAAACGGAAGAGGCCCTTGTAGATGGCTTGTCTGTTGCGCTTGTTGGCCAAGGTTTTCGATGCCCCTGGAGTTGATTCAAGATGCGACGGGTCGAACTCGGAATCTAATTCATGCAAGATGTGGCCTAGGGTTATCCCATTTGAGAGCCCTTCGAGGGATTCAGCATCACGATCTAGATCGAAGACACGGTTAATCTAGAGAGAAACCCTTCATTAGCACCACGTTCACGAAACTTGGTGTATCTTCATCGAGAGATTTCTAAACTATCAATACTGACAGCCTTTAGGAGTGCCGTTTGGGCACGTTGGTTATATGTCAGCATTTCGCTCGACATGTAGTTGAGGAGATCGGCTCGAATTCCCCAGATTGCCGCTGAAAATAGGCTCCTGGAAGCGCAAGAAACTCGGGTAGCGTTGGAAGACGAGCAACTCAAAACACGCTTGATCGATCCGAGGCTACTGCATAGCGAGAGGTGTTTATATACCCTCGGGATAGTTGCTCAGGGTTGCAGGAAATGCCTATTTCGCAAGTTCATGCTATGCTATGCTAACGGGATGGTCACTCCGGTAGTGTGATATGCATAACTCAGGAGCTACAGCAGCTTCCACATTACATAAGAGCTCAACAAAATGGACCTTCTCTTTTTCTAGCTAGCCACAAATACAGAATTAGCGACCAATATTTTAGAATTAATCAATTCTGTTATTATATAATGAAGAGACTCCGTATAAATATCTATTGAAGGGAGACCTAGTATGTATGTATGTGTTGTTAATAACCCCACAATCTCCACTAACACAAGCCGAGCTAGAATAAGTTTCCACATGTGCTTACCTACTACGGCGCTAGATGGACTACCTGATACTCAGCTCCTTCTAGCATCCCAGCTTCGATATTGTCACTTCTGAATATTCAGTGCCTCAGGAACCATCACCACAATCCCATCAGTGGTTCGCCCAATCCTTCCGCTCGATCCCTACCAGCCGTTCTATCACTTCTTTGGCTTCTTCTTATCTTCAATTGCCAGAAATTCCTCCACGCTCGCAGCCGACAATGCTTCCACAGGGATCATCATTCCTTCAACAGCCCTCATACGCCATTGGCAAGAAGCGGTCTCACGAGGAGGCTGCACATAACCTCGAGCCGGACGTGTCAAACTGCATTTCCCAGAATGGTTGGACGAATGGTGAGGGAATCTTGCTCGTTAGACCTTGTGCGGTTTCTATTCTTGAAGCAGATATCCCTTCAGGTATTGAGCTTGACGACGTGATCACTGAACAGGAAGGGAATGGATTACCAAATGGTCGACAACTAAGAAATTATAAGTCTCAGAGGCTTCTCAATGGGAGCGACCACGCATCATCTAGCAAAACGACAGCGGCGATGACATCGACAAGCTCGGATGTTCCAGAAAGCGGTGTTCATGACGATGTAGTCATCGACCAATTTACACTTCACCTTGGAATTGGCTGGAAACAAATCAAAGATGGTGACCATATCCAAGCTGCTGCGAGGGGCTGGGCACGGTTTATTGAGAATAACTTTCCTCTCACTAACGTTAATATCCTGCTTGAAAGCAAGGGCCTGCAGTCATATCTGGTCGAGTCAACGGAGGGCTTCTACCTCTTCACAGAAAACTTGCGTCAGGGACAGCTAGTCAGTAGGCATGCTGCTGGGGCAATACAAAATTTACAAACTAACCCACCAAAATTTGATACAAAAGATATATTAAGAATTTAAGTATAAAATAAATAAATAAAAATATGAATATTATATATTAAAGATTTCTCTTAAGTATAAAAAATAAGTTACTTATTGGAAATTAATTATAAAAAGCCTTTGTATATAATAATAAATTTTAATTAATTTAATTTAATTTAATTTATATTTTACTTTATTTAATTTTAGTATTTTTTAAAAAAAAATTATAAATTTATAATTTTCTTTTATAATATTATTATATAATTTAAATTAAAATTAAATTATAATTATTATTTAAAAGTTTTTATAAAAATAATTTTTTAATAAATAAATTTAAATTTTATTAAATTTATTAATAATAATTATAATTTATATAATTATATTAATATATTTTAAAATTATAACTTTAAGTAAAAAGAAATTATTATATTATAAAATAATAATATTATAATATTTATAATTATATTTTATAATTATAAATAAATTTATTTTAAGTATTATTTAAAATTTTAATAAAGTTTTTTAATAAAATTATTAAAAAAAATTAAATAAAATATAAAAAAAAACTTAATTAATTTTAGTAAAATAAAATAAATTTAATATAATTATTATATAAAAACCTTATAAAAGTTATATTTATTATTAAATAATTTAGTAAAATTATACTAATTAAATTAAAGAAAAAATATATTATAATTTTAAATTAAAATTTAAAATTAAATATAAAGAATTTAATTTATAAAATATAAAAGTTATATTTATTATTAAAAAGTTTAATAAAATTATAATAATTAAGTTAAAGGAAATTTATACTTTAGCCTTTAGTTTAAAATTTAAAATTAATTTATAACTTAACTTAATTAACTATAATTAATTAAATTAAATTTTAAAAATTTAGGCTATAAAATATAATTATTAATTAAAGTTTAAAACTAAACTTAAAATATATAAAAAAGCCTAAATAATAAAATTTAAGTATAATATAAGCTTAAAGCTTATAATTTATAATTAAATAACTTAATTTAACTAAATAAGTTAATTATTTTATTAAGTTATAAAAAGTAATAATAATTTTACTTTAAAATAAATTATATATATAATATAAAAAACTATTTAATAAAATAATATATTATAAAAGTAATAAACTTTTATAATAAAAAATAAATTAATAATTAACTAAAGTTTATTATAAATAATTATAATAACTAAAAATAATAAAAAATTAATAATAATTATTACTAAAATAATAATTATTATTATAAAAACTTATAATTTTAATATTATTAATATTATAAAATTTTTTTACTAAAGCTTAAAGAATAAATAAAGTAAAAAAAAATAACTTAAACTAATTATAAAATAAAAATATAAATTAATTAAGCTATTATTAAGTAAAAGAATTAGTAAAGTATTAGTTAATAATTACTAAATAAAAGTTTAATAATAATTATTTTAATTTTAGCTTTTAAGTAATTTATTCTTTATACTTAAGAAAGAAAATTAATTATATATATTTTTTAATTTATAATTTTTTAATCTCTCCTAAGTATAAAAAATAAACTACCTAAAAGCTAAAATTAAAATAATTATTATTAAACCTTTATTTAGTAGTTATTAACTAATAATACTTTACTAATTCTTTTACTTAGTAGTAGCCTAGTTAATTTATATTTTCTTTTTTATAATTAATTAAGTTACCCTCTTCTACCTTATTTATTCTTTAGGCTTTAATAAACCTTCTCTATAATATTAATAATATTAAGATTATAAGTTTTTATAGCAGTAGTTATTATTTTAGTAATAGTTACTATTAATTTCTTATTACCTTTAGCTATTATAGCTATTTATATATTAGACTTTAGTTAGCTATTAACTTATTTTATAATTATTATAAAGGTTTATTACTTTTATATAGGGTATATTATTTTATTAAGTGGTTTTTTAATCTTAAAAGTATTATATATATAATTTATTTTTAAGTAAGATTATTACTACCTTTTATAACTTAATAAAATAATACAATAGCTTATTTAATCTAGTTAAGTTATTAAATTATAAATTATAGGCTTAAAGCTTATATTATACTTAAACTTTATTATTTAGGCTTTTTTATATATTTTAAGTTTAGTTTTAAACCTTAATTAATAGTTATACTTTATAACTTAAATTTTTAAAGTTTAACTTAGTTAGCTATAGCTAATTAAGTTAAGCTATATATTAATTCTAGATTTTAAACTAAAGGCTAGGGTATAATTTTCCTTTAACTTAGTTATTATAGCTTTACTAAACTTTTTAATAATAAATATAACTTTTTTTATAATTTTTTAATAAAAATTTAAATTCTTTTACTTATTTTAATTAAAAATTAAAATAATAAAAATTTTAAAAATTTATAAAAAATTTAAAAAAACTTTTAAAAATTTATAATATATTTAAAAAAACTTTATATATTTAGCTTAGGCCTTTTACTTAATAAAAACCTTTTTTTAAATTATTATTATTAAGTATTTAAATTTTTTTTTATAATTTTAATATTTTTTTATTTTTTTAATATTTAATAAATTTAATATTAGCTTTTTATTTTATTTTAGTATTTATTATTTTTACTTTTATAATTTAAAATTTTTTATTATTTTATAAAAAATTTATATTTAAGGTTTTTATAAACTTTTTTAAAATTAAAATTAATATAAATATTATTATTATATTAAATTTATTAAAAATTTATATATAACTTTTACTTATAAAAAAAATTTATAACTCCTTAAGAATATTAAAGTTATTTATACTTTTAAAATTAATAAATTATTATATTTTTATATACTTAATTATAAATATATTTCTTTATAAATAATTTTTAATTAAGTTTACTTTTTTATTTTAAAATCTTTATATTTTTTAAGCCTTAATAAAGTTATTAAAAACTTAAATTAATATTTTAAATATATTAATTATTATATATTTTTTAATTTTAAAACTTATTTTTTTTATTAAAAAATCCTTTATTATAATATTTAATTTTAAATTAAATCCTTTTTTTTAATTATAATAATAATTGTAATTTTTAATATAATTTTTAATAATTATATATTAAATTACTTAAAAGCTTAATATTTTATTTTACTATATATTTTTAAGCTTATAACTATAGAAAATCCTTAATTAATTAATATATATTATATAATTATTTAAGGCTTAAATTTAAAAAAAAAAGCTACTTATTTATACTAGGAAAACAGGGTATTAAGTAGGTACTATAATTTTATTTAATAATTGCGTAATATCCCACTCATAAATACTTAAAAAAAACCTCTTACAGGCCTGATAAGCTAGCAGGGACCAAGCATGTACTGGTACCGTTACACTGCCGGAGTGGCCCTGCGGCACGCACATATGGGTGGGTACCCGTGGGCGCCGAGAATCCGTTATCGTAGCGCTATCGCTGCCATCACTTTGGCTGCCCCGCCTTCACCCCACCTAAAAAGTCCAAGAAAAAAAATGAGCTGCGCAACATGATCTACAGCCCTATTGGCTGCTGTTGATAGGCAGGAGAGAAATTAGAGGCAAAAATAGGTAGACGTTCGAGCTCCCAAGTTTTTTTTCTCTCTCGAGTGACCTCTGGCATTGGCTCCTCCAAGTGCTGGACAGACCTTTGTTCTCATCTTTTACCGTTCAAAAGGGAGAGACGTGGATCTGGATATCCTGGAGACTCCGTTTCAGCTCGTCACATCCACAATGGCCGACCTTCGAATTCTTCTCATTGGCAACGGCGGCCGCGAGCATGCCTTGGCCTGGAAGCTGAGCCAGTCTCCCCGAGTTGAGGCCATCTTCGCGGTCCCTGGCAACGGCGGCACTGCTACTTGCCCCAAGGTCACCAACGTCTCTTCTGTTTCTGCAGAGGACTTCCCTGCCCTCGTCCAGTTCGCTCAGTCCAACGGCATCAACTTGGCTGTTCCTGGACCTGAGGCCCCCCTCGTTGACGGTGTCGAGGGCTTCTTTCGCAATGCCGGCATTCCTTGCTTCGGCCCCTCCAAGGAGGCCGCTCGCTTGGAAGGCAGCAAGACTTACTCCAAGGACTTTATGAAGAAATACAACATCCCCACCGCCGCCTACGACAACTTTTCCGATTATAACAAGGCCGTTGCATACCTCGACACCATTAGCCACCATGTCGTCATCAAGGCTACGGGTCTGGCCGCTGGCAAGGGTGTTATTATCCCCCAAACCAAGCAGGAGGCCAAGGATGCGCTCAAGGAAATCATGGTCGACAAGGCTTTTGGCGATGCCGGCGACGAGGTTGTCATTGAAGAGTTCCTGCAGGGTGACGAGCTCAGCGTCCTCACCTTCTGCGATGGCTACTCTATCCGATCTCTACCTCTGGCTCAGGACCACAAGCGGATATTCGATGGCGACCAGGGCCCCAACACCGGCGGCATGGGCTGCTACGCCCCTACAAACATTGCTACCGCCGAGCTCGTCCAGCAAATCGACAGAGACATCTTGGTACCTACCATTTCCGGCATGCGACAGGAGAAGCAGCCCTTCCGTGGTGTTCTGTTTACGGGTCTTATGATTACCCCAGCCGGCCCCAAGGTTCTCGAGTACAATGTGCGATTCGGCGACCCCGAGACTCAGACCGTGCTGCCTCTGCTCTCAGCTGACACCGACCTGGCCGAGATCATGTTGGCCTGCACTGGTGGCTACCTGGACAACTGCCATCTGACCATTGAAAACAAGTTCAGTGCGACAGTCGTTCTCGCTGCTGGCGGCTATCCTGGTTCTTATGCCAAGGGCACCCCGATGACTGTCCAAGCTCCTCCTGCGGGAAGCACCATTTTCCACGCCGGTACGAAGCTTGATGGACAGCAGCTCAAGACGTCTGGTGGTCGCGTCATCGCCATCAACTCTGTTGGCGAGTCACTCAGAGCTGCCGTCGATGCTTCCTATGCCGCCTTGGCTTCCAATGTCATTGATTTCGAGGGCAAGTTCTTCCGTAAGGACATTGCTCACCGTGCTTTCAGAGATGCGGGCAAGGTTTCTATGACTTATGCCCAGGCTGGTGTTGATATCCAGGCTGGCAACGACTTTGTGGAGAAGATCAAGAAGGCTGTTGCCAGCACAAAGCGAGCCGGTGCAAGTGCTGAGATTGGCGGCTTCGGCGGCGAGGTCGATCTCTCTCAATGCGGATACCCCAATGCGCCCATCCTGGTTGGTGCCATTGATGGTGTCGGCACCAAGCTCATGATTGCGCAAGCCATGAAGAAGCACGACACCGTGGGCATTGACCTGGTTGCCATGAACGTCAACGATCTGGTCGTCCAGGGAGCCACGCCCCTGATGTTCCTCGACTACTACGGCTGCAGCAAGCTGGACCTTGCTTCCGCCGCTGATTTTGTGCAGGGTGTCGCTGATGGCTGTATCCAGGCTGGTTGTGCTTTGGTTGGCGGTGAGACTGCCGAGATGCCAGGCATGTACAAGGACGAGGACTACGACGCTGCTGGCTGTGCAGTGGGTGCCGTTACCAGCGGAGGCATGCTCCCTCGGAAAGATGCCATGGCTGAGGGCGACATCCTCTTGGGTCTTGGATCCAATGGCGTTCACTCCAACGGTTTCTCTCTTGTGCGAAGGATTGTGCAGGCTGCTGGCCTGGACTACTCTGCTCCTGCGCCTTGGGATGCTTCCAAGAATGTTGGAGAGTCCCTCCTGACCCCTACCAAGATTTATGTCAAGAGCCTGCTGCCCGTGCTCGGCAGCATCAAGGGTCTCGCACACATCACTGGAGGTGGACTGCTCGAGAATGTGCCCCGTATGCTCCCCGACACTCTAGCTGCGGAGATTGCCTATGGAACTTGGGAAATGCCTCCCGTCTTCCAGTGGCTCAAGAAGGCTGGCAACGTGTCTCCTACCGAAATGTGCCGAACATTCAACTCGGGTATCGGCATGGTAGTTGCAGTGGAGGCGAGCCAGGTTGAGGCTGTTGTAGCGGCTCTCCGTAGCGGCGACGAGCGGGTTTACACCATCGGTAAGCTGGTCCGCAGACAAGAGGGCCAGGCTGGATGCGTCGTCCAGAACCTGGAGGCATGGGCATGAGCGAGCTCTTAAGATATGGGAAATTGTGAGGTTTAGTTATTAAAAAGGATTGAGGCGTATAAAAATACCAAGGTTGGTGGCAGAGCGAGAGTGTATTATAAAACATGCCTGCAAACAGGTACGAAAATGTTGGGTTGGGATCGAAGGCCGGCGGAATTATGTGAATTGCATTTTATATTTGTTTTTATGTTAAGATTTGTCGCTAATATATTTACAAAGGCCATATATATTATAAAGTATAAATAAGTTTTGTATTTAAATTATAAGAAAAGTATTATTATTTAGGCTATATGTTTTTGCTATTTAGGCTATATTTAACTTAATTAAGAAAATAAGTTTATTTATTTTAAAATTACTTTAACTTTTAGTAAGGAATTAAAAATATAAAATAAATATAAGAAAATAAAAAAAAAAATAATTTATATAATTAAATTTAATATTTCTGTTTATTTTTATTTTTTATTTAATAATAAATTATAAACCTTTATTTATAATAACTAGATTTTTTTATATTAAAATAATAATATATTAGGATTTTTATTATAGTTTTTATTATAAATAAATTATTTATTTAAAAAAAAATTACTTAAGATTATTATTAAGTAAGTAAAAAAAACTAAATTTAAAAATATAATATATTTTTTTAAAATTTAATATATAAAAATTATATTTATTATTAAAACGTTTAGTAAAATTATAATAATTAAATTAAAAAGAATTTTATTTTAGCCTTTAGTTTATAACTTAAATTTTAAAAATTTAAGTTATAAAGTATAATTAATTAAAATTTAAAATTAAATTTAAAATATATAAAAAAGCTTAAATAATAAAGTTTAAATATAATATAAATTTTAAGTTTATAATTTAAAATTTAATAATTTAATTAAATTAAATAAGTTAATTATTTTATTAAGTTATAAATAGTAATAATAATTTTATTTAAAACTAAACTATATATATAATATTTTTAAAATTAAAAAATTATTTAATAAAATAATATATTATAAAAGTAATAAATTTTTATTATAAAAAATAAATTAATAATTAACTAAAGTTTATTATAAATAATTATAATAATAAAAAATAATAGAAAATTAATAATAATTATTACTAAAATAATAATTATTATTATAAAAACTTATAATTTTAATATTATTAATATTATAAAAAAGTTTACTAAAGCCTAAAGAATAAATAAAATAAAAAAGAGTAACTTAAATTAATTATAAAAAAGAAAATATAAATTAATTAAGTTACTATTAGCTAATATAAGTTATAAAGTATAATTAATTAAGGTTTAAAACTAAACTTAAAATATATAAAAAGGTTTAAATAATAAAGTTTAAGTATAATATAATTAACTTTAAGTTTATAATTTATAATTTAATAATTTAATTAAATTAAATAAGTTAATTATTATATTAAATTATAAAAAGTAGTAATAATTTTATTTAAAAATAAATTATATATATAATACTTTTAAAATTAAGAAATTACTTAATAAAATAATATATTATAAAAATAATAAACCCTTATAATAATTACTATAGAGGTTATATTTATTATCAAGAGGTTCAGTAAAGCTATAACAGCTAGGTTAGAGGAAGGCTATGCCCTAGCCTTTGGTTTAAAATCTAGAATTAATCTATAGCTTAACCTAATTAGCTACAGCTAACTAAGTTAAACCTTAAAGATTTAGGCTATAAAGTATAACTGCTAATTAAGGTTTAAGACTAAACTTAAAATATATAAAAAGACCTAAATAATAAGGTTTAAGTATAACGCAACTGGCTTTAAGCCTATAACTTATAGTTTAATAACTTAACTAGACTAGATAGGCTAATTATTCCGTTAGGTTATAAAAGGCAGTAATAATCCTACTTATAAATAGATTATATACGCAACGCTTTTAAAATTAAAAAACTACTTAATAAAATAATATACCCTATATAAAAGTAATAAACCTTTATAATAACTACTATAAGATAAGTTAATAGCTAACTAAAGTTATAAATAGCTATAATAGCTAAAGGTAATAAAAAACTAATAGCAACTATTACTAAGATAATAGCTACTGCTGCGAAAACTTATAATTTTAATATTATTAGCGCTGTAAAGAAGGTTTACTAAAGCCTAAAGAATAAATAAGGCAGAAAAGGGTAACCTAAATTAATTATAAAAGAGAAAATATAGATTAGCTGGGCTACTGCTAAGTAAAAGAATTAGCAGAGTATTAGTTAATAGCTGCTAAACAAAGGTTTAATAATAATTATTCTAATCTTAGCTCTTAGGCAGTTTATCCTCTATACCCAGGAGAGATAATAATTACTATAAATAATTATAATAACTAAAAGTAATAAGAAATTAATAATAATTATTACTAAGATAATAATTATTATTATAAAAACTTATAATTTTAATATTATTAATATTATGGGGAAAATTTACTAAAGCCTAAAGAATAAATAAAATAAAAAAGAGTAACTTAAATTAATTATAAAAAAGAAAATATAAATTAACTAAATTATTAATTAATAATTATTAAATAAAAGTTTAATAATAATTATTTTAATTTTAGTTCTTAAGTAATTTATTTTTTATACTTAAGAAAGAAAAATACTTATATTATAGCTTAAATAGTAAAAATATATAACTTTAATAATAATACTTTTTATTAAATAAATAATTTATTTGTTTTTAATTATTTATTTTTTATAAAAAGAATATATAATAATTTTTATATTAAAGAAATTATATTAATTTTTAAATTAAAAAAAATATTAATAAATATTTAATAAAAGTTAATTATATAATAATAATAAAAATTTAATATTATTTATAACTTTTTTTAATTATTATTATAATAATTAAAATATTATTATTAATAAATACATTATTATAATAATTAAAATATTATTATTAATAAATAAATTATTAAATTAATTATTTTATAAAATAAATATAATAAATAAATAAAATAAAATATAAAAATTATATTTATTATTAAAAAGTTTAATAAAATTATAATAATTAAATTAAAGAAAAACTATATTTTAATTTTTAATTTAAAGTCTTAAATTAATTTATAACTTAACTTAATTAATTATAATTAATTAAGTTAAATATAAAAAATTTAAATTATAAAATATAATTATTATATTAAAATTTAAAAGTAAATTTAAAATATATAAAAGGCTTAAATAATAAAGTTTTAATATAATATAATTAACTTTAAGCTTATAATTTATAATTTAATAACTTAATTAAATTAAATAAAATTATATTATTAAATTATAAAAATAATAATAATTTTTAAAAATAAATTATATATATAATATTTTTAATTATCTTAAGTATAAAAAATAAATTACTTAAAAATTAAAATTAAAATAATTATTATTAAATATTTATTCAATAATTATAGATTAGTAATAGCTTAATTAATTTATATATTTTTTATAATTAATTTAAGTTACTTTTTTTTCTTTTATTTATTTTTTAAACTTAAGTAAATTTTTTTTATAAAAGTTATATTTATTATTAAAAAGTTTAGTAAAACTATAATAACTAAGTTAAAGGAAAACTATACTTTAATTTTTAGTTTAAAATCTAAAATTAATTTATAACTTAACTTAATTAACTATAGTTAATTAAATTAAATTTTAAAAATTTAGGTTATAAAGTATAATTACTAATTAAGGTTTAAAATTAAACCTAAAATATATAAAAAAGCCTAAATAATAAAATTTAAGTATAATATAAGCTTTAAGCTTATAATTTATAATTTAATAACTTAATTAAACTAAATAAGTTAATTATTTTATTAAGTTATAAAAGGTAGTAATAATTTTACTTAAAAATAAATTATATATATAATATAAAAAATTACTTAATAAAATAATATATTATAAAAGTAATAAACCTTTATAATAATTATAAAATAAGTTAATAGTTAACTAAAGTCTAGTGCTATTATAAATAATTATAATAGTAAAAGGTAATAAAAAACTAATAGTAATTATTACTAAAATAATAATTACTATTGTGAAGTATTATAAAAAAGGTTTACTAAAGTATTTAGGCCTTTTATATATATATATATTTAAGTTTAATTTTAAAGCTTAATTAATTATATTTTATAATTTAAATTTTTAAAATTTAACTTAATTAATTATAATTAATTAAGTTAAGTTATAAATTAATTTTAGATTTTAAATTAAAAACTAAAATATAATTTTTTTTAATTTATTTATTATAACTTTATTAAACTTTTTAATAATAAATATAACTTTTATAATACTTTTATAAATAATTTTAAAAATAATAATTTTAAGGAAAATATTATTTATATTAAAATTATAAAATTTATTTTTAATAAAATACTTTAGGAAATTTAATATATTATTTAAATAGCCCTTTATATAATATTAAAATATATTTACTTTAATACTTTAATAATTATAATAAAGTAAAAACTTTAAAATATTATATAATAAATAATTTATAAAAAAAAAATTAATTAATTAATTAATATAAGTTATTATAAAGGTTATATATATTATTAAAAAATTTAGTAAAAATTATAATAATTAAATTAAAGAAAAACTATACCTTAGCTTTTAATTTAAAATCTAAAATTAATTTATAACTTAACTTAATTAATTATAATTAACTAAGTTAAATTTTAAAAATTTAAGTTATAAAATATAATTATTAATTAAAGTTTAAAAC